CTTTCTTTTTTTTTTTTTGTACTGGAGATTAAATCCAGGGCCTCACATATGCTAGATGAGTTCTCTACCATTGAGTTACTTCTCTGCCCTTTTTAATTTTTGAGATTGTCTAACATAGTTCCCCAAGCTGGCTTTGAACTTGCAATCCTCTTGTCTTAGCCTCCCAAGTAGCTGTCATTATAGGTGTGCACCATCACACCTGGCCTGAACTTAGAACTTTCTGAAAATTTTTGAAGATTGGTGAATGGTGCCTAGAAGGGTGACAGCTTAAGGGCATCTAGAAATCATATTTTTACTTCTTGAGTACTTTAGACTTGAAATTTATTAGAGTCGTGATTTGGTACTACACAACTATTTTGGGATTTATGTAACATTGTGGTGGACAGCGTTAGCATATATTTAAGACCTCTCAGGGCCGGGGATTTAGCGCAGTGTTCTGCTGCCTGCCTCACAAGCACAAGGTCCCTAGTTCAATCTCCAGTACCAAAAATAAATAAATAAAACTCCTTGTCTTCTTAAAGTAATATTTTGTCTAATGATTAAGTGATACTTAGCTATGTTTAACCAAACAAAAAAATCAATATAGAGTATGTATATAAAGGAGAAAGGGGAAATACACAAATCAGTCCTTAATGGTTTATTAATGTACATTCATCTATTTCGGAAATTTGTTTATTTAAAAATCCAGTCTTATTGACATATACTATAGAAATTTTGTATGAATGATACAGTGCCTGTCTATATTTGTATGACTTTATATGTGTCCTCGTTTTTAATGTTTGACTAGTCATGGTGAATATAAGTTGGTTTAACTAGTTTCTCCCATTAGGAGATATCCAGATTACTTGGTATTCCTGTACTCGAAATAATGCTTCAGGGCCAGGGAGGTAGCTCAGTGGTGCTGCACCTGCCTGGCAAGTACAAGGTCCTGAGTTCAATCCCTAGTACAAAAAACAAAAACAAAATAATGCTTCAGTAAAAAATCCTTATATGTGCAAGTATGTATATATATAGTTTTTTCTATCTTCATAAAATCCTAATTTGATTTTTCATTGATAAAGCATTTAGTACCTTGCTGACTGTAGTATTAGAAGTCTAAAATTTTTTCAGTATTTTATCTTTAACCACTAATCATTTGTTCCTACATAGTACAGCATACTTTTTCTGTTTTAAACTAAAAATTGGGATGCTCAGATTCATTCATTCATGGAATTCAAAAATTAATTGCATGAAATCCAAAACCAAATGTTCCATGTTTAAAATTACAACTCTAAGCAGGATGTGGTGGCATTCGCCTGTAATTCCATCAGATTTAGGCAGGAGGACACAAGTTCAACCCCTGCCTGGACAACACAGTGACTTAGCAAGACCCTGTCTCAAAATAAATTTTTAAAAGGGCTAGTAGCCGGGGATTTAGCTCAGTGGTTTCACTGCCTGTTGTGCAATCACAAGGACCCAAGTTCGATTCCCGTTACCAAAAAAAAAAGGGGGGGGGCTGGTAATATAGTACAGTGTGAAGAACCTGGGTTCAATGCCCTGTACCAAAACAAAAACAAACTCTACAAATTCCGGTTCCAGTACTTAATGCTTTGTAATGTTGGGCATGTTATTTTTTTGTGCTTCCATTTAATAGAAACAATAATTATAACCTATTTCACAGATTACTATCAGTGTTAAATTAGTTTGGTTTTTTTTAGCAAAACGTTTATTGGTACATTTTAGATATACATAATAACACTCATCATAGGGAATTTGCAACTGCACATGATATACCTGGCTCTTCTTTTATTAAATTAGTTTTTGTTTTTTGTTTTTTTGTACTGGGGATCGAACTCAGGACCTTGCGCTTGCACAGCAGGTGCCGGAACCACTGAGCTAAATCCTTGGCCCCTAAATTAGTTTTTAATACATGGAATTACCCAGAACTATGCCAGATACTTAGGTATAAGTCTCAGAAAAGGCCAGCTGTTACCAATATTAATATTATAAAGAGGCTAAGATATTACTTCTTTTTTCTCTTTTCAGATTTAGTTTCCTGAGCAAACCTGTTGATGAGAACCATCAGCAGGATGGAGATGATGATTCTCTTGTGTCACGTTTTTATAATAATCCTATTGCCAAACCTATTCCTCAAACCCCAGAGAATGCTCCAAATAAACACAACAACAGCAACAGTGTGGACGATACCATTGTTGCATTGAATATGCGTGTTGCTTTGCGAAATGGGCTGGAAGGAAGTAGTGAAGAAACTTCTTTTCATGATGACTCACTGCAGGATGACAGAGAAGAAATAGAAAATAATGTTTACCATTCACATCCAGCAGGTCAAATTCACATACTTTTTATCATTTTGGAATACATAAAATTTATGTCTTAGTATAAAGAGCCCAACTTTTATAGCCAAAGGGACTATCCTGATACTTTCCTGAATTTTATAAACTCAGTTTTTAAATTAAAATGAGAACAGTTATTTTCTACCATATCAAGAGTTTAGTTAGATTAGGTGTATATAGACCATAATGCTTGACATATACTGTACTCAGCATTCAGTTGGTAACTGTTCCTGTGATTTTTATCACCTCAATCTCTTTACCCTTCACCAAAGACTAATCTATTCAGTAAACTACAAAATTGGGCTATCTTGATCTTTCAGCACCGCCCCCCTTCCCATCTTTTGCCTTTGTGTGCATATGTGCTGACATAATATCTCAGTTGGGTTTGAGGTATCATTACTCTCTTCCACTGTTTAAATTGAGTTAAAATTTACGTATAATTAAGAAGTATACCAATGATAAGTATTCATTTAATTTTGACATGCCAAACAAGATAGAGAACACTTTTTACTCTTGAAAGTTCCTTTCTATTCCCATTCCCAAAATTCAATCACAGTTCTGATTTTGTCACATAGATCCCTTCTGCTTATTCTTGCACTTTATATAAATGTACTATGTATTTTTTGATTCAGTATCATTTCAGATTTCACCCATGGTACATGTATCAACAGTTCATTCTTTTTTGTTGTTAGGTAGTATTCTATTATGTAAATATGACATTTTGTTTCCATTCTCCAATAATGAACATTTGGATTGATTTACAATCATTGTTGAAGCATCTATGAAAATTTTCTGTATCTTCTTATCTTACTGCCTTCATATACAGTATATCTTGTGGTTGCTCATTCCTGTAGGAGATAGCTTTTGTACTTTCACATTAAAAATCCTGAATACGTTTGTATGTTTATCTACATGGGCTTATGATAATTGTGTCTCTAATCAAATACCCAGTGAATACATTTTCCCCCCTAGTTTTCTTTCTGACCTTTGTTTTCTTCTAGAGCTCTCCTAGTCTTAACAGCCCTCTAAATCTTGCCAGTAAAGAAGCAAGTATATGAGTGGGCACTGCTGGAAGTTGGAGTTTGATCTGATGTCAGCCTTAAATATTTTTCTCTTAGAAAGGAACTTAGCCTGATATCTAGCTACAGTGACATGGAGTTGTAAGAATAATGTACCATTGGCCCACTACTTTCTTTTTAGTTCTTCAGCTTTCTTTTTATAAAATCTTGTCATCACATCTGGTCCTTATGTTGGATATGTTCAGAGACCCCATCGTTTTTCTCTCTCTCTCTCTCTCTTGCTCTCGCTCTGCTCTCTCATTCATTTTTTGAGACAGGGTCTTGCTATGTAGCCCAGGCTGGCCTTGAACTCACCATGTAGCCCTGGCTGGCCTCAAACTCACAGCCATCTCCCTACCTCAGCCTCCCAAGTACTGGGATTACAGGTGTGCACCACCACCCTGTCACAATTTTCACTTTAATAATTTTTTCCTTGGGCCATTAAATAATATTTAGGTATGTCTGTAATCTTGATTTTAGTTGAATTTTTAGCAACACTAATTGTAGACCTTTAACTTTTCATTTGTAATTGGAATTGCCTTATGTAGCATTTTTCAAATCATCCTGATGTTAATTCTCTGGAAATGCAAAGATTTCATTATATTGGGGATTTAGCTCAGTGCTTCCGCGGCCTGCCTCATAAGCGCAAGGTCCCAAGTTCGATCCCCAGTACCAAAAAAAAAAAAAATTTCATTATATTATAAATAGAGTCTTTGCTCTGCTATTATGTATGTTGTGTTCCTTAAACTTACTTGACTATGAATCCCTGTTTTGAAAATACACGTTCTCTTGTAATTGTTTAATGAAACACTAGTTTTTAGAAAGTCTTTTATTCAGATATATTTTCTCTTTATGTGATAATTTAGTTACTGAATTTTTCAGGTAAGTTTTTTTTTTTTTTTTTTTTTTTTTGGTACTGGAGATTGAACAGGTAAGTTTTAAAAATACTTATTTCATGGAAAAAATTTTTAAATGTAAAGTGAAATAGATACTACTGAGCATTCCTCTCCCCAAGAATAATCACAAATTAATATTTAATTTTAATTAATTTTTTTTTATAATAGGCATTATTCTCACTAAGGTTGGTTACTACACTATCCCATCTATGGATGATCTTGCCAAAATAACCAATGAAAAAGGAGAGTGTATTGTTTCTGACTTCACCATTGGCCGAAAAGGTGGGTGTGAGTTTAGGAGTTAGTATATAAGCCAGAGATTTGCACCTTGTTTGAAGGGAAGCTCTTGAGAATGGATCTGTTTTTTTCCTACATTTGGGTCCCTTTTGCTCTGAATAGTAGAAACTTTGATTGACAAGTGAGAAAACCACTGAGACTAGAACTATGTAATACTCTTTTAGGTGTTCCCCTTTGGGCTAGTAAACTGGTTCATTGCAGTTTTCCACACCAAAAAAAAGGACTGGAAATATCAAGAAATACTAAGTGAGCAAGGAGTGATGACACACAGATGTCATCTTAGTCACTCAGGAGGTTAAGGCAAGAGTGTCACCAAGTTTGAGGCCAGCCTGGGCAACTGTCTTAATAAAAAGGGCTGAGGATATAGCTCAGTGCTCAGTGTGTCTGAGGCCCTGGGTTCAATCCTTAGTATCACCAAAAAAAGAAAAAGAAATTCTAAGTGAAAAAATTTGAATGATTGCTAAAAGATGTTTTATATTTAAGGTTCAACCTTGTAGCATGACATTATTACAGATAGCTTAATTTTCTTCGAGGAGGTATATTAAATGGTATATTTAAAGGAGGCTCAGGCATTTTTAACTTTTTTTGGCAAGTAAAGTACTAAGGGTTGTTTATATGGCAACATTACAGATATTTGGGAAGAGATTTAAGAAGTCTCTTGAGGATACCAGAAGTGTTAATAAAGTGCAGATATACATCAGATAAGAATGTAATTAATGTCAACTCTCCTTATCCTGCATATACTGTATTATGGAGAAAGACCCACTCCAAGAACTGTTGGATGATTTAAAATATTGACTGTTTAAAGCTGCCTGCTTCGTATTGTTTAATCAGTATAGGTATTAAGTAAGTATTTGCTTTCTCATACAGGATTAATTTTTAACAGTGTGCTCCACCTTGTAGGTTATGGCTCAATCTATTTTGAAGGAGATGTGAATTTGACAAATCTCAATTTGGATGATATTGTACATATTCGAAGGAAAGAAGTTATTGTCTACATAGATGATGACCAAAAGCCACCTGTGGGTGAAGGGCTAAACAGGTAAGAATTTTTTTACATACAGAAATAATCCGCTAAATCACAGGTTGTTTTATTTTTCTTTTTATTCTACCTCAGGGGTAGAATATTTGCCTGACATGCATAAGGCCCTGGATTTGATCCTTGGCACCATAAAAAACAAAACAAAACATGAACGCAGTGCTACATATACTTGCTTCTGCAGCTTGTTTACTGATTGACTGTAAAGTATAATTACTGTTTTTCTACTTTTGTTTAAAACTATTACTGATAAAGAAATGCTACACTGTGTCTTTAGGACTCACTTTTCCCTAATATTAACAGGTCCAATTGCTAGTTCAAAAATTTTTCATTACTTTTTTTGTTTGTTTCTGCTATGGCTATACTTAACTCTATTTTAGTGGGAAAACTTACCTTCTGTTATTTTTCCAGGCAGGTGAAAGGGCCATAGTTAAGATCATTTATCTTTGTAACTGACCAATCCTGAATCATGAAGAAGTAGAAAATCTGAGTAAACCTATAACAAGTAAAGAGATGGGAGTCAGTAACCAAAAACCTCCCAGAAAGAAAAAGCCCAGGACCAGATAGCTTCACTGATGATTTTTCCAAACATGATAAACAAGAAATACCAGGCCAAAGATGTAGCTCAGTGTCACCCCACCTGCCTGGCAAGCACAAGGTTCTAAGTTCAATCCCCAGTACCAAAAAAAAAAGAGAGAGAAAGAAATACCATGAGTATGAGTTCTCTGGTTCTTTCAAAAAAACTGAAGAGAGGGGAACTCTTTCAAAATTATTCTATGAGACGATTCTTAATATTAGGTGATTGTAAAGCCACTAAAAACACTACAAGAAAGCTAGGTGTAGTGGTGCACGCCTATAATCCCAGCACTCTGGGAGGCCTGAGGCAGGAAGATCATGTAGTCAAACCTAACCCAGGCACCTTGGCATCTTATCGAAATCCTGTCTCAAAAAATAAAAAAGGGCTGGGCAAGACATATTGTAAGACTTGGGTTATGACCACAGGACTTTTTAATAGCTTAGGTATTATTAAAATTAGATTGGAAATAATTGATATACCATGGTAGTTTGAAATATAAGCAGTCTGTCTCTAGAACCATATAGTGAGTTAGTTGTGAGTGTGACTCCTTGTGCATGACTACAGTGGGAGGCAAGAGCAAGTGTATGAAATGTCTGCAGGGTTACATAGCTACATTTGTTATTTATGTACATGTTAGTTGCCTTTCAGTCTTGAATATGAAGCATATATTGGTTATACTTTACAGGAAGGCTGAAGTTACATTGGATGGAGTTTGGCCAACGGATAAAACATCTCGTTGTTTAATAAAGAGCCCAGATCGACTTGCTGATATCAACTATGAGGGCAGATTGGAAGCAGTTTCAAGGAAACAGGGAGCTCAGTTCAAAGAGTACCGGCCTGAAACTGGTTCTTGGGTATTTAAGGTATTGTCACTTCACCTTGTTCTGAATTTTATAAACTACAATTAGATTTTTTAAATGTTTGTGTCAAAAAAAAAAGTTTTTATTAGAAGAGATCCTGTCTTAAATTCTCTTTATTTTTACACATTAGGAAGTAAACATAGAGCTGTATCATGATTTACTCTTAATTACACACTAAAATTGAGCAATTTGTAAATTTCATAGGCATATGATCCAAGTCCTCTACTCCATTCTGTGAGCTTTAGACACATTTCTGGAGTGTGCTGTGTCACTATTAGCGACTTCAGTATCTCATCAGTCAGAATTGTCTCTTGGTAACTCAGATCTTCCCAAATAATTCTCATTTTACTTTTAAAGATTTTTGGGATGGAGAAATTGTTAGCTTTACCCTCTCCTAGGCTGATTTAATAATTTAACTAGTTGAAGAGCCTTTGTGTAAGTAGAGAGCAACTACCAGTAGGCAGTATATGTAATAATTCTTGAGCTTATTTTCCTATAGTTTCCATTTAAAAATGACATTGTAATGTATATTCATTTAATATGATACCAAACATCATCTAAATCTTAGAAAAGAAATAACATTTCAATTTCTTAAAATATTTTGATACCTCTTTTTTTAATGCTGTAAATTGCAAGGGCAGATATTGTGGAAACTTTTTAATAGAGTACTGTTAAAATTTATTCTGGGGGTTCTTTTCTTCCTTAGGTCTCCCACTTTTCTAAATATGGCCTTCAGGATTCTGATGAAGAGGAGGAGGAACGTCCATCCAAAGCCAGTACAAAGAAGTTGAAGACTGCCCCTTTGCCTCCTGCAGGCCAGACTGCCCCTTTACAGATGGCTCTTAATGGCAAACCTGCACTTCCACCTCAGGTAGAGAAAGGACAGTGAATTTGAGTGGAATCCGTGATACAGAAGTTGAAACCAAGTCATTCAGCTGTTACAAAGCTGTTTTATGACCCTGGAACTTTCAAGAGTACAAACATATTGGCAGTCACATTGAGACGAGTACAAGGGAGGGCATAAGGTGGTACAGGCATCTGTTTTTTTTACAAGAGAGATTTAAAGAATTCTCTTGCTGCTTGGATCATTCCTCTACAGATTGTCCTTCTCAAACACCTCCCTCTCTTGTTTGGAATTGTAATTCTTTACTCAGTGATCAATTTAAGATAGCATTTTGCTTATGTAGGCTGATGCAAAGTAAATCCTACTTTTATTAACTATCTGTTGTGCAGTTTAATCTTGTTCTTTACCTCCAAAGTTTTTTAGCTTTCTGCAAGGGTTTTTAAACTCCATTTTTCTCATGTTGTTTGCTTATATTTCAGGTAACCTCTTGATATTTGTATTTTAATAATCTTTATGAAAATAGATAATTTTAGAATGCAAATGAATTATTTAGTTTGGAGAGAACCAGAGCTGCATTGTCTATTGCAATTATTTGTATCTTACTCTTTTTCAGTGTTGTTAAGCTAGTATAAGCCTTTTGTTTTTATAGGAAAAGGTTTGTAATTTAAATATCAGATAGTTTCTTTGAATGCCAACTCACAAAGAGTTTTCCTTTAATCTGGATGTTGTTTATATTCAATCTTAAGTTAAAATATTTTTTTCATGCTGCCACACTCACTGAAAAAAAGAGTTATTGACATTGGACTTCTTTGTAACACATCTTCTACCTCTCAGCTGCTAAAAGCTGGACCTTTGCAATTTTCCATGCTACAATTTTATGGTTGCTGAAATGTGCAATTTTTATTATGACTTATTAAATAATTTCTTGGGAGGCATTTTCTGGAGAATACTGTGTGTGTATGTTCATATTTGCGCGAACAGGGTTAAGGGAATGATAAGATAGAAGTGGAGAAACTAGAATTAACTTCTGTATTTATAATCATTGTAGTATTTAGAATATCCTAAGAAATCTTCTTAAGAAATGCTATTGGGCCGGGGATTTAGCTTAGTTGCACCGCGCCTGCCTCACAACCACAAGGTCCTGAGTTCAATTGCTGGTACCAAAAAAAAGCCTGTAAATGAACCTAATTTTTCAATTATCCATGTTCATTTTGCCTGAATATATATGCCTTATAATCCCTTTACTAAGTTTTCTTTGATCTTATATATATTTTTAGAGAAACAACCTTTTTTTGTGCCAATATTAGTATATGTAGGCCCCTAAAAATAAGAGCTGAAGGACCAGGGATTTAGCTCAGTGGTTCTACCGCCTGCCTTGTAGGCACAAGGACCCGAGTTTGATTCCCGGTACCAAAAAAAAAAAAATAAGAGCTGGAAAGAAAAAGCTTTATCTGTGGACAAATAGGGCAAATTTATGTAATGTTGACAATCTGTAGTTAATAGGCTCCTTTAATTGCCAGAATACAACTCTAGAAAATAACTATGAGCTCCAGTAATGACACTGTAGTAAACAAAAGCTCTTTTGAAAAGGCTTTCAGAAAATTTCAGTACAGTGTTCTACTTGAATTGGCAATGATTCAAATTGTGCAAAAAGAATATAGTGAATATAAGTGTCATTTTCATGTAACTGCTTTGGTTGAGGAAATAGATAAGTCTTTGACCTTTTGGATTAGGAGAGCAAAAACAAGAGAAATGGATGGAGGCATCCAGATATCTAAGCTTTAGATTTTTACTTGCATTACTGATGATGGGCTTAGTTCATATATGTTAGAGCAGTAACGTAGGACTCTATAGAACTTACTGTTGCCCAGTGACACAGGTGAGACAGATGGGAAATGACAGTGGTTAGTTATTAGCACTCAGGATCCTACTTTTGACTTGGCACGGGGAAAATACCTTAGCCATCTAAATGAACTAGAAACAGTCTTCTCATGCCTGCATCAAGATGAGTGTCTTCACACTGTTGCCTGGCCCTTCAAAGAAATCGATTTACATGATGCTGTATCCCTGAGGTCGCTATAGTTGTTTGTTTGTTTGGTCTTTGTTTTATTTCCCTCTGTACATATCCTCAGGCTCTCTTAACAGAAAAAGAGAAAAGAGTGAAGGTGTTTTCCTAGCTTTTTAGGAAGGTTTGCGTTTTTTGTTAAGGATCACATTTACTCCATTGCCTTTTATATAATGCCATCCATCCCATCTCTCAGGTTGAATTGTAAGCCTTTTTTTTTTCCTTTGGTACTGGAGATTGAACTCGGGTCCTTGCACTTGCAAGGCAGGCAGTGGAACCACTGAGCTAGATCCCCAGCCCAAAAACAAGTATATCTAAGAAATGGAAAAATACAAAGGCACACCAGGCAAGGTGGCACATGCCTGTAATCCCAGCACTCAAGAGGCGGAGGCAGGAGGATTGCCATGAGTTCATGGCCAGCCTGGGTTACATAGTGAGTTTAAAGCCAATCTGAACTACATAGTGAGACCCTGTCTCAAAAATGTGTGTGTGTGTGTGTAACTAAATTTTCATATGATCTTTTCTCCTGTAACTTAATCATACAGATAATTTAAGGGTGTTGCAGAAATGTTTTGTTCTCTAATTAGAATGTTAGTTTCAGGGCCAGGGATTTAGCTCAGTGGCACCACACCTGCCTCACAGGCACAAGGTCCTGAGTTCAATCCCCAGTACCAAAAGAAAAAAAAAATAGTATTAGTTTCAAACCCCTGGTCTAAGATCTAGTTCCTATCTGCATCTTCTGGTGAGCTTGGCCTTGATTCCTTAAATCTGGCCTGGTACTCATGCATACTTATTTTTTAATACTTCCTCTCAGGCATTTGAGCTATACTCCAGATTCTGAAACTATTGAAAGACTGGACACCTTTGGCACTCAAATAGAATGTAGTACTTGTTGTTGTTGTTGTTGTTGTTGTTGTTGTTACTGCTGTATTTCAGTACTGGAGCTTGAACCCACTCTGCCACTGAGCTATATCCCAGGTCCTAGAATGTAGTACTTTTTAGTCCACCTTTATAACTGAAGTATAATTTGTGTTCAGTACCTTCAAGGCAGGCTGATTAGCTTGCTCAGAAATATAACATCCAGGCAGTAAATTCATTCAAATAATTTTTTTTTTCCCCAAGCATTGGGTATTGAACCCAGGGTCTTTCAAGTTAAAAAAAAAAAATTTAAAGGAAAAAAATGCTTAGAATTTAGAAAAATAATTTCATGTTTTGTGTACAATGTGGTTTGAAATAAAAGAGCAGCTATCTTGAGCCAGTGAATTAATACGTATTTTAAATATATTTTTAACACTGGGAATGGCAACGCACCCCTGTAATCCGAGCACACAGGAGGCCGAGACAGATGGATTACTCAGTGTTCAAGACTACCCTGAATTACATAGCGACACTCTCAAAAAATAAATAAATTTTATATTTTATTTTTATATATATATATTTTTTAATTTAGATCTATTACCTGTAGATAGGTAGATATACTTTATAGCCTCGAGCTTGTTTCAGTTCCTACTGGATAGATTTTCTTAATAGCCTAAAGTTTTTTAAAAAAAATAAAAATCAGGGCCGAGGATTTAGCTCAGTGGGCCCGCCGCCTGCCTCACAAGCGCAAGAACCCAAGTTTGATCCCTGGTACCATAAATAAGTAAATAAATAAATAAATAAATAAATAAATATCAAAATCAAATACAAAGTGATTAATGTTAAGACTTACCCGGGCTGGGGATTTAGCTCAGTGGTTTCGCCGCCTGCCGCGCAAGCGCATGGACCAGAGTTCTGTCCCCTGTACCAAAAAATAAATAAATAAAAAATAAAGTAATTAAAAAAGACTTACTCCTTCTCTAGTAATATTTTTTACTGTATCTTTAGAAAACATACACACTTACTTACCTTTGTAGGCCTTTGAAACTCTAACATGGCATTTCTCTAGAGGACACTTTTTTGTTGTTTTTTTTTTTGGTACCAGGGATCGAACTCGGGTCCTTGTGCTTGCGAGGCAGGCGGTGGAACCACTGAGCTAAATCCCCGGCCCTAGAGGACACTATTGACAGGGCTGATTTTCAGGCAAAATGAAAAAAAAAACTTTTTCTTTTTTTTGTACCTGGGATCGAACTCAGGACCTTGCGCTTGCAAGGCAGGCACAGTGCCACTGAGCTAAATCCCCGTCCTGGAAAAAACTTAATAGGGCCGGGGATTTAGCTCAGTGGTTTCGCCGCCTGCTGCACATGTGCAAGGACCTGAGTTCGATCCCCAGTACCAAAAAAAAAAAAGAAAAAACTATAGTCAGAAAACAAGTTGTGTTGGAAGCAAACAGCAGTAGTTTTATTAGGTGAAACTAACTTTTTAAGGGGACTGTATGAATTAATAAACATCTGTTTGACCTTGGACTAATTAGTCATTTGTTCTTTATTGAATAAATATCTTGATACACATTTCACTTTACTTTCTGAATTAAAAGATACTGTATCTTTTTTTTCTTTTTTTGGTACCGGGAATTGAACTCTGGACCTTGTGCTTGTAAGGCAGGTGCTGGAATCACTGAGCTAAATCCCCGGCCCAGAGATACTGTATCTTTAAGGTATTGGCAGCCTTGTTTGAATAAGGAAAGTCCTTTTGAGTAGGAGAATAAAGATTCTGTTGAAAAACCCTGTCTATATGTTTAGGTAGTAATATTACAGATATTATTTATGTAATTAGTATTTACAGTGCATTGTGCTGTTATTTAGAAATAAGATCATATTAAGTGATTACATTGTAGAAAAAGGAACATTAAGATGACAGCTTCTCCCAATACATGCCTTTCTTTTTCATAGATTTTGCAGTGGCCCTTTTTTTTGGTTTTGGCGGGTTTTGGCCGGGGGGATGGTACTGTGGATCAAACTCAAGACCTTGTGCTTGCCAGGCAGGTGCAGCGCTACTGAGCTACATCGCCATTTTGTCTTTTGAGTCAGGGTCTCATTGTATGTAGTCCAGGTTGTCCTTAAACGTAAAACCTCCAGCCTCACCCTCCCAAATGCTGGTATTACAAACATGTACCACCACACCCAGTTTACCAGGGGCCTTTTTTTCTGCTCTATTTCTTCTGAGCCATCTTTTTTTTTTTTTTCAATCAGATTTCTTCCCAGAACTGGCCTTGAAACAAATCTAAGATTTATCTGGGAAAAAAACCCCCAAACTATACAGATATCTTTTAGGGAGATTTATTGGAATTACTTAGATACACTTTTACAAAATCCACACGACTAAGGGGGTTCCAAGAGCTTACCAAGTTCTTATAGTAATTCCCTGTTTCCACTTACTAGTTGATGTTTTGCTTCAACTACCCTTTTGAAGTCTGTGAGGATGGAACGAGTAAAACCTTGATTTTTAGTATTCTTCATAAAGATCGGCTGGGTCCCTTAGGTCTCTAATGTAGTTACTTGGTGAAATCTTCCCATATTGCCTGAAAGCACATGAATTTGCTGTTGGTATTACGCCTTGGTTGAATAATTGTTTAGTAGTTGGAACCATCCTTCCCCACCTTACTTTTCTCACCCACCTTACTCATTTTGTCCATCCATGTTTCAGTTGTGATACTGCAGTAACAAAGCACATGTTCAGTGAATGTTGAACTTCCCTGAATGGATGTGCTTTGTGTTAAATGCAGAAAACAGTAAACCATAACCCCTGCCTTCAGGCCTTAAGAGTCTAGTGGTCCAAACATACATGCAAGAAATGATAGTAAGTCTTGATGCATGGTAAAGCACATGCTTAGCATGCACAAGTCCCCTGGGTTCTATCCCCAACACCAAGAAAAAATTTTTCTGGTTAAAAGTGAACAAATTTAGCTCAGTGGTACCACGCCTGCCTTGCAAGTGCAAGGTCCTGAGTTCGATATCCGGTACCAAAATTAAAAATTAAAAAAGAACAAATTAAGGAACATATAGAGTGAAGTTTTCCATAAGTCTTATAATTAAAATGGGATTCTTAAAATCCCTGGATTTTTTTTTTTCTCTCCCTGGAGTGCTTAGAAGGGAACCTAGCACCTTGCACATACTAGGTAAGCACACTGTTACTGAGCTGTACCCACAGGCCCATCCCTAGGCTTTTAAAGCATGAAAGTAGTCAGGCTTGCCAGTAGACTTTCCAGTAGGATGGAAAAAAGTATCGTATTTGCCATGTGGATGTGTTGAGTGTGTGTTTGTGTTGTACTAGGGATGCAACCTGGGGTTTTGCTCACCTGAGCTACTCTACCCCCAGCCCTCCTCTTTGCCCGTGTGTGTGTGTGTGTGTGTGTGTGTGTGTATGGTGTGTGTGTTACTGGGGGTTGAACATTGGGGTGTGCTGCCACGGGGCTAGAACCCCATCCCTTTTTATTTTGATACAATGTCTCACTAACTTGCCCAGGCTGGCCTCAAACTTGTGATTCTTCTGCTTTAGCTGTGGTCCCAGGCATGTACCAACACACTGCTCATCCATCTTTGCCTTTGGATCATTTTTTGGAGCATTCCTTGGGTATTGTTCACAACTTAAGTAGCAGTTCACCATGTGTCTAACATCCCTATTTTTCTGTAATTGTCCATGAGAATAATTCTTTTAGTAAGGATACTTGTTGAATGGAAGGTAATAGTAGTTTCCAATTGAATAAAAAATTGAAAATGTTAACTAATGGTGAGATCATGAAAAATTTTTTAAACTGCGTGTTGTGTAAATAACGTGTTTGAGGTTTGGCCTGAAATGGGCTGCTCCTAAAAACATCAGTCAAATTGTGGAATGATAACCTGTTAGTTGTAACAGAAACAGCTGGTAGAATTTGGTGGCTTAAAAATGTTTCATATATTGCCTCAACCATTTGTTAACATTTTACTACATGAGTTTAGAAACTATGTAATGAATTTATACTCAACCAGTTAACCTTACAATGTGCTTCAGCTTTATGAGCATTTACCTTTTCACCATAAACTGTCATAGATATAGCCTTAAAACTGTGTAATAAATGTAAATAAGGTCTTGATTCTTTTAAACATAAAGGGATTATTCCCAGTTAGAATTGTTGCTAGTATTACTTTGTTCTTTTCTGTCTTACATGATACTGCACTGGTAGAGCCTAGCTGAGTCAACCAAAAGATACTATTTCTAGACCCAAAAGTGTGTTAACTAGAAATTTGTTTCTGAATATTTTCTTGAAGAAAACAGTAGAAACTTTGTAGGGGTTTTGGTTGGTTTGGTTTCTTTTCTGGTTTTTTGTCATGTGGTACTGGCTAAGTGACCCAGCCTGCCCTGGAACTTGCTCTCTTCTTGCCTCAGCTTCCCAAGGAGTTAGGATTACAGACTGCATCACTGCCCAACTATATGTACCTTTTGTTTCCTTCTCAATTGCTCCTGGCTGCAAGGCATTGGGCAGGCAGGGAGATCCGGTATAAGTCAGAAAATTCTCTTTGCTAGCTAAATCAGGTAAGGCAATTTTTTTTCTGAAGATCACAATTTGTTTCAGTATGGATGCTGGCTTTGGTCACAGGCCGCATACCATAGTATTATAAAAGGATGATTTCATGTATCCTCATTTGGATCTCAAGTACTTAAGGGTTTTTGGAGGCAATTACTGTTAAATACTCTTTTCAAATCTGCTGTCACCTCATAGAATAGGCAGAATTTTTTTTTAATTATTCTATTTTATTTTTTAATTTTTTATGTTTTTGGTTTTTTGATACATCTCGTTATTAGTTCAGGCTTGAACTCACTGTGTAGTCCAGGCTGGCCTCAAATGCATAGCAGTCCTCCTGCCTCAGGCTCCCAAGTGCTGGGATTATAGGTGTGTTCTACCACACCCAGCACAATCTCATAGTGGTGTACCATATTCTGAATAAACTAAATCTGATCTAGAATTTCTGTGTTTATTTGGTGTAATTTAATGCTCCTTCCCTCAATTTTTTTGCTGTTTGCAGAGCCAGAGCCCAGAGGTGGAGCAGTTAGGGAGGGTTGTGGAACTGGACAGCGACATGGTAGATATCTCCCAAGAGCCAGTTTTGGATTCCATGTTAGAAGAGAGCATGCCTGAGGATCAGGAACCTGTGTCTGCCTCAACGCACATTGCATCTTCACTGGGAATTAATCCACATGTCTTACAGGTGAAGTTTTAACCCACCCTTACTACAGAAAACCAAACTAATATATTATCTCTCTTGCATAGCATCTAGCCTCTTCCTTGATTATTCACTTAAACTTATTGAGTATTCAGTGTGATGGAAAAATATATATGGCTGGTGTTTCAGCCTTATTTTCCCATTCAGGAGGGAAGCTTATATTGAGAATCAATATAAGGCTTCTGGACTTAAGTACATTAGAATTAGAAGACCATGTTCTAATCCAAGTTTTGTAATGACTGGGCAAATCATTTAACTATGAACATTGATTTTTCTCTATAAAATACTATGTTGACTTACTTAATGGGGTGGTCTTGAGGGTCTGTAAGTGCTCCACAGAACTTAAAAACCTAGTACATACAGGTTTTTTTAAGCTCTGTGCTTCCCTCGCCCCATTACTTTTTTTATGAGTTTAGTCTTTGACTAATGTTTGACTTAAAAAGTATTCAACAGATGTGAACAACTGCTGTGTGCCAGGCTGTGGTGAGGCTTTTATAGATACAAAGAAGAGAAGAATTACATGACTTCTTCCCTTCAGGCACATACAGTGTAATAGTGATGGACACAGCCTTGAAGGAAAGAAAAATTTTTGGTTGTTATAAACTGAACTTTTCTGGCATTTTATTTGTGGGGAACACATTCATTCTGTAGATAATTGCCTTTTTAGATCATGAAAGCATCATTGCTTGCTGATGAAGAAGATGTAGATATGATGGATCAACCCTTCAGTCATCTTCCTTCCAAAGGAGATACTTCTGAAGAAATCTGTTCTCCGAGACTCCCCATTTCAGCAATCCATTCATCGAAATCCCGTTCACTAGGTACCATATAAAATACATCATTTTACTAGGAAGCTGTAGTGTCATCATTCCATGCTCTTTGGTCTCTTCTAAGCTGAGAGGACTTCTCTGCAAATACCCCTACCAGGCAGAAATTGTATTTATAGATATCTTTTAGGTGTGGCCAGAACCAAAATTACCTTTGTTGTACAAATGTAGAAGCTGTATGAAGAAAAGCATTTATGGTTTGTTTAGTGGCATGTTTTTGGCTGCTTATAAATGTGTATTAGTAAACTCTGATTTCCTAATTTTTTTTAATACGTTATTTGGAGTATTCAGCAAGTCATCCTGTGCTGTACTCTTTTGGGGCAGTCCTTACACTATTTTATTGCTTTCTAGGGATAAGTGGTGTTCTTTGTAATTAAAAACTCATCGGATTTCTACTTTTCCCTAAGCCTTCTAAAATTCCTAGGGAGGGTATTACATTCTTTGATTTTAAAGCTTATCTTTCTCTAGAGGGATTGGAAATAGACTATTGATGTCAGTGAAGAGCTTAAGCAGTAACTACCAGAAAGATATTTATGTTGCCTTAAAAACTAAATGTTCAATTTTTTTTTTTTTTGGTACTGAGGATCGAACTCGGGTCCTTTCACTTGCAAGGCAGGCAGTGGAACCACTGAGCTAAATCCCTGGCCCCTAAATGTTTAATTTTTTATGTGCCCTTATTATAAACTTTTAGAAAAATACTCTGACTGATGAAGCATTGTTTTTTTGTCTCTTGTGTTTTGTTTTCTTTAAGACAAGGTCTTACTGTGTAGTTCAGGCTGACCTTGAACTAACTGTGGAGCCCAGGCTGGCATCGAACTCAAAGTGATCCTTCTGCCCTCAGCCTCCCAAGTGTTAGGATTTCACCATGCCCAGTGAAATATCAGTTAACAAATTCTTTTGGGCCGGGATTTAGCTCAGTGGCACAATGCCTGGCTTGCAAGCACAAGGTCATGAATTTGATCCCTAGTACCACCAAAAAAAAGAAAAAAGAAAAAAAAATTCTTTTTCCCCAGTTCAGAGTATGAATTTGAGGCCTGGTACGTGCTAGGCAAACGTTCTATCACTGAGCTACATTCGCAGTTAAACACTGTTAATAACATTTTTCATAATGGATACTACATGAAAATCTTATACTTTGATAACTCTTAATTCCATGATTTAACACAAGAAATATATAAAATTGAAGTCAAGTATGGTGGCACGTACTTGTCATCCCTGCACTCTGGGAGGCTGAAGCAGGAGGATCACAAGTTTGAGCCCAGCCTGGGCAATTTTAGCAATTTAGCAACATTTTGTCTTTAAATTTAAAAAAAGTTTTTAAAGGGCTGGGATGTAGTTTAGTGTAGAGACCCTAGGTCCCCATTCCCCAGTACCAGAAAAACAAAACACCTGTATATTTATATAAAATTGAAAAGGGGCAATAGTAATAAGAACTCTTCTTTAGAAAGGCACATGTACAATCATAAGATACCTCTGTGATTTTTGTTAAGTCTTAACATTGAACACTAGAGAGTAAGAACTTGAGTATTATAAGAACTAAGAAAGGGTCACATGTCGGATCCCACTGAGGTTATGAGCATTGATGCCAGACTTCCCTGAGTTCATCTCCCATTCTTGCCACTTACTAGCTTTCTGGATTTGGACACCTGAGGTGAATTTTTTCATTTGTAAATTGGAGGTGATAGTAATGTTTACTGTTTAAAATTCCTGAAAGGGAAATGATGTACACAAATGTCTTACGGAGTCTGCTGCAGAAAAGTGCTAAGTAATTTTTCAGAGGTAATAGTGGTAGTGTTTGTTAATATTACTGTTACTGACATAATCATCCTTAAAGTTCTTACATTGATTTCCTGGTTGAAAGAATAATTTCTACATTAGTTGACTTAGCTTACCTCTGGTCATCTACATTTGATTTAATTAGTTTGATGAAATACTGAATGATTTCTGCCTTACTGATTTTTGATGTTGTTCAAGAACCGAAACTATGTTGTTCAGAGTCTTTTTCCTCCTCATTTCAGTCGGTGGGTTACTACAATCAAAATTTACAAGTGGAGCTTTTCTTTCACCAAGTGCCTCTGTGCAAGAATGTCGAACACCCAGAGTATCATCATCAATGAATATACCATCTACATCCCCTTGGTCTGTCCCTCCACCCCTGGCCACTGTGTTTACAGTGCCTAGCCCATCCCTTGAGGTTCAGTTGAAAACAGTGGGCACACGCAGGCATCCAGGCTTGGTCCCTCTTGAAAAGTCTGTCATGTATGGCAAGGGAAATCTCCTGATGGATATGGCCCTGTTCATGGGACGCTCATTTAGGGTTGGTTGGGGCCCTAACTGGACTCTTGCTAATAGTGGAGAACGGCTGAATGACTCTCATGAACTGGAAAATCATCAGATTGCTGATTTTATGGAATATGGATTCCTACCCAATCGAGTAGCTGTTAAATCGTGAGTTACATTTTTTGATAATTTTTGAGAAATTAATGTAGTAGGTGAAAAAAAACCAACTTGTTATTATCAGGAAATCCAAGGTCAGGACCCTGCTTTGTGACTTTTTTTATTTATTCCTAGCACAATTTTAGATAGGAAGGTTTTTTGTTGTTTTGGTTTTATTTGTACTACTGGGTATCAAACCCAGGGTAGTCTACCACTGAGCTACACCCCCAGTCATTTTTTTTTTCTTTTTTTTTTTGGTACCAGGAATCGAACTTAGGACCTTGCACTTATAAGGCAGGCACTGGAACCACTGAGCTAAATCCCTGCCCTGCCCCCCAGCCATTTTTGTTATTTTGAAGAGGTCTAAATTGCCCAGATCAGCCTCAGCCTCCTGAGTAGCTGGGATTACAGTTGTGTGCCACCATACCCGGCGAGTCTCTTTTTAGTGTCTGTAAGTTTAGTTTCATTACTTTTGATAACTAAGTGTTTATGAAACAGGCATCTCACAATATCTTTTGGCCTTTTAGATTTTATATATCCAGATGCAGGCTAAAACCAGTTCAAGATCCCATGGTGGTTATAATCTGGCCTAATAAATAAGAGACCTTTGGGTTCTGAATGCCTAGATCAGATTATTTGTTTACTCATTATATAGTAGATAAATTCAGTATAGTTTGATATTAGGAAATATAATTTTTTTAAACCTGAGAATGGATTTATCGTGTTTGTGTATGTGTGTGTGTGATACATTTTGATGATTTTACAGAAATACTGATTCTTGTAGAGTTAATGTTTAATCTCTTTGTGTGTGTGTGTTTGTGTGTGTGTGTGTGTGTGTAGTTACTGGGAATTGAACTTGGGACCTTTCCACTGAGCTACATCTTCAACCCTTTTTATTTTGAAACAGGGTCTTGCTAAGTTGCCAAGGCTGAGCTGAGACTTGTGATCTTCCTGCCTCTATATTTTTTATAATTAAATATTTAAAATTTTATTTTATTGGGCTGGGGATTTAGCTCAGTGCCACCGATCCTGCCTCACAAGGACAAGTTCTGAGTTCAATCTCCGGTACCAAAAAAAAATTTGTTTTTAGATTTTATTAGTACATGTTTGTAGTATATGAAGTTTGCATTTACCTTAGGGAATAGGTACATATACATAACATTCCTTGATTTTCTTTTTATTCCCCCTTCCACTCCCCACCCACATAATAACGTATTAATTGAAAAAATGAATAGGATTCTCTGTGACATTTCCATGTACGTATACATCATGTATTGATCATAACAAAATTTCTTTAAAAATCACTGAAATGTTTCGCATTCTATTTGTAATAAAAAGAAATAAAGGTTTGGTTGTAGGGAAATCTTAGCTTCTGTCTTACTTTCTTTTTCTATCTTGTTTCTTATTTGTTGTTCTTGTAGCCTAACTGAGTCCCCATTCAAAGTTCACCTGGAAAAACTCAGTCTGAGACAAAGGAAGCTGGATGAAGACCTGCAGTTATTTCAGACACCTTTGGAGCTGAAATTAAAACATAGCACTGTCAATGTTGATGAACTATGTCCTTTCATCACCCCCAATGTGGGAGTTGCTGTCATTCATGACTATGCACGTTGGGTTAAGGAAGTATCCAGAGATACATTGGAAGCACAGAGTGAGTACACACTATGCTTCTGATTTTTAATATCCCAGGCATAGGGGTAGTAACATGTTTCTAGGAGAATAGATTTCCTTACACCAATCTCTTTTTTTTTTTTTTTTTGATACCGGGGATTGAACTCAGGAACTTGCACTTTCGAGGCAGGGGCCAGAACCACTGAGCTAAATCCCCGGCCCTTCCTTACACCAATCTTGAAAACGCATGCCTGACCTTATATCTTTCTGTAACTGAGTTAAGCAGAATCTCATGAAGGAAAAAATTGTTAGCACTTACAGTTCTGTGATTGTTGTTTGATTTTTTTTTTTTTTTTTTTGAGAGTCTTGTTATGTATTTCAAGCTGGTCTTGAACTTATTATGCAGCCCAGGCTGGCCTTGAACTTGCAGTGATCATCCTGCCTCAGCCTTCCAAATGCTGGGATTATAGGCATGTGTCACCACATCCAGATTATTGTTTATAGTTATTATGCTTTGTAATATATAAATCCTTCCTCAAAAGAACTGCAGCCAATAAAATCCCTTGGATTATGGAATTATATACCTACTTTTATTTCAAACAGTAGAAAAATTATATTTAATTACATTCACATGTATTGAAAAATATAGACTGCTTTATAATCTCCTGTTTGTTCATTGTCTCACCGCTTCAAACATGTTAGTTATCTTTCCCAAGACATAAGTGGCTTAAAAGGACAAAAATAGTGATTTTTTTCATTTTGTTTCTTAAGAGGCACTATAGCATTCTGATTTAAAGAATGGAGTTGGACTTTTTACCTATATTAGAATCCTGGCTCTGCTACATACTTCCTGTAACTTTGGGCAAGTCACTTAAGTCTGTAGGTCATTTTTTTCAGCTGTAAAGTGAAGTTAACTATTATATAGTTATGTTGTGTGGATTAAAATTGGTTTCCTTAAAGTACTGTGAACAGTGTCATTTAAACTCAGTAAGTTTTAGACTATCCTGTAACAGGATAGAATAATCTCTTACAAGTTTTTAGAGTACTTTACATCACCTAAAGCACTTTGTAGACAGATTTAGATCAAATTAGAGGATCTTTATCATCTGAGATGACTAAGATGGAGGGTTTTGGGGTAATAAATTTGAGTGAATGTTTGTGATATGTATTAATTTATAGATTTTTTTTTTTTACACTACAATTAGAGTGATTCCCTCTCTGGAATTGTAAAATTTTGTGTCACAGCATTACTTTTTTGTCTTTCCTTAGTTGTGAAGCCCTGGAGCCTGACATGGACATTATGTGAAGCCCTGTGGGGCCACCTGAAAGATCTTGACAGCCAGCCGGGTGAGCCCAGTGCATACACTCAGATTCTAGAGCGGAGGAGAGCTTTCTCCCATTGGCTATCCAATAGTGCTACAGCTGTAATTGAAGAGGAAGTCTCGATCCGAAAAGACAACCCTATAGAAGCTGTCTTCAGCTACCTCACAGGCAATAGGATCAGTGAGGCCTGCTCTCTGGCACAGCAATCAGGTAGGCAATATGGTCCTTCTCTGTGCCCTTGCCTTCTTCCTACTCACTGTCCACTACCCTACTCCTTAGTTGTGAATTTGCCTTATCTCCTAACCTGTATGAAGTGTGGACTTCCCAGGAAGATTGCTAGTTACTACAGAAGGGGCCATGTCCTCTTTGCTTTAACATCTCTCTAGAACCTAACATGTAATATTTGCTTAATTAAAAGTAATTGTGTTACATACACATTTGCAGTAAAATGAGAAAATTCAGAAACACAAAAAGCAATGAATCACAATCATCCAATCCTATCAGTTCAAACATTTCAATGTACAGTTTATACTTGAATGGTTTTCTTTATAGTATACATAATATATACATACATGTGCACTCAGGACAGGAAATACCTATAAACTTACAAAGACAGTTTCTTGTTGTGTATTCTGTTCTTTTCATGTATGTTATAAATGTTGTATAATATAGATATATTTAAACACTTAGAAGCTTTTATGCATAAATACATTAGCAAATTCTTTTTATAACACTTGCCTTTTTTTGAAAGTTTTTTCTGTAAATAGTATTTAGAACATCTTAAACATAAGTTTTTTGTATTGATCTACTTATTTCATCCAAATAAATATATAGGATTTGTTGTTGTTGAGGGAGGGAAGAAAGGAAGAAGAACACAGTTTGATGGGGACTTAGGAATTGGATTGAAAGGACCTGGCCTCTGGATACTGCCTTCTCTCTCCTGCTGAGAAACCCTATGCCTTTACCTTGACCTTGGAAGCTCCTGGGAAGAGCCTCCATCTTGGGAGGGGAAATATGTTTATTCTGTGAGGAAGTGAGACAGGTTGCTAGGGTAGAGGGCTAAGAGCCACATGTTAGGTGATGTACCCCTATCTTCCTGTGAGGATGGAGTTCACAGAGGCCTGAAAAGATAAGGTAGCCTCACATCTTGGCTGTTGGGAGGGGTGGGTAGGGTCTCAGAACAAGTAGTCTTAGAAAAAGCAATGCATAATGTAAGTTGGCCCCTCAGTCCCACCACTTTCCTGTCATATCCAGAAACTCCATTCTCTTCTCCTCACTCTGAGGTCTTAAGATGGCTGGCCTTGGAGTCCATCCTAACTCTCGTCCTTGCCTAGATAGAACTTCTCCTAGGCCTCCTGTACAGATGCACTGCCTGAGCAGGACCAGGGTGATGGGGAGGAAACAGAATGAACCAACCTTCTCTTCTGGAAGATTTGTGCTTTCAATATTCACACCTTTACTCATGCCAAAGATCATGCCTCGGATCCTTTCTACAGAGCCATAATTTGCCCTTTGGGTCTTTTTTTTTTGGTACCAGGAAGCAAACTCAGGACCTTGCGCTTGCAAGGCAGGTGCTGGAACCACTGAGCTAAATCCCCAGCCCCGCCCTTTGGGTCTTTTAAATTCAAGACCCAGCTCACATGCTACCTGTTGTGTCCCTGACCCACCATCCCACATGGCTTCACTTCACTGCACAACTGCAGAAACTATACATGGTCCCATTCATTAAATGAATCCTATGTTGCCACCTACTACTACTACCTAGTATCTCCCACTACCTGAAGCTCCCTGAAGGTAGGAGCAGTTCATATTCTTTTTAGTTACTCTGCTTGACACAAAGTAGACTAACTAACTTAACTCCCAACAAAGCCCACATTCCTGTGGAAGCTGATCTCCCTGCTGTAGATAAATAGGACTGGAGTTCACTGGAGAAATACATAGAGCCAGTGTGGGAGGTAAGGGTGAGTTGATGGTAAAATCTCGAAAAGAAGGAGGCAGGTAGAGTTTTGTGGTGAGAGAGAACATGGGTCAGAAGTCTAAAGGCCCACCAGAGGTGAGAGAAATGGACAAAGAAAAAGCTAGAGAGGAGGGAGGGAGAACAAGGATGACAGCAGGAGATTGCAGTGGACCAGAAGGAGACCTTCTATGTACAGAGTATTGTAGAAACATCTAGAAATTTAATTTCTGGGTTAAGGCATTAGTGGTTTTTAAAGGATTTTCCATAGGTATATTTATGCTTTTTTTTTTAGTTCCCTTTCTAATGTTCAGCAAATGCTTAATGACTGTGTTGGTACAAATCTTGATAAAAATTTAGAACAACATAGTTCAGCTTCATCTATGTATAATTAGATCTGTGAGGGCCGGGGATTTAGCTCAGTGGTTTCACTGCCTGCTGTGCAAGTGCAAGGACCTGAATTCGATCCCCGGTACTGTACCAAAAAAAAAAAAGATAGATCTTTGATCTGACCTTGTTTATCGGCACCTAATTCATCTATACCCAACTAAGTAAATGAAGTCATCACTGGGTTTATTTTGGAGCACTCGACTAATTTTGCAATAATAAAAAACATCATATAAAAAGCTAGAATCAATAACTTACTTATAAATGGCCAGTTATATTCCACTATCACTACACATTTAGTTCAGTACCTTTTATGGTCTTATACATTTGTACAATGTGAATTGATCTTCAGGATTGATCCTTTGTAAACTTTTAAAGATTACGAGTCAGTAAGAAGGTAATGTACTCACCAGCATACCTGGAGCTCATGGGAAGGGATTTTAAAAAGTGTAAGAAGTCAAGTCCTTCAGCCTTTTCATTTAACTCTACTTTTTGCCCCCCTTTTTCATCTGATACCAAGATTAAACCTTTGGCAAGGTTACTTAAAACTGACAAAACAACTAGGGAGAAAATCGAGAACATAGAAAATTTAGAGCTGGGTATGGTGGCCTGCGCTTGTAATTGTAGCATGCAGGACACTGAGGCAAAAGGATTGAGTCCAAGGCTAGCCTGGACTACATATCAGACATTGTCTCATAAAACAAATAAACAAAACAGGGTGGGGCAGGTTAATTTACACATTTTAGGGGCCAGGTGTATTATGTACAACTTACTTTGAAATACATCAAGAATGGATTCATAGATATGTGAATCAATGGATAAAACAATGGATATGTGAATAAAATGTTAAATACTCTAGGAAAAAATTAACATCTCAAAAAAAAAGGCAGTTAGAACTGATACATGGAAGGCTGGGATTTAGCTCATTGGCACCACGCCTGCCTCACAAGTGCAAAGTCCTGAGTTTGATCCCCAGTACCAGAAAAAAAAAAGAACTGATACATGGAATCCAGAGTCTGGTTAGTGCATCTCTTGCTGTGGCAACCACTGCTGTATATTCAGGCTTCTGAAGAGGCTTGCCACTCGTGTCCTTTACTGTGGCAAAAAGGAAGTCTGGTTGAATCCCAGTGAGACCAATGAAAGCACCAGTACCAAATCCTGTCAGCAGATTCAGAAGCTGAACAAAAATGGTCTGATTCGCAAGTCTATGCCTGTCCAGTCCTGGGCTCAAAGCCAGAAAACACTTCAGCTCATTGGAAAGGCAGGCATAACAGCATAGGTGAGCAAAAGGATACAGCTGGTGCTGAAATGAGAGAAGATAACCTGAATGAGAAGGAGGCAGATTCTGCACAGACTTTGCTCAGGAGGTCTTGTGAATCTAAGAAGATTGACCACCACATGTGTCAGTCTGTACCTGACAGTGAAGGGAAATGTGTTCAGAACAAGCTCAGGGCAGACAAGGCCTGCAAGTCTAAGATCCAAGAAGAGGGGAAGATCATTAAAACTGTCCAAAGAGGAAGAGACCAAGAAATGAAGCTCCCATCTAATGTCTGTACACAGTGGCCAGGGTGATTATATACATCAGTCATTGAAATAAAACAAGCTTTTATACATTACAAAAAGAACGGGTAGGCCAGGGATTTAGCTCAACAGTACTACGAAAAGTCCTGAGTTCGATCCCCAGTACCAGAAAGAAAAAGTACCCAGTCATGGTGGTGCTTGCCTGTAATCCCTTCACTGGGAAGGCTGGAGCAGGAGGATTGCCATGAGTTCGATGCCAGGGTGGGCTACATAGTAGTTCAGGGTCAGCCTGAACTACATGGTGAGACCCTATATCAAAAAAATGAGAGGGAGGAGAGAGAGAGGGAGAGAGGAGAGGAGAGGGAGGGAAGGGAGAGAGAAAGTACTGGGACTAAGGTAGTTTAGGAAGGTGATAGGATTCAAAATCAATATACAAAGTTCAATTGTGTTTCTCTATATTAGCAACAAACTATCCAAAAGAAATTAAATAAGATACAAATGAAACAAAACATAAACTAAAAACTATAAAACTTTGCTTTTGCTGAGAAGATAAAGATCTAAATAAATGAAGAGATATTCCAGGTTTATAAAATGAATATTTCTCAACTGCAGTACTCCAGAGAGGACTGTTAATTCTTGTGGGGGCTGGCCTGGTATCCCTATCTTTTCCCTCTTGTTTTAACAATCAAAAATGTTTCTAGGCATGGCCAGGTTTCTCCTGAGGGGCACACCACCCTAGTTAAGAAACACTAATTGATTAAAAACCTTAGTATTAAGATGTCTGATCATTGGGCATGGTGGCGCACACCTGTGATCCCAGCACTCAGGAGCCAGAGGCAGGAGGATCGCCAGGAGTTTGAGGCCAGCCTGAATACAAAGCGAGACCTTGTCTCAAAAAAAAAAAGATGTCTGTTCTTCTCAAATTAATATGTACAATTGAAGCAATCCTTAGCCAAATCTTCAACAAGTGTTTTGGCAAAAATTGAAGACTGATGCTTATATGGAAATATGCAGAACTTTATTTGGGGAAGTTGACTCAAGGTGTTCAAAACTTGCTTATTTCAAAATTTATAGAAAGCTATATTGATCCAGAGAGGATTAACACATAGATCAATGAAATGGAAAATGAGAATTCAAATACAGAACGTTTTCACTTATAAAGAGTTGATTTTTTTTTTCTTACAAAGGTGCCAGGATATTCTAAATGTGGGAAGCATAATTTTTTCAACAAATACTGTGATATTTTGATATCCACATGCAAAAAAGATTGATTAGATACCATACACAGAAATTTACTTGAGCTGAGCACAATGGTGCATTCCTGTAATTTCAGCTCTGAAGAGGTTGAGGCAGGAAGATTGCAAGTCCAAGTCCTTACTGGGCACAGTGAGACTGTTTCAAAGAACTAATAAGGGTTGGTGATATAACTTAGTGGTAGCGTGCCCTGGGTTCATTTCCCAGCACACACACACACAATTGAGGATATGCCCTGGAATTGTACTGTTTGCTTAGTATATTTTCTCCTAAATAGGAAAATCTGTAAAGTCAAAGGTTGACAGAAGCTGATTAACTGATCAACAGTGACATGACCTTAGTAAGTGATTGTATCAAGCTGTGATAAATCAGTATCTTTTGACCAGTATTACTCTTTGGGCTTCTATAGACACAGAAAAGGTCTTTCCTTTTTTCCTTTGTAAGTCACCTAGAATACTAGTAGCTCATGGTCAAGTGGGCTTCAGTACTTACAGTATGAACTGTAGTCTACTCATGTTCTGATTACCTGTATGCAGTTAAGGAGACAGCTTACCCTAGCAGCACCTTTCCAGCTGTGTTCCCAATCCAGGTCTCCTTTCATCTAGGCCACTCTAATTTGTGAAGGAAGCCCTTTGAGATGAGAGCTTTAGCTTATATAATGTAAACTAAGCCCTAACTCACACAGAAACAAAAAGACTTGACTTTCAGGAGGTTTGCGATATGGGCTAAACAAAGAATTTTTGCGTAAGTCACATTTTAACTAGAAATTTGCAGTGTGATTAATTTGAAACTTTTTACTTGAAAAACATTTTAAGATTATTGGGCCCGTGGAAATGAATGACTCCTTATATACTTTATGCAAATCACACCGTTTTTTTTTAGTTGTAGTTTCTCACTTCTCTGTGTTATGATGTCCTACATTCTAGTTGGCATGTTTTTCATTCTGTTATCTGATTTTTCACTACAAGTCTTTGAATCAGAAGATGTTTTTCTCCATTTTATAGATGGAGTGCCTTACTTAGGGATACAAAAGTAGTAGTGGGTCTGCTTATGATCTTCATGTGCTATGCAATCTATCTGTAACTTAAGTTAAACTATTTTTGCAGATTTTTTACTCAAGCAGAAAGAGATGTTTTTTGATCCGTATTTTGGCAGTGCTGCAGGAAGCAGTCACAGGTGTTAAGCCCTTCCTCCTCAGGGCTGGAAGAAAAAAGATAATGATTAAGTGTATCACCAAACCCATAAACCCTTAGTAATCACCAGAGAACTTCTGTTTCTCTTACAGGCGATCATCGCCTTGCCCTTCTTTTATCTCAGCTGGTGGGGAGCCATTCACTCCGGAATCTGCTGTCCATGCAGCTGGCGGATTGGCATCATCTCCATGCCGACTGCTTTATCCAGAAAGAGAGACTGCGAGTCTATGCCCTGCTAGCTGGAAAACCGGTATTGTCCCCCCTTTTACTATAATCTCTCATCAGTTTTTTTGTAAATTTAAGGCTACTTGAGCTTGAGGCCAGCATATCTTTGTAAGTTGTACACTATTACATGTAACTGGGCTGTTGTTAATTTTCAGTGGAAATATTTTCAAATTACAAAAGCAGACACTATGTGCATGTTGTTTAAAAAAAAAAGACTACTCATGGTGGCTCGTATCTACAATCCTAGAATTCTGGGAGGCTGAAGAATGCAGATCACTAATTCGAGCTCTGCATGGCCAACTTAATGACCTCATGAGAACCTATCTCAAAATTTTTAACTTTGTTTTTTTGAGACAGCCTCACTGTGTAGTCCAGGCTGGCCTTGAACTCAGTGATCCTCCTGCCTCAGCCTCCCAAACACTGGGATTACAGGTGTGTGCCACCGCTCCATGCTTTAAATTTTTTTAAAAAGGGCTGGAGATGTAGCCCCAGTACAAAAAAAAAATTTCTTCCTAGTTATTCACCATATTCTATTGGTAAACATTGTAAATAATTTGTCGATTCAGTAATAAAATAGCTAATCGAATTTATTCTTAAAATTTCATAAGTTAGTAGCTGTAGGCAGTGAGACCTCTCTACCGTCATCTCAGAGCACTGATGTTGTCTCCATCCACCCTCTCACCTCTAACAGACTGTTATTTTTTTTATATCTGGTTCATTAGTGCTGCCATCTAGATCATTTAAAATATTACTTAAGGGGCCCGGGATTTAGCTCAGTGGTTCCGCCGCTTGCCTCGCAAGCGCAAGGACCTGAGTTCAATCCCTGGTACCAAAAATAAAATAAAATAAAATATTACTTAAATAAGTGAGTAAATTGCACACATAGGCAGTAACAAGGTAGAATACAGCTGTGGTGGTGATTTTATGTCCTGCAGGTGTGGCAGATCTCGCAGCAGAAGCAGATCAATGTGTGTGCCCAGCTAGACTGGAAACGCTCCCTCGCTGTCCATCTTTGGTATTTGCTTCCACCAACAGCTTCCATTTCCAGAGCACTCAACAAGTATGAAGAAGCATTTCAGGTATGTATGTCCAGTACAGCCCATCAAAAGTCCTGGTGATTCTGTCTTTCCCAGAGAAGTCCTGCAGAGAAACCTATCAAATCACATTTTATGATAAAACAATTTTTTACTAACTCCCCTTTTGAAAATGGCATAAAATTGAAATGAACCCAGGAAACCTGATAGGAAACGTCATTATTTACTCCTGCCTCTGGATAGGGCTACTTTTAAAACTTCTTCAAGTATCTCCTTTCATTTTATTTAAAAGGATGAGTATCCATAGTTAATTTTCTGACTACTGTTTTCCTGCCTGTAAATCAAAGGGGTTTTCTTCATTCCTAAACTGCCTTATCCCTTTTGGAATTCTTTGATATACAGCCTGACCTTAGGCAAGGTTTTGTCTGTAATTTGCGATGAAATTTGCCTCTGAATATCATACTTCATATTTTTAGTCAATGTTGAGGTTAAAATAGTACTTTTTGGGCCAGGGATTTAGCTCAGTGGTTCTGCTGCCTGCCTCACAAGTGCAAGGTTACTGAGTTCAATCCCCGGTACCAAAAAAAAAAAAAAAGTACTGCTTTTTTTAGTATTACTGTTCTTGATGCCATCATTTCTTCAATCTTCTTCTTACTGCCTATATTTTATATTCCTCTTGTCTGTCATTTGTCAGAATTATTTGTCCAGAGAGAGTACTAAAGAAGCTGAATGTATACAAGACTTGTGGCAAGTATAGGAGTTTTTTTGGTTTGGTTTGGTTTTTTGGTACCAGGGATGGAACATGGATCCTTGTGCTTGCAAGGCAGGCGGCAGAACCACTGAGCTAAATCCCTGGCCCAAGTATGGGAGTTTAGTGAGAGCCACTAGTCTAGATAGAATACCTCATTGACCAAGAACACTTTTACCTTTATAGATTCCTTTAGGATATCACAGCCTTCTTTTTCCTTTTTTTAGTACTTAGGGATGGAACTCAGGATTTTGGGTTTGCAAGGCAGGCCTCAGCACCACTGAGCTAAATTCCCGGCCCATCACAGCATTCTTTTTTTTTTGAGGGGGAAGGGTACCAGGGATCAAACTTGGGACCTTGCACTTGCACAGCAGGCAGCGGAACCACTGAGCTAAACCCCCACCCTCATCACAGCATTCTGAATGCAGGTTTCTGAATAATTGAGACATCCTAGCATCTAGTGAAACAGACTACCCACTGATATACTGTTCTATCCAATTCTCCTCTTCAGAATATCTCCAGTGGTGAAAAATATGCCTGCCCTCCACTTCCTTCATACCTGGAAGGTTCTGGCTGCATGGTACAGAAGGAGAAAGACTCAGAGATCCCACTTCGAGATGTCTGCTTTCACCTTCTAAAACTTTACACTAACAGGTAAAGTAAGCCTAGATATGGTAACTTACTGCTCAGTAAGCCCCTAAAGAGTCTTTTCCTTTTCACACACCACCAAATTAAAACTACTGTAAGTCCATACAAATTATGAAATACAATTTATAATAGATAGATGGAGTAGATGGAAAGAGAATTGAGAGTTAGAAGTCTAAATTTAATTTGATCAATTTTAATGAGATATAATTTGCATATAATAAAGTCTGCAGTTTGTAATTACATAGTTATCACTACCATCATGACCAAAATATTTCCAGTACCCACAGAGAATTCCCTCATGCAATTAATCCCTTTTGCAGTTAATCCTCAGCCCCAGATAACTATTAATATAGTTGGATTTTTGTTATTATAAATTTCTATTATAAATTAGTTTTGCTGTACTAGAATTTCACATAATTGAGATTATTCTGTGTTCTCTCTTGTGCTAGACTTCGACTCAAGATAATGATTGTGAGATTTACCCATGTTAATATGTGTTGAGTATCAGAATTAGTTTTGGTAGAGGGGTGTTGTGTTTTGGGTTTTGGTTTTTGAGACAAGGTCTTGATTTGTAGTTCAGGCTGGCCTTGAACCTGGAGCAGTCCTCCTGCCTCACCTAACGAAGTGCTAGGATTACAGGCATGTTCCACCACACCCTGCTGGGGGTGTTTTTAATATTTTGGTGTATGTGAACTGTTATTTTTATATTCCCACTAGGAATGTTTAAAATTTTTAGTTGAAAAAGCTGGGCTTGATGGCACACCTGTGATCCTAGAAGGCTGAGGCAGGAGGATCACAAAGCTTGGAGCCCTTAGGAAGCAATTTAGAAGACCTTATCTCAAAATTAACAGGAGGAATGTAGTTTAGCACTCCCTGTGTTCAGTCCCCCATACTGCAAAAAATAAGAAAAGAAAAGAAAAATCTGTAGTTGCTTTATATCCTCACCAAAATGCAGCATTGTCAGATTTTTAAATTTTACTGTTTTATTGAGTGTGTAGTGGTACAGTGGTACCTCAGTTCACAAATGCTTTTGTTTGTGAACGGTTTGGTTCGGAAACAAAATCATTTGGCAAAATTTTGTTTTTGTTTGCAAACTGGCAGGTGACAAACAGTTGCAGCCATCTTTCCTGCATGAACACAAACGTGGCCATCTGTTATGGTTTGGGTATAGATGTCCCCCCAGAGTCCCATGTGGTCATAGCTCATGTGTAAAGCTGGAACTGATTTCATGATGCAATGCTAGGTTTAAGGGTGTGAGTGCTACCTGCCCTAAGTAGTCTGAATAAGATAAAGGGGGCAGAGAGACACTGTTGTCTCTTGTTGCCTTTGCTACCTTGTGCATGCCATGTTGTTTCTCCTCTGCAATGCCTGTTTGCCATCCCAGTCTTGGAGTCAGCCGACTGTAGACTGAAACCTTTATGAACTGTAAGCCAGATAAACCCCCTACCCTTTAACTTTGGGTGTCGGGTATTTTGTCTCAGCAACAAGAGAAAAGTAACTAACACACCGTCCTTTCCAAAATCATGGAATAAACTTAAGTTCATGAACCAGGGTACCACTGTATCTCATTTATGTATGTTTGTTTGTGTGTATATGTGCGTGTTTAATAAGAAATGAAAGCCAGGCATTGGTGGCACATGCCTGTAATCTCAGCACTTGGGAAGCTGAGGCAAGAGGATCTTCATGAGTTTAAGGCCTGCGTTGCATAATGAGTTTAAAGCCAGCCTGAACTATCTACATAGTGAGACCTTGTCTCAAAAACAAACAAAAAGGGGCTGGGGATTTAGCTCAGTGTTTCCAGCGCCTGCCTCGCAAGCGCAAGGTCCCGAGTTCAATCCCCGGTGCCCCAAAATAATAAAAAATAAAAAAAAGAAATGCAGTGTTTTTTAAAATCTGATAGTAACATATCAACACATACTGTTATATCTAGTCAATTAATTAAAACTATCAAACTATTTAGAAATATTTTTAAATTATATTAGAATTAGGACCTCTCATCATTTCTTTAAGATGCTTTTTTCCCCAATATGAGATATTATAAAAGTTTCTTATTGTAGTAAAATAGACATAAGTAAAATTTACCGGTTTAAGCATATACATAAAGAACACTCACATTGTTATGTAACTGTCATTCTCATTCATCTCCAGAACTTTTTGTTTTACTTTGTACTTCTCTAATGACTCTGAGAACTTTTTCATGTGCTTACTTACCTTCTCTTCATCTTATGTTTTGTTTTGTTTTATTTTTCTTTTTGGCAGGAATTTTTATCACCAGAGTCTCAGACATTTTACAGAATGTAACAAATAAGTAATATAAATATTATACACTCAAAGGGATTTTTTTTTTTTTTTTTTTGCAGTACCAGGGATCAAACTCAGGACCTTGCCCTTGCGAGGCAGGCGTGGTGCCACTGAGCTAAATCCCTGGCCCTCAAAGGGATTTTTAATTAAAGTCCACCTCCATCTCTTTTTTTTTTGGCCTCTTTTATTTATTTGGGGGGTGCTTTATTTTATTGGTACATCTTAGATACACATAATGATAATATTCATCACAGGGAATTTATACTGTTCATCTTTTTTGCTAATGTGTCTATTAATATCTTTTGCTCATTGTGGGTATGGTGTACTGGGACTTGAGCCCAGAGCCTTGAGCGTGCTAGGCAAATGCTCTCATGCTAAACTACAGCCCTAGCTCCTGTAATTTTGAGACAGGGTCTCACTAACTTGCCTAGGCTGGCCTTGAACTTGTGATCCTCCTGCCTCAACTTCCTGAGTAGCTTGGATTACAAATGTACACCACCACATCTGCTTGCTTTGCCTATTTTCTTTATAGGGTTATCTTTTTGTGTTATAATAGTTCTTCATATATTCTGAATATACTTACTATATATAAGTATTATAAATTGTGCTATATTTTATATTCCCTCAGCATGGGTGTTTGTTTATTTTGAGTTTGTTTTTGTTTTTTAAGACAGTCTTACTATGTAGTTCCAGCTGGCCTTGAACTCACTATGTAGCCCTGGCTGGTCTCAAAGCAATCCCTCTGCCTCCACATGTTCCATCACATCTAGCAGCATGGGTGTTTAAAGTTTTTATACCCCACCATGTATTTAACTGATACAGGAATGTTGAAGTTTTCCACTTATTCACAAGTCAGTTTCAATCTTTCATGTACTTTAGGGACTTTTTATATTTCACCAGAATCACCAAATTTACTGACATAAAATGTTTGGTTGGTTGGCTAGTTGGTTGTTGTTACAGGATCTCACTAAATTGCCCAGGCTGGCCTGAAACTTGGAACCCTCCTGCCTCAGGCTCCCAACTCACTGAGATTACAGGCATGGGCCAGGATGCCCAGCAGTAGCTTGAAGTTATTTATAACACTTTTTCACCCTTTTTTTTCCCCCCAGTACTAGGAATTGAACTCAGGTCCTTGCACTTGCCAGGCAGGTGCAGCACCACTGAACTAAATCCCTGGCCCTCTTACCCTTTTTAAGAAGAATCTATAGGATTGGGCTGGGGATTTAGCTCAGTGCTTCTGACACCTGCCTTGTAATCGCAAGGTCCCAAGTTCAACTACCTGTACCAAAAAAAAAAAAGAATCTATAGGATAACAATCTTTTTGCCTTCCTGGTACTGATTATTTTTTTCTTGCTTAGTCTGTCTACAGTTTACCAGTTTTATTGATCTTTTCAGAGAACCAACTTTCAGTTTCATTGGTTATTCTTTTTTTTTTCCCCCCACTGGTTATTCTTATTGTCTATTTAACTCAAAATGGGCCATCAACATAATGTGAAACTTAACTATAAACCTTGTAGAAGAAAATAAAGCCATACATCTTTCCAAATGTGAATTAAACATTTCTTGACAGCAAATGCACAGTTCATAAAGGAAAAAAATATGCTAAATTGGACTTTACCAAATGAAAAACTGCTTCTCATTGAAAGACTACTAAGAAAATAAAAAGACAGACCTGGGAGAAAATATCTGTCAGTCATATTTCTGATAATGGAATGTGTGATGCATACAAAGTAATCTAAAAGTTAATAAAACAAACCTATTTAAAAATTGGATAAAATATTTAAACATGTTTCATCAGAGAAAACCCAGAGGTCAGATAAACGCATGAAAAGATGCTCTGCATTAGCAGATGATAAGGAAATGCACATTTAAAATGATCGTAAGATACTAGTACCCACCTAGTAATGACTGAAATTTTAAAAGATCTACGGTACTAAGTGTTGTTTTTTAGTTTTTTGACACAAGGTCTCACTGTAGCTCAAGCTGGCCTTAAACTCACTGTGTAGCCCAGGCTGGCCTTGAACTCACAGAGATCCTCCTGCTTCAGCCTCCCCAGTGCTGGGATTACAAGTATGTCCTACCACAACCAGCTTCCAAGTATTTTCATGGATATGGAACAATTGGAATTCTCTCATAGGAAAGATGAAAAATGTCAAACAATATAGCCACTTTGGAAAACAGTTTGGCCACTTCTTTAAAACCTAAGCAAATACCCATAATATGGTTTAGCCATTGCCCCCATAGGTATTTAGCCTAGAGGAATAAAAACATGTCCATATATGAATATATGAATAGCAGCTTTATCTCTAATGGTCCAAAACTGGAAACAAGTAAAATTTCCATCAGCGGGTAAAGGGTAGTAAATTACAGTATATTACAGTGGGATACTATTTGATAACTTTTAAATAGTGAAAAAAATAATTTTCCATTGTTTTAAAAGAAATCATATCCAGGCCTGGGGATTTAGCTCAGTGGTTCCACTGCCTGCCTCACAAGCACAAGGTCCTGAGTTTGATCCCCGGTACCAAAAAAAAGAAACCATATCCAAAAAGATCTGCCCTAATAAAGTACCTATTGTATTATTCCAATTTCTATAAAATTCTGTAAAATAAAAATTAATTTATAATGACAAAAAGATTGGTTGCCTGGGAATGCTGGGTGTGGGGAGGGGCCGGAGAGATTTACACGAGGGCATAAAGATACTTTTAGAGGTAATAGATGTTTATTTTCTGATCTTGGTGGTTTCACAAGTATATGTATACATTAGAACTTAGCAAAGTTGTAGTCTAATTACATGCAGCCTAGTATATCTGTTTTCCAACATGTCAAAAAGAAAAGTATATCTCAAGGTGCCAGAAATGGAGAAATCAAAACAAAAATGGCATACTGAACATATACTTGTTCTCCTCAAAAGTAGAGTTGCTATGACTAAATAAAAGCCTTTACTTAAAATCCATACCCTGTCCCTTAAGTGATTCAGAAACACGCTGATCAGTAGAATAACCCACTAGTCACATATGGCTATTTAAATTTAAATTTTTAAAAATTACTCATTCTCTCTAACCACACTTGAAGTAAAGTTTGTCAAGGCAGATTATAGAACTTTTCCATCATCACATAATGTTTTGTCCATAAGCACTGGTCTAGAAAAACTTAACTCATTACTAAGGAAAGTGTTTAGGAAGTTGTACAAAGTCTGAAATGAAAAAGAAAAGTTATTGGTTAATAATGTAAACCCCAAGGGATTTAGCTAAGTGGAGCCACCGCTTGCCTCGCAAGCACAAGATCCTGAGTTCAATCCCCAGTACCAAAAAAAAAAATCTAAGCCCCAGATCTTTGAAACTTGCAGCTGTGCAGTCTTAGCTTATAAATCTGTGATAAACTGATATCTGTGAATCACAAGCTAGGAATTTATCATATTAGCCCAGGACTATAGAAAGCCCTTGGTCTCAGTCGAAGGAAAAATAAATATTTCTGCAGGGTTATCCATTAAAGACAAAATCAGAGGTAAAAATTATTAAACACTGAGAAAAACTAACCTTTATGAAGAATAATTAGCTGTTCAAACAATTAGCACTGAACAACTTCAGATAACAGATTTGAAAGAGACAAAGGCACCTATGTTTTTTATGTGGTTAAGAAAAGTTATAGCCAAACACAGTGGCACACATTTATAATTCTGGCTACTTGGGAGGCTAAGACAGAAGGATCACAAATTCAAGCCCTGCCTAAGAACCTATCTCAAAAAAATGCTTTTGCTCTCTGGTTCCTTTATTGTCTTCTGAGACAAAGCTAGAACACTTGACTTTTTTAGTCCTGGTGGTCTGCTAGCTGTATGTGGTAATTCTCAGTTCTTCTCTGCAGAAAGTATGATCTCGATCAGCTACTGGAACCTCGAAGTGTAACTGCAAACCCTTTGGACTACCGCCTAAGCTGGCACCTGTGGGAGGTGCTACAGACTCTTAACTATAATCATCTCGAAAAGCCACGTGAGGGAGTGCTTCAGGCCAGTTACGCTGGCCAGCTGGAAAGTGAGGGGCTCTGGGAGTGGGCCATCTTTGTCTTTCTGCACATTGACAACTCAAGGTGAGTGAGGAACCATTGAACCTACTGGCTCCATCCAGCACTTCAAAATAATGCCAAAGGAGCCACAGTTTCTTAGTTTCTTAGGGTTCAGTTCAGCAAGTATAGTGTAGAATGTGTATTAGATGAAGCCATGGGATAGACCTCAAGACAGTTAAGCACTCAGCCCAGACTGTACTCATGTGAACGAGTTAAAAATAAGACTCCCTTTTGATTGTGTGGCAAATTTTATTCATCACAAGGCCCCTCAATAATCTGAAAAGGGAGAAGAAAGCTCTGTGAACTGCAATGATTAGGGAAAGACGAGAGGTAAGATTCAAAGAACCACCCAGGTGTGGTGACACACACCTGTGATTTCAGCACTCGGCAAGCCGAGGCAGAAAGATCACTGTGTGTTCAAGGCCAGCCTGAACTCTATCGTGATACCCTGTCTCAAAAAAGTAATAAAAATGGTAACAAGCGAGCCAGGAATTTAGCTCAGTGGCACCGCACCTGCCTCAATAGCATGAGGTCCTGAGTTTGATCCCTGGTACCAATAAAAAATAATAAGAACAAAAACATATATAGTACTTTGTTATAAGTGGTTTTACATATGTGTACATTCTAAGTACCTTACATATATTAACTCATTTTATGCTCACTATGAAACAGACACCCTCATAATCCCTATTTTACAGATGAGCAAATCAAGACAGAGATAAACTTTTGTTCATTAGTCACTGTGCTGGAAAGAGATTGGGTTTTTCAGTCAGACTTGCCCATATTCTGGTTCTACCATACACTACTTTCTTTGACTTAGGGTAAAGCTTTACTCACTTTGAACTTGGAGTAAATGTACTCTCCAGGCCTTAGTTTTCATACCTGTAAAATTATAATGCTAGTAGTCCTTGCTCAGAGGTGATTGTGGGATGAAGGAGTATAAAGCGTCTAGAATAGCTTTCTGTTTAACCACTTTCTCTTCTCCTTACCATTAATAGGAAGTAGAATCAGACTCTTTGAGTTTATTTAAACACTAATGAGGGATTTTGTGTGGTAAAAGACTAGCTGGTAGGATGACTGGTATTTCAGATTGGCTGTGGGAAAGCAGATCCTGTTTCTTGAAAAAGAATATGGAAGTCGAAAAAGAATATGGCTATTGTAAGACAGAGTCCTTCAAAAACCTAGGAATTCAGAAAAGAGTCCAAGATAAGGAAAATAGTTTTGATCTGAAATTAGAATGATTGCTCCTTTAGCCCAGATAGAAAAGGACTCTCCTTGAGGAATTTTCATCTAGAAATGGAGAATTACTTAGGAAGACTGATAGTTTGAGAAAAGAAAGCAAGTCCTAGAAGAGACATTACCTTGGGAAACTACTCTGCTTATTTTTAGTGGCCATGAGGGAGAAAAGGAAAGCAGGAGGGTAAAAGAAAGTGTACTTGAAAGGACTGCTGTGTGGCGCAGAATTCCCCTTTACTCCTAGGTAGTACCAGGGAAATGTTAACCAGACAGGAAATAAAGAGATACTAGCTGGGGAAGGCCTTTTCTGGGAAGTAGGTGGCCTTCCCTAGAGAATTAGGTTTCTAAAAAATGTTCTGACCATGAAAATATAATGAGTTTAGATTACTGTCTGTTCTATTTTAAAATGTTAGTGTGATGACTTTGGGTTTTTTTGTGTGTGGTACAAGCAGATATTAAAGGGAAAAAACCACTCTTCTACTACTATGAAAAAATAAAACAATTTCATAACAAAATAATTAGATAATAAGTTAATACACTGTGTGTCATATCTGAAAAGAGTGGCCATACTGGGCTGGAGATTTTGCTCAGTGGTTCTGCCACCTGCCTTGCAAGTGAAGACCCGAGTTCGATCCCTGGTACCAAAAAGGGAAAAAAAAGAATGGCCGTACTGTTGCTCAGAATACGAGTCATAGACAAAGGATTCTCTCTCACAGAGAAAATACAAATAGTAAAAAGACAGAACTTTTCAGTGAACCTAAGAAACTATAGTATAAATGAAAAATTAGCATTTATCCTAAAGTATTTTTGAAACAACAGAATAGCTATATATGTCTCTCTAAAGAGAGGAAAAAAGTGTTTTTCATATAAAAAAAACCCATTTAAGAAGACTTAAAAATCTTGAATAATCCAGTAACTGACTTTGGGGTTTTTATGAAGTTTGAAGTGATCCTGTAAGGGTCAAGACCTGCGGATTCAGAGACTGCCCCAAGGGGCCGTGCTCACCTGTCTGGGGCAGCCTTCTGTATGGCACAGGATGGTACTTAGTTCGGCTTCTTTCTTCCTAAGCATTCGTGAGAAGGCTGTTCGAGAGCTGCTTACCCGGCACTGTCAGCTATTGGAGACCCCTGAATCTTGGGCCAAGGAGACTTTCCTTACCCAGAAGCTGTGTGTGCCTGCCGAGTGGATTCATGAGGCCAAAGCAGTACGCGCACACATGGAATCTGATAAACACTTGGAAGCCCTCTACTTGTTTAAAGCTGGTCACTGGAATCGCTGCCACAAACTTGTCATCCGACACTTAGCTTCTGGTGAGTGCTGGAGTCACCCCAAATTCCTCCAACTTCTGAACTCCCATAGTGGGTCAAGCCAGAGATGATTCTCCGTGTAGCACATGCTTTGCAAGTGCTCTCTGAAGAAAAGGCTTGGCCAGGATGAGGGCCTAGAAGGGGGAAGGGAAGATAGCAACGTTGTAAAGTTACCATTTGCCAGAAATATCCTTGATGTGACCAAGTATATATACTCTTTGTATATGGGAATTTTATCTAGCAGCACCATAAATATAGCATGGAGATCTGAAGCCAGAAGGTCTTCACATTTCCCTTCAAGAATTTCACAGTATCTACTTGTAATTCGCAAATCTGATCCAGTATTATTTCTCCTTCCTTCCTTAGATTTCTGCCAGGTCCTCTACACTAGGGAACCGTACACTGACTTATACAGACATTGTGCTCAATATTTTGTTTCTCTAGATGCCATCATTAATGAAAACTATGACTACCTGAAGGGGTTCTTAGAAGACCTGGCACCTCCAGAATGCAGCAGCCTAATTCAGGATTGGGAAACATCTGGGCTTGTTTACCTAGACTATATTCAAGTCATTGAAATACTCCGCCGTATTCAGCAGGTACCTGAATTCCTTAACCACTACCTGGTTTCCTTTTCTCTGGCTGTTAAAGCTTCTGAGACCCCAAAAGGCCTTAGTATATACTTTTTTTTTTTTTTTTGCTGTGCTGGGAATCAAACCCAGGGCTTCATGGCTGATACAGAAATTTTGACATCTGTATCAAAACAAAAAACACTTTTGGGCATGGTAGCACACACCTGTTTTCCCAGCAGTCTGGGAGGCTGAGGCAAGAGCATCTCAAGTATGGACACCCTGGTCCATTTCATGACTTAGCAAGACCTACTGTTAAAAAATGGGCTGGGAATGTAACGTAGCTCAGTGTGAAAGCCTTGGTTCAATCCTCATGACTACAAAAAAACCCAAAACAAACCAATAAACGCTTTTGAGTTTATTTACCAGCTAGTATATGCAGTAGCCATTCTTGAAGATTGTTGTAGCCCTTATCCAGCAGTAATTTCAGTGCACTCCAGTAAAATCGAGGATTGGATGAGGATAATTGTTTCACACATTGTTTGACATGTTTCAAAATTAGAAATATTATGGTTTTAAAGTCTGTATTAAAATATCTTTAGTCAGTCTGGATAGTCATAAGTCTTCATTGCTTGCTTATAATACAGAAACCAAACATATATATATGATTCAGGGCCTTGGCTTTTACCTTTTGTTCCTACTTTAACTCCTACCACTCTTATACCACATTTCAGCCTTGCCAGGTTTTTCTGCTCATACTAAATTATTCAGTATTTCCAGCAAACTGTCTTGTTATAGTCCACTCTTTACCTAGCATACTTGTCCTGATACTTCAAGATCTAAATTGCTTTAGCTCTACTTTTTCTTCTTTTCCCCTCAGAAATTAACTGAACTTTCCCTTGCCTTTGTTTTTGTTAGTTTGTAAAATCATGTATAGTGCTTTGATCAAAAGTTGTCCATGTACTACAGGAGTCTTCAGTTTTTTTTTTGGAACCGGATATTGAACTCGGGTCCTTGTGCTTGCGCAGCAGGCGGCGAAACCACTGAGCTAAATTCCCGGCCCTTCAATTTTTATTTTTGCGTAGTTATACAGTCTGAATGACTAACTTGCAGTCCAAGGCAGTTTTATGTTTGCTTTTCAAAACAGTGTTCTTGTTTTAAGGATAAAGTCTGCACTGACATAAATTACACTAATGGGCCGAGGATTTAGCTCAGCAGCACCACACCTGCCTTGCAAGCACAAGGTCCTTAGTTTGATCCCCAGTACCACAAAAGAAAAAAAAATTACACTAATGAAAACAAAGTCAGAAATGATCTGCAGTACCAGATTACAGGGCAGATCTTAGCCAGCAGCTCTTTCACCTCTTAGAACAAAGGTAATCAAAAGCAAAACACCCTAAGGGCCAGAGATTTAGCTCAGTGATGCAGCGCCTGCCTTGCAAGTGCAAGGTCCTGAGCTTGATCCCCGGTACCAGAAAATAAATAAATAAACAAAAAGCAAACATCCTAGAAAACCCAAACAGCACCTGCAACACAACCCTTGGTTAACACACTTGTTAAAATAGTCATCCATGCTGCTCTGGTGTGAGAAGTAAACACAAGACTAAAACCTGGTGGCTCTTCTCACTTCCTCTTTGGGAATATAATTTTTCTTCAAGTGGGCCTGGAAACAGTGCCTTCACACTCTTTTACTTCCTGGGTCAGAGGGCATTTTATGAACTTTGCTCTCTCCACATCAGTGTCCCAAGACAAGTGCTCCATTAAGTTCTCCACAGTTTTTGTGCATAAAAATCTACCAGGAAACACCAGCCTTTCCTGTCGGCTGTGGTTGAAGATCTTATAAGGAAGTGCTCGCTAACTAGGTTTTCCAAGTACTGCATCACACTGTGGCTCCTCTGTCCAAAAGGGCTTTGTACGTTTCAAAGCAGCAGCAATCTCTGGCCATTGCATGGCTTTCAGAATCAAAGCCAGCTCATAGCAGGACATCCCAAACACTCAGTGTGCAGCTCTAGACCAAGCCAAGTCCCAGGACATGGGCAGGGACCAGGCGGAGACATGCAGACTGGGCCTGACAACCTCAATGTGTCCCACCGCTGCTTCCTTCCTGCCCCCCAAGCAAAAGCACTCTGGCTTTAAGCAGTTACACCTTCCTTACTGCCAAAACACTTGGTACCCTTTTCTGCTGGAGTACTTGTCAGACCATATTGTATGTATTGCTGTCTGGGTTGCCATTAGCCCCTTTTGGGGAGGTCTTTTCTACTACAAGGTTAAAGGCAGTTAAGTATAGAGGTTAAGAGCTGAAATTTTGTCTCTTCTCAAAAAATAAGTAAATGATGGATTGGACAGTGGCATACATCACAGTACACAACTGACAGGTTTTTCACAGATTAAACAAAATACACAAAGTAGCACACTACCTTATATATACTAAATGCTTAATCATTCTTATCTGTTATCCTCATCAAAGTTCCACCTCTTATTGCAGTACTGGGTACATAATAGGCATGGTTCATGTTTGTTGTGCTTTTAGAAAGAATTAAAAGCATCCTCCCTAAGTAATCACTGAAGACACCCTTTCCTAACTGAACCTTGGTCAGTTTATCTACACAACCTGCTTATTGAGAATCCAACATTTGTCAAAGACAGAGGTGGATTTGGGGGATATAAAGGTAAATAATATGTATTTTTGCTAGGTGTGGTGGCACATACCTATAATCTCAGCACTTAGGAGGACCCTTCACAAGTTAAGGCCAGTCTCAAAAAAGCATCCCCTCAAAAAAATTCTGCACTCATAATAATTCAATGCAGGAGATCTATACAATTGACCCAGCAGTTACTACAGAACGCATATAAGGATTAAGCCAAGAGTGCTGTCAGTACAGCAGCACCCAAGACAAGTACATAACCCAGTCTGAGAGAGAGGCAGTTACAAAGTCAAAGTGTAGGGGCTGGGGATTTACCTCAGTGGTTCCGCCACGTGCCTCACAAGCGCAAGGTTCCGAGTTCATTCCCCGCTACCAAAAAAAAAAGTCAAAGTACAGTGACATCCACATTCATAATTTAATGAAATGCTGATTTTTAGTTAACAACCTCTCCAGTTTTAATTGTGTTCTGTTACTCTTTTTACCCCACATTTTACAATATAAACTTCCTTTTATTCCTACCATACAGACTCTGTTCTTTTTGCCTGGAAAACTTGGCCCTTTCTTTACTGTTCAGGTCTCCTGTGAGGTAATGCCCTCCTCAGAGAGGTCCCTCCTGACCCCTCAGTCTGCAGTAGTCATCCCGTTTTTCTCTACCATGTCAACCTGTTTTAATTATCTGTATAGTTCAGTTCTTCAAGGTTTATTACTATCTGGTATTTTCTTGTTTATAAGTTTCATGAGAGCAAAGACCTCATCACTGTTTTTTTTGTGTTTTATTTTTTGCTTTTATTTTGTTTATAGCACTGAGGATTGAATTTAGGCATGCTCTACTACTCAGTAACATCTTGAGCCCATTTTATTTTTTATTCTGAGCCAGGATTTCACTAAATTTTTCAGACTGGGATCCTCAAACTTGGGATCCCCCTCCCCTGCCTCAGTCTCCTGAGTAGTTCTGATTATAAGTGTGAGCTGCCGTGCCTGGCTTGTTCACCACTATTTAAAATCAATGTAGGTAGGATTAGAATGGTAGAATTTTCTCTTGGCCTAATTGGTTTCTCTGCTTCTCAAAAGGAGGAATGGTCAGGTTATGAATTAGAGCAGTTAAACACCAAAGTGACTTCGCTGTGCAGCCGGATAGAGCAGATCCAGTGTTACAATGCCAAGGATCGCCTGGCTCAATCAGGTGAGCCTCTCAGCCACCCTACTTCCTCCAATGCCTCTCTTCCCCAACCTCCTCCCTCAGTGCTCACTACACTTTTTCTCTCTAGATATGGCCAAACGCATAGCCAACTTGCTGCGGGTGGTACTGAGCCTACGGCATGCCTCTGATGCAGCTTCCGATGCAACACCAGACCCTCAGCGAGTCCCTTTGCGCCTACTGGCTCCTCACATTGGCCGACTTCCCATGCCTGAGGACTACGCCTTGGAGGAAATGAGCAGCCTCACACAGTCCTACCTGCGAGAACTGACTGTTGGGAGCCAGTGAGACCCAGGCTCTTGCTGCTTCACACTCATCACACAATGTTCACTTTTTGTCATTCTCAGTTGGCTGTGGAAGATACTCTCCTTTCTGCTGCCCCAAGCAGCATCCTCTAATTGTTCAGGGCTTTTCTTAATATTGAACATACCATAAGGGCTTTTAGAACCAAAAAAGATGTCTCCTTTTACCATCAAGGCCAATTTTTTTCTTTTCAGAAATGGTCAATAAAGCTCCTTTGGCAGAATCTCCCAAAGAATCAGGGAATTCTTTTCCAGCCCCTGTATTCTGGAGGTTGCGACCCTCTATGCCAACTTACTACCCTACTACTTCAGCCCTTTTGTACAAGGACTAAGGAGTGAAACAGACGATCAGACAAGTGTATTGACCTGGGACTGTCCTTCCCTAACAGATGAACTGTTCCCAGGAGGGGAATTTGTCTTCTGAAGTATATTGGTTGGTTAACTGAATTTTGGACTGCCAGGGAGGTAGCTTAGTGGCAATTGCACCTGCCTGGCAAGCACAATGTCTTGAGTTCGATTACTGGTACCAAAAAAGAGAGAGTATTGGACTGAGTGAAGAGAACAGGGTCTTTCTAACACATTCAGGATAGAAAGGATTGCATACCATGGAGGAATTAGATCTTCAAGGCTTGTATTGTTCCTACCTGGAATGTTCTGCGAATACCATACCTTCCCTACTACCATGAGAAGCAGACATTGGTTGTACACCACATGTCTCTGGGAAGCTTCCAGAACTTGATTTGCTCCTTGATTTTCTGTCATCTTTCTGGGACACCTGCCTGGATTTGCCCGAAGAGCTTAGATAAAAAATGGCAGGTTGGGGTTCCCTCCAGATCCCTCCCATTCTAGGCCCTAAGCATTTCCCATCCTTCATTTACCCTCCCAGAAAGTGAGACCATCACTGAGGCAGGCAAGGCGCTGGGCTTTAGGGTCAGGCAGAGGCCTTCCCTCCATTACTGCCAGCAGTGGGGAGCCCCAGGTGCTGACCTGAGACAGCTGCTGTGAGGGCTGTCACAGACAACACAGCCATCCCTGGGTCTTTATGCATGAAGATTATGTAAAGGTTTTTATTAAAAAATATATATATAAATAAATGATCTAGATTATTTTCTTTTTCTGAAGCTACTTTCTTACAAAAAATAAAATGAAATGTTTATAGCATTCTTGGTATTGGCTTTCACTGTGTATTTTTGAGCCTTCCTGCTCCAAGGATTTTTATGGTGGCCTTGCTTAATTTAGCCTGCCTGTTTTTGGAATTTGCAGTCAAAATGGGGATAGGCTGAGGTGAAAAGGGAGAACAGTGTGATGCTAAGCTGAGATGCAGCCTCGCCCAAAGGCTAGACTTACAAGGGGAAATTTAGGGGCTAAGCAGTTGATATTAATACTGACTGCTACACATACATGCATATGCATATAGATTCCCATCGGGGTCCTCTAGTTGCTCACTAGAATGTACTTAACCATTCAAAGGCTCCTTTTGTACTCTGGTGATTTTTGTGTTTAAAGGTTGAGTCATGTTTCACTTTCCCAGTCCACAGTCCTTTGTACAAAAGCAGTAATGATCCCTAATGTTGCTGCCTTAACACGGCTGATCTTGAGAGAGGGAACAGTTGAGCAACATGAGTACTATTCAGGTCTGTTGGTTTTTTGTTCTATTTTTGTTTTCTTTTTTTGAGACAAGGTCTCTCTGTGTATTGCAGGCTGATATTGAACTATGTAGCCCGGGCTGGCCTCACGTGGCAGTCGTCCTGCCCCTGCCTCCCCAGTGCTGGGGTTACAGGCAAGCACCACCACCCCTGGCTCTATTCAGGTCTAATTTGGTCAAAATGAGGCATCTAGCAAGTTCCAGTTAGAATTAGGCCAAAGACTTCTGGAACATGAAGGAATGCCAGATAAGAAAGCAGGGTGAGTATGTCCTGGGACTGGGGCTTCAGTTTAACTTGGACCCTTATCAGGGACAAGTGTTACTTAGCTGGGAATCCCCTCCTTCATGACTTAGTGTGTGAACCTGAATGACTCCCACAGCACTGCTTGGCTTCTACAAACAGTTCTTAACTCACTTTCCTTGTCAGTGGTGGTTTTAAAAAAGAAAGTGTTATAGGAACAGCCTTTACCAGTGAATATGAGCAGTATTTCCTCTTAGGGCAAGTATTATTCCTTTGACATTAAAAAAAATACAAACAGTTCTAGGGGCTGGGGTTTTGGCTCAGTGGTGCTGCACCTGGCTCGAAAGTGAAAGGTCCTGAGTTTGACCCCCGGTACTGGGGAAATAAAAGTTGTAAATCAAATGTTTATCACTGAATCCATCCTGGATTATAGAGATTAGAATTCCAGTTCAAAGTAAGGAGGATAATCTCTTCTACATCTCCAAAGTCTCATTGTTTTAAATATTTTCGTTTCTCAAAAAATGACAGGAACCAGTTTCAACAGAGCTGTGGAATCCATAACCTCATTATGACATCCAGTATAACATACATATTCAAGCAGAACCCTGAAGTAATGCTAAGATTAGAGTTAACACAGGTCTGAATGTTTTCCTCTTGTACTCAGTTTTTGTTTTTCTGTTTTGTTTTTTCTTAGTCAAGGTCTCACTGTGTAGCTCAGGCTGATCTGGAATGCACTATGTAGCCCAGGCTGGCCTGGAACTCTCCAATCCTCCTGCCTCAGCCTCCTGAGTGCTAGAATTATAGGCATGGGCCACCATGCCCAGCCAAATTCAGTTTTGTTTTTATATTTCTAGAAAATGAGTCGATTTTTTGATCCTTGGTTTCAAAGAATCAGCTCTTAGACTTAATGTATTTTTCTGGAGTTTAGTATTGTACAGATACTCCTTTAAAGACTGGGTTCCAGTCCCGCAACTGGATTAAAAGAATTGGTCGCCAAATGAGGAATTGTGTACAGTATGTACATTACAGTATTCAGAACCAAGAAATGGTCAAAGTGAACTCCAAGTTGATGACTTTGCTTTTATTTGCATAACTCTTCCATGCGGTACTGTAATGTATACCAGAACACAAAACTATAGTACCATTCTGTACAGTACTTGGCCAAAATTACAGTACTGTACTGTAGAAGAAGCCACCATAAGCCCGAACTGCTGCTCATATTCCTGCCTTGTAAGTCCGAATGTAGGCTGTAAGTCTGAGCAGGGGTTGCAAGTCCAAAACGTGCCTCAGTTGTAAGTCTGAAAGTCATTAACAGGAATATCTATATTACTTTTGCTTTAAACAATTCTCTCAGGCTTTCCTCCTTTTTTTTTTTTTTTTTTTTTTGGTTGTCTATGTAGTTCAGATTGGCCTCAAACTCACCAATCCTGAGGGTTATTTTTAAAGCTTGTATTACAGAAACTTTTACCTATCCAAAGTAAAATAGTGTAATGAACCCACATGCAACATTTGTCACAATTTTCAGTCTTACTTCATCTTTACTACTTACTTCCTGTAACAATCTGGGAAGGAAGAGGAATGAGGCCACCTCGACACGCTGGCTGAAAGCAAAGAGACAGACTTTATTCATCTTGGTGGAGTGGACTGAGGGCGGACAAATGACCAGCAGTGCCAAACAGACAAAAGGCAGGGGTTTCTATACGGGAGTGGAGAGGAGTCTGGCACATCTGTCTCGTGTGTGGGCAGAGCAAAAGTGTGGTTGGGGTCCATGCAGTGGTCAAGGCAGGGAAGATGCTGTACTGTACTTTGTGCTGTAGTTTGTGGTCTTTCCTCTAACAGCCCATCCTGTGTGCTATCTGCTCCAAGACAGCACCACTCACCTCTGCTGCATGTTTTTCGGAGAGCTGCAGGTTTTGTATCTGTTAAACTGTCGCTTGGAGTCATACAGCATATGCATTAACCATTTCATGGCCAAATCAAGCCAAACACTTCTACCCACTTAATGATGTTATGTCTAAGGCAGATCCTTTCATCAATATTTTTAGCTTTTTCGTTTGGTTTTTTTGTTGTTTGAGACAGGGTCTCACTATGTAGTTCAGGCTGGCCTTGAACTCACCACGTAACCCAGGCTGGTCTTAAACTCACAGCAATCCTGCTTCAGCCTCCTAAGTGCTGGGATTTCAGGTGTGCACCACTATGCCAGGTTCAATATCTGTCTTTCCTAACAAGTGAGTTTTTATAAATACAATCATAATGTCATAGTCACACCTAACAATTAATAATCCCCTCAATACTGTATTTTCAAATTGTCCCAAATGTTTCAAAAGTTAAGTTTTTACAGGTCTAAACAATACACTTTGCATGTGGTTAATAAGTCGGCCCTCTATCTTTTTAATGTCTTTTCTTTTTTTTTTTTTTTTTTTTTTCGGTAGTAGGGACCTTGCACTTGTGAGGCAGGTGGTGGAACCACTGAGCTAAATCCCCGGCCCAGTCCTTTACTTTTTGAAGTAACTGGATCATTTGTCCTTTAGAAAGCTGGGGGCATCTGGATTTGACTGTCTTATATTTTTATAATATTTTTATCATTTCAAAAGACATGTCTACCTGTCCCACTTTAAGATTATTCATTCGGGTTTGTCAGCCTGAGTCACCCTTTCTAATGCTTTCTGTCAGCTTTTCACCTGATACTGTAATTGTGACCACGTTACATCATTTTGTACCAGCTACCTCCCCCTCTGGGTCCTTCTGAGGCAACGAAGATTGAAGCAACAAAATAGCAAGTCATGAGGAATAACGTGGTGCATGTTTTATTAGAATACAAAGAAAAAGATGTTTAAATCCATCTTCTATACAGAGGCCTTCTATCCAGTCTTCGGTACAGGTGCACGTGACAACACAGGAATGTTGCTTCCCACTGCCAGGCCTTCAATATCCAGAAAGCCGCTGTCCTGTTTACATTCCAGTCTTCCACAGCTCCTGGTAGTTTACTTACAGACATGTTCTTTGCCCTTCGAATTTCACTCACTGAGGTCCTGACAGTTTCCTCAGGTTAATTATTCAGGCCCTTTGCCTTACCTGTCTTAACTTCTGTCGCCTGGCATCATTTTCAATATTGTATTTCCTGTATCTTTTTGTGTGCTGATCTCATTTTTTTAATTAATTTTTTATAAATCCAGCCAGCAATTTCTTTAAAAAGGTAAAGTGTAACCTCTGTTTTAAGAGATCATAAAAAAAGTGTTTAAATACTGCCATAATTAAGAAAAACAAAGTAATTGACATGTGCAGTGAAATGAAGATGTTTCAGAGAAAATGCACTGCTTAGTAATTTTCCTGCGCTACAAGCTAACATGTACATGATCCTGCAAGTCGCATTACCAATTACTAATTTTATTTACATTCACGATAAGTATAACATTTGCCAATTACAAATCTACAGGTTTACTTGTTGGTAGCAGTTGAGCCTTTGCAATACGATTTTTTGGAGAACCTTTGTACCAAGCCCTTTCCCTGTCTGATGGCTTCCTAAGGACCCTGTTTTTCATCCCAGGAGAAAAGCCCAGATCATTATTCACAACAGACCTTAATATATCATGATTGGTCAGGTCCTCCAAGGGAACCTTAACTTGACCATTAGGTATCACGTCTTGCTTACAAACTTTAATTTGTAAAGAAGCAAAGAAGCATTTACAGAATCTGGGTGCCTCTTCATCTTTATAGATGTCTGTTCTTTAGGATGTAATTTGGTACCTGAAATAGAGGATTCTTTTGATGAACTTCTGTATGAGAGGGAAGAGCACTGTCCAGCTCACTATTTAACCAGAGGAGAAGCAGCATCACTAAGACATGTCAACTTTTGCTTTACAGGTTGTCTGCCATACTCCAACAAAGAATTAATTCTTCTAACTGACGGACAGGGGTACACTGAAATTTAAGAGGTGACTTTGGTTTTGTTCTACGTGATTCATTTAATGAACGCTGATTAAACCACTGTACGTGAGCTGAAACCTTCCTGTGCTCTGTAATGTGTGCATTTTCAGAAACCATTTTATTGCATGTTTCCACCAGTGACTGCTGCTTAACAGTTCTCACAGGGCTAGGTTTTGACAGGTTTGTTACATCACATATGCTGTACTGAGAGGAAGAGGGTTTAGCCTCATCCTCCCTGGGAACTGCACACTTCACTAAGTTCTCTTCAAACCTATTCTCATTCTCCTTTGGGGATTTAGTTTATCTTTTGGGAACTGCTCTTCCTTAATTTGTTCCTCAATAGGGCAATAATCTGTAAGAGTCTGTACTACTGCAGCCTGTATTCGTAGCTTTTTTTCTGTTAGCAGACATCTTTTCGTGTCCTTCACTTTGTGAAGAAGATTTGGTGCAAATATTACTGCAAGATTGCTGCTATCCATCTTATTCTTACTGGACCTAAGAGAAACATTCCTGAGAAAGTTAAAGAAATATCTTAATATATCAACTGTAGGATCAGCCATAAGGCAGGAAAGTAACAATGTCGCTGTGTTATTCTCCAAGCCTAACTGTTGAGCTTTGAAAAGTGCTTCATGCAGATCAGCCAGGAGAATGGGCTGTGGCAGTTCCCTAAAAAACTGCTTCAGAAGTCCTGCAATATCACAAGGAAGTCCAGAAGACAGTCCACCTTCACCATTATCCAGTTTATTCTCTAGTGCCCTTAAGCGAATAACAGATCCTGACTTCCTAAAAAGCCCTTCGGTATGAATATGCTCTTCTAAAGTTTTGCAGGCATCCACAAGAAAGCTTGGAATGTGTCCATATTCTGGCACAACAGAATTGAGCAATGCATTAAAAGGTACTCCAAATATTTTACCCTCTATTTCCGTGGCTGCTGCTTCACATTTCCTGCGATCGCACTGCCCATGGCCACACTTGACCTTAATACCATAGACAGCCGAGGGTGCTGCAACGCCAGTCTAACCAGCCTCTGATCTCACAAGCCGGACGCGTCAACCCCTCTCCGGGGCAAGATCCGGGTCCTGAGTTTTGTTCGCCACAAAGTCTTCCAATTCCCCAACACTCTCGGGTTAGAGGTTAGAGCTCCACTCCTCTCTGCCTTCCACTCCGGCCCCAGGACTCAGCCACTTTCGGGGCTTTGCCGCGGGCCTCTGTACACTTACACCCTCATCTCCCGACCCCGGGGTTCCAGCCACGCCTCTTTCACTTACACCAACCTTCTTTTTCTCACCTAATCCCTTCAGTTGCTTACTCTCAGACCTCCCTTTTCCTCCCTGATTCTTCCGGTTCCTTGCATCAACGCCTGCTACCAGTTTTTCACCACTTCCGACCACTTCCAAAGATCTGTTCCCTTCAAACCTCATTCTGCCTGCTCTAGCTCTCTCTGAAAAAAACTTTTCCGGTACTGAAACTGAACACCTTGCGCTTGTGAGGCAGGCGCCGCGCCACTGAGCTAAACCCCGGCCTAGCTCTCTCTGAAATGAAATGACCCCTGCTTTCTGCCCACAAGCCCGGCAGGCGCAGCTGGGCCTAAGTCTCACGGCCCGCGCCTGCCCCGCCCGGCACATCCCGGTGCACTAAAGCCAGGCAGCTTTCCTCGTGCCTCCCTCCGAGCCCACCTCCTCTTCCTCCTCCTCCTCCTCCACGGACACTCGGTACTCGCCAGCCGCTGATCTCATTTTTCATTAGCTATTATATACACTAATTGTTTATATATACATATAGTTTTTATAACAGCTTCTTAAAATTACCCAACTTTTGAAATTTAATTTCAATCTATTTTCTAATATTTTCTAATTTATTTTTTCACCCCAAAATATAAGAAATATTTCAACATTTTTTAAGGAAATTAATATTTATTGGACTCTTTTTTACCTGGCAGTTTTACATACATTATCTAATACTGAAGACAATCCAGCTTGTATTATTATCCACATTTTTTAAAAGAAGAAAACAAAAGCCAGAGAAGATAAGAAAATTGCAGAGAATCACACAGTTTGTGAGTGGGGGACATAGGACGAGAACCCCTCCAGTCTGGTCTGTCCAGCAGTCCATGCTGAAGGAATCTGACTGCTGCCACGCTGACCAGAGGGAGTTTTAAACCACTTCCATCCCGCTATGTTTTTATACCTGCTAAAGCGGTACAATCATGGGTTAATAAGGCCCAGTAACCATGGCTACACCCCATAACTTGCCTCATCCTCCAGCCCCGTTCTTGGCAGGCAACCACCACTCCGTGTGCTTTCTCAAGCCTGTCCCAGTGGGAGCTGTGACTCTTTTCCACTGAACTCTCCCCCTCCACAGTCCCACTTGGACCTTCCCTTTTCACAGCCCCTTATGCTCATGACCTCGCAGTCTACGGGAGTTATGGGTCCGGTCTGCGTGCCGCAGCCGTCCCTCTCAGGTTGATTTTGAAATAAACCTGTCCCGACTAGTGAGTTTGTACCTTTGGGGTTTTTTCTCTTTTCCTAACTCCTGTTCCCGGTATTCCACCTCTCCTTGCTCTGAAGGTGGTCCATGTTTCACCCATTAGGATGCCATATGTGATTTCTCATACTGCCTCAAAACCTTTACAGATATTTTTTTGGAGGTTTGTTTTTTGGTTTTTTGCTTTTTTTTTTTTTTTTTTTTTTTGGTACCGGGGATTGAACTCAGAACCTTGCGCTTGCGCAGCAGGCGGCAAAATCACCGAGCTAAATCCCCGGCCCTGGAGGTTTGTCTTTGTTTTCATGCTGGGGATTGAACACCTGCACTGCACCCGCAGCCCCAAACCTGCCTTTTAAATGGTTGCATATGCCTTCCTGGGCTAGGGAGGTAGCTCAAAGGTAGAGCACTTTAATCCCCAGGACCATAGAAGTATATATATAAAAAAATTTACCTTCAAAATCATTTTCCCATCAAAAAGAATTCTGAAATGAACAAATGGCATTTAGTGGACACAAGGCAGAAACCCTAGAGGGCAGAGTGGACCATTCTCCTTTGGCATCACCAGAAATTTCCTCGGCATCAGTCCTCTAGCCTCCCCACTTGCTTTCCCTCTTGTTTGAGCCTCCATGTTTGATCTTGACGGAAAGCTTCTTTTTCTCACCATTATGTATAATGTTGGCAGAGGGGTTTTTGTAGGAATTCTTTATTAAACTGAGGACATTTCCCTCATTCCGAGTTTGCTGAGAATTTTTAGCATAAATAGGTGTTGGACTGTGTGTGCAGTTCCATTTTGAAGTGATGTGAAAAGCTCATGCCACACCTAGAGGGAGATGTTGGGAAGGTGGATGGAGACAAACATCTAGAGAGGGGGCTGGGGCACAGAAAGAGCAGGGACTTGGCATCTCCACCACAGCTGAAGTCACAGTCATGGATGGAATTGCCGGGGCAGTTTATGTAACTGTTGTCAAGCCAACTTGGACAAAAGTAATCAAAACAAACCTTGGTGGGCTATAAATACCCATGAATCTGTGTGTGTCCCAGAAGCAAGCCTAACTCAGAGTTAGAGAGAAGCTTGGCATGAAGCGTTTAGCTTGAGGTGCTCAGCCCCTCTCTGGGAGGACAGCCTTAGGTCCAGAGGGAGCCACAGTGGCAGAGCTGGGAGGGGGGTTCCCACCAAGGTGCTGGCCCTCATACCCTGAGGCCCAGGTCTTTGGCACATCCTGGCCTGGCCCCCCGTGTCCCTGTACTCAAGGACGGGCCTGAACTGAGCCTGGGTGCTCCTTTACAGAATTTGAATAATTTAGGCCTCAGCAGCCGGAGGTGTCAGTTTCAGCTGCTCTGTTCCCATGGCACAGGTGTCCCTGCCCTGTAATTAAGCTAATAACAGGCAAATGGGGAGGCCCCCTGCCCTGTACTTCAACCCTGGGCCTATTTGAGTCCCTCCTGCTTCTTGTTCTCTGAGATCATTAGGCTCACTTTGAGCCCAGGTGCCAGGAGCAGAGGACTTGAGTCAGGGGCTCTGAAAGAAGGAGAAAGGGAGAGCAGAAAGAGGCAGACAGGAAGATCAGAGCCAGGGATTCAGAGAAACCAGGTCGTTACAAGGGGAAAGACAGAAGGAACTTGAGACAGACAGGTAAAGAGGGGGACGAAGCATAGGAAAGGGCACAGGCCAAGGCTGAAGGACAAAAGGTTCAGCAGAGGTGAACCAGCAGATGCCAACAACCAAGTATTAACATCAAAAAGCAGGTGCAAAATAGGGTCAGATAACCAGAGGGCAACAGGAGAGTAGCTGGACCCACGAGCCATCTCAGCCTTTCTTGTTTTCAGGTACTGTCCACGCCGCCTTTACCAGCTAGGCCTGATACGGACCGAGGTCTGGTTGGGAGACCTGCCCCACCTCTGGCTGTGGCAGAGCCATGGGGCCCCGAAGCTACCACCTCTGCCTGAGCCTCCTGCTCCTGCTCCTACTCCCCACAGGTATGAAGCTCTGCGAACCAGCCCTGGCCTCTCCAGGCAATGCTGTCATTTCTGTCAGCTCCAAACCTCTCTCCCCAAGACGTCTCTACTACCCTGGGAACAGGCTCTCTCTCTCTGGGGAATGTGGGAAATAGTTGCTTGAAGGGGTTGAGAGACTTGCCTGACTGGGGTGGGAGCAGCGATGTGGCATTTCCAGAGATACAGCTGGAAACTCAAAGGGCCCAATCGTGAAGGGCCTTGAACGTCAGGCCAATGATTTAGCCTGCAACCAGGGGAGCCCTGAGCAATTTTAGACAGGTACTGGCCTGGGAGAAATACATGTCTAAAAGCTTAATGTGCTGGAACTGTACAGGCTGGTAGGAGACAGTAAATTTCAGGCAGGCAGAGTTGTGAGGAGGCTGCTACTGCCCCCATTGTGGTCCAAGGTGGAAAGGAAGGCTCCTGAGCTGGAGAGGAGTGGAGTCAGAGGGTGTCTGGTGGGATTTGGAGAATCTGACAGGGTTTGGAGACTGACTGGACTGCAGGAGGAGGCAGGGGGAGAGGGAATAAAGGAAGGAAAATTCCAATTTCCTGGCATCACCAGGAGTGCTTGTTTGCTGAAATAAAGAACACAAGATAAGCAATTTCAAGCCAAGTGTGGTGGCAAACATCTGTAATCCCAGCTACTCAGGAAGCTGAGGCAGAAAGATTGTAAATTTGAGCCCAACTTGGGGGACTTAACCGAGCAAGACCTTACCTCAAAATCAGTCCATTGGCCAGGTATGGTGGTATAATCCCAGCACTCAGGAGGCTGAGGCAGGAGCATCACCATGAGTTTGAGGCCAGCCTAGACTACATAATGAATTCAAGGTCAGCATGAACTACTTAGTGAAACCCCCATCTCAAAAAAAGAAAAAGTCAGTCAATCAATCAAAGGACTAGGGATGTAGCTCAGTGCAAAAGTTATGGGTTCAATCCCCAGTACAAAATATAAAAAGCAGATTTCAGGATCTGGAGGGATAGCTCAGCAGCAGAGCACATCCTTAGTGTGTGACAAGCTCTGATCTGTGCCATACATCTGTGCCAGGACCAGAAAAAGAAAAAGAGGGCTGGAGAGAGTTAATATTTAGGAACTACAGAACTAAAAATGCTTGAAAAAAATTAAGCAGTGGACAACAGTGCATATGGGTCAGGAACTGAGAAGAAAACTTTGGCTTAAGAAAAAAATGAAGGGCCAGGGAATCAGCTCAGTGGTTGTGCTGCCTGCCTCAAAAGTGCAAGGTCCTGATTTCGATCCCCGGTACCAAAAAAAAAAATTAAAAAGAAACAGGGCCGGGAATTTAGCTCAGTGGTTCCACCTCCTGCCTCACAAGCGCAAGGATGTGAGTTCGATCCCTGGTACCAAAAAAAAAAAAAAAAGAAAAAGAAAAAAATGAGGAAGGACAAGATTCTGAGGACAGTGTTTAAGTCAGGAACAAAGGAAAGCTAGTATATTTTCAGAAGCAGGAAAGCCAGGCATGGTGGTCATACCTGTGGTCTCAGCTACACAGGAGGCTGAGACAGGAAGATGGTTTGAGCCCAGGTGTTCAAGGCCAGCCTGGACAAGACACCAAGACCTCTTCTCAAAACAAACCAACCAGTAGTTGGCTGCAGAAGAGGGAATGTTCCTTAAGTAGAAAGGTCTGAGAGACCAGAGGGATAGGCTAATAACGTTTGGAATGCCTGGATAAAAGTCTGGAGACCTGGGTTTATGGGATCCTTTCAGCCTTTTTTTTCAAATTTTTTGTTTTGTACCCGGAATCAAACTCCAGACCTGGCACTTGCCAGGCAGGCACTATGCCGCTGAGCTAAATCCCCAGCCCGGATCCCTCCAGCCTTTGTGGCAGGGCAGGCAGAATCCAGATCCTTGGGAAGGGAAGAGAAGAGAAGAAACAAGTCAGTGTCTCTCCAGAAGATAAGTCCATGGCCTTGGCCTCATTCATCCCTGGAGACAAACCAGGGAGGAACCAGAGCCACAGCTAAGGGGACAAAGGGCAGGCAGCAGGTGGACACTGAAAAAGCTGTGGGGCACTGGAATGGGTGCCGGGACCCCAGCTAGGGCTTTGGACAAACCTGACTGCTCCTCCAGAGTGCTTTGGAGCTGAGGGCAGGCTGGCTCACAAGCTGTTCCGTGATCTCTTCGCCAACTATACAAGTGCTCTGAGACCTGTGGCCGACACAGACCAGACTCTGAATGTGACCCTGGAGGTGACACTGTCACAGATCATCGACATGGTATGTTGCGGTTGTGGTAGAAGAGCTGTGGAGGGTTAGTTACCCTGTAACAGGGTCAAGGGACTAAGGGGTGAGAAACTTATTCTCCCAGCAAGTCTCTAAGTGTTATATTCACAAGGATAAATGTCACCAACTGTCAGGTGCCCACAGTGTGCCCTACACTCTGCACCCTTGAACTCACTGAATCCCCAAGCAGGGCTTATCCCTCCATATAACTACTGAGGAACCTGCGGTCCAGTGATGAGAGAAACCTACCAAGGTCACACAGCATGGTCGGGCCTGGGTGGGAAGTGGACTGCACAGGGGAGTCAGGCGGGGGGGCTGACCAGAGCCCCGCAGGTGAGTGTGCACAGAGAGCGGGAGATGCAATACAGGTGTCTACCCCCTGACTTCCAGGATGAGCGGAACCAGGTGCTGACCCTGTACCTGTGGATCCGGCAGGAGTGGACGGATGCCTACCTACGATGGGACCCCAATGCCTATGGTGGCCTGGATGCCATCCGCATCCCCAGCAGTCTTGTGTGGCGGCCAGACATCGTGCTCTATAACAAGTAGGCCTACCTGGGGTCCCCTCCTCTCCCACCCCTCTCCAGAGCTACCCTTCACCCCAGTATGCACTGATCCCCTGGGGCCCTTCTAAGCGACCAGGAGCTCACAGCCACCCCTCACCAAGGCACCCCACTTTAGCCTGACCCGGGCCAACTCAGGCTGAATGTCTGCTGGGAAGGGGCCATGAGGGCCTCTTTCTGGCCCCCTCCACCCTTCCAGGGCAGCTCTGATCTCAAGGCTTCCCAGGGTCCTCCTTCCTCCAGGGCCTCTGGAGCTTTCCTTTATGTCACCCGAACCAGTTCTGCTTTCCTAGCCAATGCACGGGGCTGCATATCTTCCCAGGGCCTCGCTAAGAAATTCTGCAGATGACCCCAAAGGTCACACTGGCAACCCAGTGTCATTCCTGCATCTGCAGTGAACTTTCTACCCTACCTGGGCTAGATCTGTGCCCTTCTGAGCCCTTCAGGTGCTCCCCCTCCTAGACTTCCGCAGACAGAAGGGCTGCCTGCGGCGTGCTCCACCCTCCGTGCAGCCCGGGCTCCTTCCCGGGTCTGCTGTGAGCTCCGTGGCCGCCAGGCTGCAGTCAGGTGGATGCTGTCAAGCGGCTGATCTCCATCTCGCCTGCCGCAGGGCAGACGCGCAGGCCCGGGCCTCGGCCAGCACCAACGTGGTCGTGCGGCACGATGGCGCGGTGCGCTGGGACTCGCCGGCCATCACGCGCAGCTCGTGCCGCGTGGACGTGTCGGCCTTCCCGTTCGATGCGCAGCGCTGCGGCCTCACCTTCGGCTCGTGGACGCACGGCGGGCACCAGCTGGACGTGCGCCCGCGCGGTGCCGCCGCCAGCCTGGCGGACTTCGTGGAGAACGTGGAGTGGCGCGTGCTGGGCTTCCCCGCGCGGCGCCGCGTGCTCACCTACGGCTGCTGCTCAGAGCCCTACCCGGACGTGACCTTCACGCTGCTCCTGCGCCGCCGCGCCGCCGCCTATGTGTGCAACCTGCTGCTGCCCTGCGTGCTCATCTCGCTGCTCGCCCCGCTCGCTTTCCACCTGCCCGCTGACTCGGGCGAGAAGGTATCGCTCGGCGTCACCGTGCTGCTGGCGCTCACGGTCTTCCAGCTGCTGCTGGCCGAGAGCATGCCGCCGGCCGAGAGTGTGCCGCTCATCGGTGAGCCCGGCCTGCATCGTGGGTGACAGAAGGCAAGGGCTTTGGAGGCTGAGGGAAAAGAGTAGGTGCCTGCCAGGGAGAACCCCTTCCCCTAACGTCCACCGGGTGTCAGTCTTTTCTCAAGGCCTAGGTACAGGAAGATCCATCCTCCGCCCACCCACCACCCCGTGTCGTCTTATTTTATTTTTATTTATTTTTGGTGTTTTGAGAGAGTCTGTCTACATAGTTCAGGCTGGACTTGAAATCACTGTGTAGCTCAGGCTGGCCTCAAACTCACGGCAATCCTCCTGCCTCAGCCTCCTGGGTGCTGGGATTACAGGTGTAAGTCCACCACCCCTGGCCTCAGTGTTTTAAACATAGGCAAAATGTACAGAGCACTGCCTGTGTACCAGGCTTTCTCTTGTACACTTGACATGAGGTGAGCAGCACCACAGACCTATAAGGTAGATTCTCTCGTTGTCCCAGTTGTACAGAAAAGATCAGAAATTGCCCCACATCATGCCTGTAACTATGGGAGCCTCCTGAGTGAGAACAGGTAGCTTCTGCAAATGTACTGGTAGGAAAGAGATGTGGCAGGAACTTGACTGTTATCTCCCTCCTTCCATCCTGGGGGCTTGAAGGGTCCTGAGAGTCTCCTGGTGGGCTTGTTCAGATTCGTGGAGGAGGCAGTAGGGAAACAGAATCACCAAGTTCTTGTTTCCAGCCCCAACTGGCTCTCTGTCTGTCTCTTCTAGGAAAGTACTACATGGCCACTATGACCATGGTCACTTTCTCAACAGCACTGACCATCCTTATCATGAACCTGCATTACTGTGGTCCCAGTGCCCGCCCAGTGCCAGCCTGGGCTCGGGCTCTCCTGCTGGGACACCTGGCAAAAGGACTGTGTGTGCGGGAGCGAGGGGAGCCCTGTGGGCAGCCCAGGCCACCTGAGCCAGTCCCCAGTCCCCAGCCTCCTGCTGGGCCCCCAGCAGGCCCTTGCCACGAGCCACGGTGTCTGTGCTACCAGGAAGCAATACTGCACCATGTAGCCACCATCGCCAGCACCTTCCGTAGCCACCGGGAAGCCCAGCGCCGCCGAGAGGACTGGAAGTGCCTGGCCCGTGTGATGGACCGCTTCTTCCTGGGCATCTTCTTCTCCATGGCATTGGTGATGAGCCTCCTGGTACTTGTGCAGGCCCTGTGAGGGGCTGGGGCTGGGTACCAGGAAGCTGCTCCAGCCACAGCACCTCCCGACAAGGATGGCCAAGGCCAGGAGGTGTCTGGTCCTCACAGGAGCCAGCCAGTGGCTCCCCAGTAGGGCACCCTCTCTTCAGGACCAACACTACTGATTTCACAGTCCCTAAGGATTCCTTGTTGTCTATGTGTCCTAACTACTTCCTTAGTTCCTAAAAGAGGAGAAACTCTTAACAATGTCCATGCTCGGAGTTAGAGCTCTCAGGGGGAAAGTGCAGTTATTATATAAGAAACAGAGCTGCTACATTTCCTGTCTTGCTAGGCAGCTGCTGTTTCAGGGACTTAGTCTTGCCATCCTTGCCTAATGGCTCACAGAAGGAAATTCGTGGTCTAGTTTCCAGAGCAGGAGGCCATACAGACATTTGGCCCCAGAGCCTCCACTTGTAATAAAGTAAGTGTGCTCCTGGCATCTCCCCGATGTCCTGTCTTTCCTGGGGCCCCGTGGTGGTAGAAGTCAGGGATCCAAGCTCTTCTCTACAGACAAGAGTCTTTGAACTTACAGATCAAAGCAGTAATTACATCTTTGCTGAAAAATAACTAGGATCCCAGGATAGAATCCAGTTCTTCCTCTGCATTTCTCCTGGTCTCTGTCCTCTGGAGTTAGACATGGTCCACCCCATTCCCACACAGATGTTTGGAGAGGTGGAAAGCATCAAAGTGGGGCCAGTGCAGGAACCAGCCATTCATAGGCATCGGTTCCTCTCTTGACTCTCACAAGGTTCCTGGTGCCATCTCTGTGCCTCAGACCCAGTCTCTGCTCTCAGGAACTAAGGACTGGGACCCATGGGAACACAGAGGCAGGGATCCTAACCCAGCCAGTGGCAAAGGCCAGAGACAGCTTCCTGAGGAGTGACTAGGAGCATTCCAGATGGGTATGTGAAGCGTCTGAGTCACACAACTCCCATGGCCAAGTGCTCTCCCCTCACCTAACATGCCTTCAATAAAGTGAAATTCCTTCTGTCTCCAAGTGAGTGCCCGTCTGTCCTGGAGTCCTCCTACCTCTAGCAAGAGCCTCACTCCTGGAGCCCAAGGTTCGGTCCCCAGACTCCTGTGCCTCCACCAGAGGTCTGGCAGCTGCAGATGGGTTTACCAGGCAGCTTGAGAACGCTTGGAGCACACTCGTGGCCAACATCTCCTGTTGGCGGTTGGCGGAGGCACAGGCGGGGCTGCTCAGTGTCTGGTGGGTCAGAGCAGGTCTGGACTTGCTGGAAGGGCCTCCAGGAACCACAGCAACAGCAGCAGGGACCAGACTGTGAAGAGGGAGCCCTGACACGTGGCTGCAGGGTAAACAGGAAGGGGAGGATGCGAGGAGCAAAGTGAGGACATGAAGATGAAGAGACTGATACCCAGAATACACCAGGAGACAGATGAACAAGGATTCAGGGAGGAGGCAGGAACACCCAGAGGCCATCAGGTTTCAGTCCCCTGACTTCTGAAGATAGAAATGAGGCATTGCAAGGTGGGCTGGAACACGGGATAGAGACCTGAATGGGACCCAGGGATGCTGAACTTGGCTCCTCTGCCCACACCCTGGGCGGAGACGTGCTGGGTGGACTGTGGGGGAAACAGCTGACCTTTTCCAGTGCCCAAAGTTACACTAGAGCCCAAAGAAGAAGCCTGAGTTGGATGCTGGAGACTCGGCTTCTGGTCCTGCGCTAACTCAGTAACCCTGGGTGAGTCACTGCTGCCTCTGGTTCTCGTTCTGCTGAATCATGCAGGTAATAGCCTGGTTCTGCCTTCTTCTGACAGTTGATGGTGTGGTAAAGATAAAGGGAGATGATGTCTGGGATCCATCCTGGTGGGGTGGTCCGGAGTTTGACTCTAGATCCAGGCTGCCTAGGCCCCACCCACCTGTACTAGCTGTGTGCTATAGGGCTGGTTGCTTCTCCTCTCTGGGCCCTTTTTCCATGCACTGTTGAATGCGGTGATGAGAGGACCTGCACTATAGAGTGTGGCAGGATTAATGGCCCAATGTATGTGGAACTCTGCATACTATTGTGTCAGGGAGGATGGGGGAGCAACGCAGAGGCTGGGGCTCCTGCCTGCCCACTTCTCAAAACCCTGTGGAGGGAGGCAGGAGACAGTCATAGCTGTTTCTTTACCAGAAGTGTCCTGTTCCCACCTGAAGTGGTAGCCCAGCGAGGAAGGCCCTGGCACAGCAAGAGTTCAGGGGAAGAAAAGAGACAGCTGGGTGTCATCTATTCCTATTTGCTTGTTTAGAACTAAGGCCCAGAGGAAGACTAGGTTTGTCAGAGAGAAAGGGCAGAGCCTAGCTTAGAGCTGAGGCCTTCACCCAAGGCCTGGCGTTGGCCTTTTAAGGCAGGCCTGCGGGAGCCCTGAGGACAGTGACAGAGACAGTGATGGTGGGTTCTGCAGCCTGAAGGATGCTGTGGGGAGCAGCCTCAGAACAGTCTGAATCCCTGGGCCTGGCAGCGCCCCTTCCTGTGAGGGAGGGGCAGACCCAGCTAGAGAGCAGGTGGCCCTACTGACCCAACCACCACTTGATACAGTGCACACCCTCTGAGAGAATTTAGCAACTCCCACAGCTGTATGGTTAAGAGGGCTCACTTTTAGAGCTGGGCGTGGTGGCACACGCTTGTAATCTCAGCACTCAGAAGGCTGAGGCAGGAGGATCTTCCTGAGTTGAGGCCAGCCAGGGCTACAAAAAAAGTAGGGTTCTCTTTTTTAATTTGGACATGGCTTTTCTTATAAGAGGGTGATCCAGGTGAGAGACCTACCCCTGAGCACCCTGTTCATCCCTGCACTGAGCCCCACCCTTACCTGAGCCATCCAGACGGCAGGGCCCAGACTTGCACTTCTTGTCTAGAGGAAAGAAACATTGAAGAATCAAAGCCTCAGTAGTTCTCCAGATGGGAAGGACCCTCCGCACTCTGGCATCCCTGCCTTGACTTGATCCAGAAAAAGCTGGAGCGTGTCCTCTCATTCTGTTCCCTGGGGTGGGCCCACCATCTCATGGCTAAGTCTGACTTGACCCTGGCCAGGGAGCAGTGGGGGACCAATGTAGTCATCCATCCAAGTCAGGTCCCTTCCGAGCCACCCCTGCTCCCTGGCCTGTGACTTTACCCCCTTGCCACACCCATCTCGCCCCCTCCCATGCCTTGTCCCTGCCAGGGAGGGCTGGTCTGTGTTGTTGGCCTGTCCTCACCACCATGTCAGCTCCTGAATGCCCATGATGCTGCCCAAATGGGACCTGCAGCCACAGCGGGCCACTTTAGTCCTGGTTAGGGTTCCAGCCAACTGCCTGCTTCTGGCTATGAAAACTGGGCCTCACTCTGCCAGAAATAGCAGACCACAGCCCTTCAGAGATGAAGAATGGGTCCATACTAAGCTGGCTGTGGTAGCACATGCCTGTAATGCCAGTACTATGAGAGGATGAGGCAGGAGGATTGCAAGTTTGACCTTAAAGGGAGATCCTTTCTCAGAAAGGAGAGGAGGTCTGGGGATTTAGCTCAGTGGCACCTGCCTTGCAAGTACAAGGTCCTGAGTTTGATCCCCAGTACCAAAAAGAAAAAAAAAGAGAGGGGCTAGGGATGTAGCTCAGCACAAAGACCCTGGGTTCAATCTTCAGTATCACCCCCTGTCCCATTCTCATGATTCCTTCCCTTGCAAGCCCTGGAGGATGGACAGGAGGTGCAGCCAACACCTGCCTGGTCATAGCTGGAACTGGAATTTAGAGGCACAACACTCATGTGTGCATGCAGTTACGCACATACACACACACTTGCCCAGGACAGTATAGCACATCTGCCTCGTATAAACACCCTGAAAATTCAGGTTGGGACTCATTCATTTTTGACAAGAGCAGTCTGTGTATCGATACTATGGCTAGAAAATAATTCCCTCCCAGCTTCTAGCCTGGAAGAGAGACTGGTCTAAGACCCCTGCCTTGGTCGGGGAGCCTCTTCAGGTGGCCTTCAGGGACATAAAGTCTAGGCCACTCCTGACATGGAGGGGTGCAGAGGCTGGTGCACACGACCTGTTCGCACTGCTGGTTTGCTTTTTGTGTGTGTGCACACTCCTGGCCTGGATGGAGAAGCCCACCTTCCACACAGGTGCCACTCCGTGCCCTCCTCACCTTTGATGTACTCACAGTTGTACATGCTGCGCTTGCCCAGGGCCCGGAGGTAGATGTGGGCAGGCCCCTGGGCTGGTCGGCTGGCATTGATCACCTGGAAGGTCTCAAAGGGAGGGATCAGCACCTCCTCCTCTCCAGGGAAGAAGGAGTAACCTCTGATAGGAGCCCCTAAGCAGGTCCAGATGCCAAAGAAGGTGTCCTCTCCAAACTGCTGGGCTGCGACATTCTTCAGGGACGCAGAGGTGAAGCCCCCCAGCCTTACTGTGGCCCCAGGCCCTACAGGCCGGAAACGCAGGCCGTGCACCCCTCGGTACACCTGGTGGCACCGGGGCGGACGTTGGCCTGTCCCCAGCAGCTGCAGGGCCTCTGTGAGCAGGAAATGGAGCGTCTTGAAGGAGAAGTGCTGGAGGTACTGGGCCCGGGAGCGGCCGGCCTCTCGCACAGCGGCATTGAACTCCTTGTGCAGAGGGCTGTTGGCAGTGTAGGCCAGGAGCGCCACCCCATGCTCATCCCGGAAGCCGGGGGGTGGCGGTGGCGGCCGGGTAGTGCTCAAGCCCCACTCTGGCTCCCAGGCCTGGTGCTCCTGCCACTGGCTGCTGGCCAGTGCCCAGCCCTCTGCATAGACTTTGTTGGCCTGGAACTCCGTGTGGTTGAGTTCTGGGAGGGCAGCTGTCATGGCTGCCGCACAGCCTGAGTACTGGTCATCGAAGGAGGCCAGGGCCATGTCCAGGAGGGTTTCTTGAGGGAAAATGTCTCGTCGTGTGATGGAGTGCCTCTGCACCTGAGAGAGAGACGATGGACCCCTGTCACCCTGAGGTAGGACAGAGGAAATAAAGATACTTTTGAAAAGACTGCAACTTTTAGGACCCAGTTGAAGTCACTCAAGGCTATCCATGTGGGCTTCCCTTGGCTAACTTAGGCTCCTTTCTTTCCAGACCCATTACATCCAGAATACCTCAAGAATACTACAATGGTTTTTGTTTGTTTGTTTGCTTTTTGGTACCAGGGATCGAACTTGGGACCTTGCACCTGTGAGGCAGGCGATGAAACCACTGAGCTAAATCCCCACCCCAACTCTAAGTCTTTAAATTGCCTCAGTTGAGAGAATAAAGAACAGAAACCTGCTCTTAAGAAAACAGACTGACAGAATTCAAAGAATGATTAAACTATCAATCTAAAAACAAAAACAAAAACAAAAAAACCCCCTAAACTGAGCTTCTACCTGTAAAATGGGCCAGTACCCTTCTGGAGGGGGGGCCAGCTTTACTACAGGTCTTCACTCCCTTGAGAGAAACATAAATGTTCCCAGTTCCAAAAGAAAGCCTCTCTCTCTCTCTTTCTCTCTCTCTCTGGGCCACACTCTATTTCTCTGAGTGTGTACTTTTTTTTTTTGGTACCAGGCATCAAACTGGGGACCTTGCATTTTCGAGGCAGGCGGCAGAACCACTGAGCTAAATCCCCAGCCCCTTGAGCATGTACTTTTATAATTCTTCCCAATAAATCCTTTTATGCCTCTTTCTGACTAATCCTGAACAGTCTTTTGAATCTGCAACTTTTCAGTAGGGAGGGTTTAGGGTCCTTATCTTCACTTGGGCAACCTCCTCCCACCCAGTCTGGTGACAGCCCAGCTGCCAGCTGAGGTGGGACTTGTTCTGCTGAGAAAGGCCAAAGGGTGGCAAGTCCCCAGGAGGATAAGGGATCGGGAGCTGCTGGCTGTGTGCACCCCTGTGCCGTTGCCTGGGGGTGTCCCCTTGGGTGGAGTCACCATCCCCAGGGAAGCATAGGCATTCTTTTCCTCCTTTCAGGGTTCAGCTCTTCCAGGATGGGAAGGTGAAGGATGACCATACCTGAAGGGCATCTGAGAGGCCCACAGACACAAGTAGCAGAGACAGCATGGCAGGAACCTGCATGTTGGAGGTGAGCCTGCTCAAGTTGGTTTCACTTTTTGGATCTCAGATTCCTCATCTGGAAAATCGCAGCGTTAATCTGTAGAGTTTAGTAAACTGCCACCTTGTGTGTGCCACTCCCAGTGCCTGGCAAGATAGAAATAGAGATTCAGAAGAAAGAGGGGAACCTTCTTGTTGGAAGGACTACAGGAGACTTCCTGGAGGAGAGGACATGTGAACAGGGTCTTGTAGGGTAAATAGGAAAAAAAGACATCAGCACATTGAGACTGGGAGAGAAAAGACTGAAGTTTGGGGGGGAAGGGGATGTGGGGTATCCTGAATAGATAGAACGAAGGTATCAGAGGTAGGAAGTCTGAGGATGTGGAGGGAAGGACACGTCTAGCCTGGCAGAGCTCGCAGTGGGGAAATGCTGGGGATGAGGCCAGTCAGAAGGGACTTGACTACCACTTGAGAGGTCTGGGCTTCACCTTCCCTGGGGCTGAGGCCAGAGCAGGGGCAGTTCCTGGAGAGGCGAGAGGTGGGGCTGGAGCCACACTCTAGGGACAGGCTGAGAGGAGGCCAGGGGCCAGAGAGCCTGATGCACACAGGGGCGCAGCCGAGACCACTTCTGGGCCTCAGCTGCACCCAGGGAGGGGCAGGTGGAGACCCCTGGGTGCCAAGGAGGACAGAGTTAAGAAGAACCCTACTTCCCATGTGCAGCCAAGAAAATTGCAACCTCCTGCACCCTGAAGGTGGGCACCTTGAGGGCCCAAAGTTCTGTAGGAAGAGGCCCACCCAGTGCTGAGTCAGGACTGGGACAGAGGTCCCTAAGCCAGTGCTGCCTCTGTGCTGACTCCTCTTTCTTTTTTTTCTTCTTCTTTTTATTTTATTGCAAAGTAATACCTGTTTGTAGTGGGGAAAGTGATTATATGTCCTTGGTCATAAGCCCAGGGCTCCTTCCTTCTTTCTCTCTCTGCATTCTCTTTCCCTCTCCTAGGCACAGCAGCCAGTGGGGAGGGAGTGGCTCTCAGGACCTTTCTCAGAGCATATGCAAATGATGCCATATTTATGTGCACACATACATGTATAGTTTTCTGTGTGTGGCCTGTTTTGTTTTTTTATTGTCATTTTTCAGAAAAAAAATAAACATTATAATGCTTACACACACATCCTGTAGTCCCCGTGCCCCAGGAAACAGTACATCAAGGGCTTCTTTCCCGCCTGTACACACAGATCTACCTTGTTCATTACGGTGGCAGCAGGGTGTGTTTTATGGTATAGTTAAACCATATGTCAAACACTTAGATTTCTTCCTAATTTTTATGTATTATATATAATCTACAGTGAACATTCATTAAATAAATTCTTGTCTACTTATGCTCATATTTTTTTGTTTTGTTTTGTTTTGTTCTTTGGTACTGGGCATCGAACTTGGGTCCTTGCACTTGTGCAGCAGGCAGCAAAACCACTGAGCTAAATCCCTGGCCCCTATGCTCATATTTTTATAGGAAAGGGTTTCAGAAGTAGAATGAGGTTTCAAGAATATGAGTATATATTTTTTATTTTGCCTTTTTTTTTTTTTTTTGGTACCAGGGATCAAACTCCGGTCCTTGAGCTTTTGAGGCAGGCGGCAGAACCACTGAGCTAAATCCCCAGCCCCTATATTTTTTTATTTTGACAGGCACTGCCAAACTGCCATTCTGAGGCAGGAGGATCAAAGTTCAAGTCCCCGGGGATCATCTGGGCAACTTAGCAAGATCCTGTTTTAAAATTTAAAAAAATAAAAAAATAAAATGGCTGGGGATGTAGCTCAGCGGGTTTGATTCCCAGTACTATGAAACAAAACAAGATAAAACAAAACAAATACATTGGCATTCAAAAGGTACCAGTTTACTGCTTCCCCCCACACACACACCAAATGAAGGAGAGTTCTGGAGTGCTCTTTTCTCCACATCTTAGCCAGTATTGGGTGTTTTTATTTCATTTTAATTTTCATTTAACTGGTTTAGAAATAATATACTCATGTTACTACCAACACAAAGTCATAAATACACCTTTCGCCTCCAAAAGTTTTCTTGTGTACCTTTTTAAAATTTTGATGTCATTTTGCTTTTGCATCTTTGTGTTTGTGGTAAGAACACATAATATGAGATTTACCCTCTCAACACATTTTTAAGTGCCCAGTACCTTATTGTTAATAATAGGCACTATGTTGCACCAGAATAGACTTTAAAAGGATACCTTGCTCATTGTTATAGTCTCTGTACATTGTAAGTGCTCATTAAAGAGTGCACTGAGAATGTCTCAGACTTCCAGGAAGATGGCAGTGGTAAGCAGCAACAAATCAACTTTTCCAAGATTTAGAATACAGACGCTGGAAAATAAGAACTTAGGGAAGAAAAGGAGGAGGGGAGGAGGGATCCTTGGGAGGTGGATCCTTGGGACCTAGGAAGGATCTGAAGGAAAAATTGGAGCCTACAGAGAAATTGAAGAGACTGATCTCAGTGCAGAAAAAAGAAGAGGCAATCTGCATTTTCTCCCTGGCTCCTGGTGTGAGAAAGGAAGATTGAATCTACAGAGACACAGTGAAAGTAGGGGACTCCAAAGACCTCCAGGGAGAAACACACTAAGTAGACTAGAGCAGTAGATGCTGTGTGATACAACAGCTGGTGTGTGACTCCAGTCCAAGGGGCTGCCGTATCCCCTGGAGAAAGTGCTTGGTTGGGTGCCATTTTAGAGAGGGGCCAACTGAACCCAGGACTCAGAGCAGCTGTGTGTTGGCTTCATCTCAGAGCCTCCAGTGTTAAACTCCCACAGTGACTGGCTGAGGGACAACTACAGGAGACATCCAGGGTCAGGGAGCCACGGTCAGGCTAGCAAGAAACACCCTACGTGTTATAAGCTAAAGGACTCAGGACCCAACCTCACAACCAGAGGTCAGGATCAGCCTGAACCTTCATGGATTTGGAAGTATCAGAACCAGCACCCCACCCTAACCCTATTGTAAGGTTGCTGGGATTATCTGACATGGATCTGGGCTCTGACTGCCTCCTTTGTCAGTGAGAGCAGAGTCACATCCTGAATTGGACCCTGCCACAAAATTGTAGACTCCAAAAGATAACCACAGGCTTGAAAACAGAAATTTCTTCTCCCTTTTTTTTTCTTCTCTTTGCTGTATTTTTTAAAATTTCTGTTCCTTTTTTTTCCATGAGTGTGAACAATGTATTAGTTTTGTGTTTTGTTTTGTTATTGTTTTTCTTTTTTCCTTCTTTCCTTCCCTCCTGTCTTCTTCATCAGTTTCTCGAGGCTTGGGTAATCTTCCTTTATCCTTCAGCCTTGCTTCTAATCTCTTTCTCATCTGTTATTTCTGTTTTTATCCCCCTGCTTGTCTCTTTAAAATTTTCCCCTTAAGGTAAAATCACTCTATTGAGAAGATATTTACCGTATACAATTTTCTGATTTGTCTTAGAGTTTATTACATAACTATACATCTTGTACCTATGGTTAAAGGTGGCAAGTTAACAGTTATCACAGTTTGTCGTTTTCTAGTCTGTGTTTAATGCTATTGTTATTACTGATTGTACTACTTTAGCCAAGGTGACATAGTTGCTGTGATCAACTGATCTTCCTTTTATGTCAATACCAAGATTGTCTGGGGATCATAAACAATAGTATATAGTCCAGTACCAGAGAACTGGGTGCTAGGCCAAACAGCCTGTACAACCGTAATAAATTGAAGATGCAGGATCCTGGGACAGACTCACAAGCCTCCAGCTATGCTTGGAGGCCATCTCTGAAAAGTAGTCATTTCCTAAAGAGATCTAATACTAGTAATAAAGCTATGTACCATAAGGAATTTACAAACCTGAAAACAAAGAAAACAAATCAACAATAACAAAATAGAAAATCAGAAAACAGTGAAGCACTATGCAACCCATTACCTTCAACTCAACCAAGGCAAATCCATGAGGCATTGAGGTGGAAGAAATCCAAAGCGATCCATCTGAATTTTCTAAAATGGTAGCAGCAGAAGTAACAAAATGAATGTCTCTGACAAAAAAATAGAAATAATTAAACAGATAATTAAAGAGATGATGACCATAATGAAAGAAATGGTTAATGAATCTAGAATATAGATTGTTTTAAAAATATAAGCTTATAAAAGACATACAGGGCCAGGGTTTAGTTCAGTGACACTGCGCCTGCCTCACAAGCATAAGGTCCTGAGCTGGATCCCTGGTACCAAGAAAAAAAAAAAAGACATGCAAACCATGAATTCCCAACATAGAAAAGAAATGGACTCCATAAAACAGACTCAAATAGAAATCCAGGACATTAAAAATTGTACCGAAGGGCCAAGGATTTAGCTCAGTGGCACCACGCCTGCCTTGCAAGCACAAGTACCTGAGTTCAATCCCCAGTACCACGGAGGAAAAAAAAATTGTCCTGAAAGTATATGCAACAGAGTCTGCCAGTGTGAAGATAAAATATCAGATCTAGAAGATAGAGTTATGGTTGGTGATCATCAAATGAAAGACCTCTTAAAAATAGCAAGGGAGGGGGCAGGGATTTAGCTCAGTGGTTCCACCACCTGCCTCGAAAGCGCAAGGTCTCAAGTTCAATCCCTGGTACCAAAAAAAAAAAAAGAAAGAAAGAAAAACATAGCAAGGGACCATGAACAATAAATCCAGCAGCTGATAGATGATGCAAAGAAGACTAATAAAAGATTAATTGGAATCTATGAAGAATCAGAAGATAGCATAAAGGGCATAAAAAACCTGTTGACAGACATAATAACAGAAAACTTCCCAAACATGGAATAAGAATTTGGTAAGTGAGGCATATAGAACTTTAAATAGCCATGATCAGAAAACACTACAGCAAGGCATATAATAGCCAGGATTCCAGAAATTCAACACAAGAATATTAAAAGCTATTAGAAAAATAAGTAATAAAAGCTGTTAGAGAAAAGAAATCACTTATAAAGGAAAACTCATTGGAATCACAGCAGATTTCTCAACACAAAACCTTAAGTCAAAGAGAGCTTAGAGTGAAGTATTTCAAGCCCTAAAAAAGAACAACCTCTAACCCAAATTAATGTGCCCTGCAAAATTATCTATCAAAGTTAATGGAGAAATAAGATACTTCCATGATAAAGAACACCTGAAAAAAATTCTTGACCACCAAACCAGCACTCCAAAAAGTTCTGAAGCATTTGCTAGAAAAAGACAATGAAGACAATTCCAAGGATCCCAATAGAATGAATCTACCAGGCAAGGCAAGCAATTACACAGAAGGAAAGAAAGGCAACCAAAACCAGGAAAATAATATGACAAAGATAAGTCAATACATATCAATTATAACCATCAATGTAAACGGTCTCAATTCACCAATGAAAAGAAACAGACTGGCAGAATGGATCAAGAAATGATCCAACAATATGCTGCATACAAGACACATTTGACTGAAAAATAAATTCATAGACTGAAAGTCAAAGGAGCCGGAGATTTAGCTCAGTGGTTCTGCTGCCTGCCTTGCAAGTGCAAGGTCCCAAGTTTGATCCCTGGTACCAAAAAACAAACAAACAAACAAACAAACAAAGTCAAAGGATGGAAAACAATACTTCATGAGACAGGGTCCCAGAAAAAAGCAGGCTTAGCTATTCTATTTGCAAACAAAGTGAATTCAAGCCAACACTGATCAGAAGAGACAAAGAAGGTCATTACCTTCTTGTTAAGGGAACAATCCAAGAGGAAGAGATAACAATCACACATATATATGCATTAAATACAAGTGTTCCCAACTATATAAAACAAACACTAATGGATATGAAAACTCAGATAAGCAGGCCAGGCATGGTGGTGCATACCTGTCATCCCAGCCCTCTGGAGGCTGGGCAGGAGGATCGCCCCAAGTTCGGGGCCAGCCTGGACTACAAAGCAAGACCCTGTCTCAACCCCCCCAATCAGATAAACACTAAAACAATTATAATGGGGGACCTCAATGTCCCGCTGTCACAAGTAGATCAACTAGACAAAAAAATCAACAGAGAAATATTAGAGCTGAATCAAACCGTCGAACAAATGGACTTAGTAGATATCTACATCCCACAACAACAGAATACACATTCTTCTCAGGAGCACATGGGGCTTTCTCCAAAATAGACCACGTATTAGATCATAGAACACGCTTAAGTAAATGCAAAGAACTGAAATTATCCCATGCATATTATCAGATCATAGAGCAAAGAAATTGGAAATCAATGGCAAAAACCCCCACAAAAACTTCATAAACACATGGAAATTAAATAACATCCTCCTTAACAACTACTGGGTCACAGATGAATTTTTTAAAATTTTTGATCCAGTCCTATTTTCTGCATCCTTAATTCTGTCTTTGAGGGTTTTTTGGTTTTGGGTTTTTTTTGGTACCAGGGATCGAAGTCAGGACCTTGTGCTTGCGAGGCAGGCAGCGGAACCATTGAGCTAAATCCCCAGCCCTGAGTTTTTCTTTTAACCTTGCATCATAGCACTGACCAGGAGATTGGAACCCATCTCGGGGGGTCTCTGATAACTGGCACTCAAGGTGGTGGCACAGACCCACGAGGGATCATCTGCTTGGTGACGCCCACTTAGGGTGGACGAGATGTATTGATGACACAAGGGAAAAATTTTTACCAGGTACTCCTTAGACAGAGGACTAACATCTAGAACAGTGGTGGTGAACTTATTGCACATGTGTATTTTTCTTTTATGACAAAATATTTTAATATATGAATTGCTTTTTCTAAACTAAAACCTCAGTATTCAGATTTAATTATAACCTTGATCCTTTGTGATAAATAAGTGGGTTTGGGGTTGCAGTTTGGGCACTCGATCCCTAAAATATTCACCATCACTGATCTAGAATATATAAAGAACTAAAAAAAAAAAAAATCAGGGCCAGGGATTTGGCTCAGTGGTTCTGGTGCCTGCCTTGCAAGTGCAAGGTCCAGAGTTCGATCCCCAGTACCAAAAAAAAAAATCAAACTCTCAAAATTTAAAGACCCAACCCAAAAATGGGCATCTGAAATGAATAGACATTTCTCTGATGAAGTAGAAACAGCAAATAAATATATGAAAAAATATTCAACATCCCTGGTCATTCATTTTTAATGCAAATTAAAACAATGCTGAGACTCCATCTCACTCCAGAAAGAATGGCTATCATCAAGAAATCAACCAATAACAAATGCTGGCGAGGCTGTGGGGAAAAAGGAATCCTTCTACATTGTTGGTGGTAATGTAAATTGGTGCAACTACTATGGAAATCAATATGGAGATTCCTCTAAAAACTTAAACTAGGGATTCCATTTGACCCAGCTGTTCCCCTTCTAGGTATCTTCCTGACAGAGTTAAAAGCATACCACACACCACAGTACAGTATGCACGCCCATGTTTATAGCAACACAATTTATAATAGATAAATCTTGGAAACAGTCCATATGCCCATCAACAGATGAATGGATAAAGAAATTGTGGTATTTATGTACAATGGAGTAGTACTCTGCCATAAAGAAGGATAAATGTGAGTCATTTTTAGATAAATGGATGCACCTCAAGAGCATAATTTTAAGTGAAATAAATCAGACACACAATTTTTTTTAATGAATGCTCAGGTTTAGAGGTGAAATGATGAATTCACTTTGGAAAATGTGAACTCTCCAGGGGAAGATGTCCAAGAGATAGTAGAATGGATAATGAGAAGAGACCTTTGAGTCTATGTATTGAAATCAGATCAGCAATGAGATCTCCAGGGAAACAGGAAAGAGAAAAGAGCAGCTAGAAAGGTAATCAAACCTCAGGTGGAGCAAGTATTCCTTGGGTTAGTAGAAGCTCTTTGCTTCTGGCCTTTGGGCCCTGTAAGATACCCTGGAGTCCTTGTGATAAATTCTCCTTGAAAGCCAAGTGTGGTGGCACATGCCTGTAATCCCAGTGCTCCGGAGGCTGAGGCAGGAGAATCACCACCACCCTGGTCTATATATTGAGTTCAAGACCAACCTGGACTACATAGCAAGATGCTGTCTCAATTTTTAAAAAAAATCCCCTCAAGGCTTAATCTAGCTCAGGGCAGTTCCTGTTCGCTTGCCATCAGAAAGGTCTCATGTAACACATCATCTCCATTATGGTGCCCAGTCACCCAAGATGATCACCTGGGTGTCTGTCCATTCATTCATTGATGAAGAATTCCTGTAGTTACCAATTCGTGCTGGGCACAACAAAGGCCCCTCTTAGCTTCTTCTCCTTGCCCATAACCCCTTCCCCATAACCCCAGCCCTGCTCAGGTTTACACCTGCCTCCTCACAGATGTCCCTGCCTCTTCCATCACCCCTGCTAGTCCACCTGCCACAGAGCAGGGAGAGCAGTTCCTAAAGCTCGGCTGTGGTCATTTTCCTTTGCTGCTTAAAAACTCTGTGCTAGGGCTGGGAATTTAGCTCAGTGGCACCGCACCTGCCTCGCAAGTGAAAGGTCCTGACTGAGTTCGATCCCTGGTAGCAAAAAAAAAGACCTCTGTGCTAAAGCTGACTGGAAGAACTATCTCAGAAAACAGGCTGAAAATGCATCGTGGAAATTACTTGCTTTTTCAGAAAGCAGAAAAACAAAAACATCCCTCCATACCCTCAGGACAGAGTCCAACCTCCTTAGCCTGGTCTTCCAGGCCCTCTGTCACTTGGCCTTCTGTGACCTCTTTAGCCTGGTGCCCCACCACTCCTGCTTGGCTTCTCCAGTACAGAACAAAGCTCCAGGTGGGGCTCTGCTGTGTCCCCTCTTGGGCCACCGTCTCCTGGCTGCCCACTCTTCAAGGCTCACTTAGCTCAGGGGCCCCTTCAGGAAGCCCTCTGACTCCCCATGGCTTGTACATCCATCACTCTGTGCTGTCCTCTGTCACTGCCCTTATGTATGCCCCATTCCCCTCCTGGCCCATGAGTTCTGTGAGGGCAGGGACCAGGTATGACCCCATTCTGTGTCCCCAGGGCTCAGCCCAAGCCCAGGCACAGATGAGCCCCCCAAAATGTGTGCTGAGGGCCAGGGATTTAGCTCAGGGGCGCCATACCTGCCTGGCAAGCCCAAAGTCCTGAGAAAAGATTGCTGAGAGTCTGAGAGGGTTTCTGGACACAGCTGACATGGCAAACCACTGCAAGGCAGGTGGACTGCTGACCCCCATGGCCAGTGTCTCGGGATCTCAGAGGCAAAGTGGGGGACCAGAATGAGGAGGGATGGTGTGGAAGTGAGGAAGTAGAGTCATTGGGCAATCCCTTTCCATAGCCGAGGTTGCTGCCCTTTGCCCTTCGTCATCCTGCTCAGGGAAATTCTCTTGTCGTTTCTCCTCTTCCAGGCCCTTGCTGAACATTCTCTTTTGGGAATGTGACCCCAAATCTCTCCCCAAGAATCCCAAATTTTCCCATGTCTCCCAACCTTCCTAGGTATCCCAAATCTCCCCATCAAATGTTAAACTTTTCCTTATGACTCCTTAAGCTCCATTAGTTCCCCCAAATTCCATTTCAAAAAAACTCTTTCCCTGCCCCTCACCCAAGAAGAGGGTGGCAAGCCCCTTACCTAGGCCTTCTCCAGGGTTGGGAAGCTGCTGTTGGTCTCTTGCAATGGTCACCAGTGCAAGGGGAGGACAGGGTTCTCCTTTATACTGTCACCTCTCCACCCCTTGTACCTCCCTCACACAGCTGCTCAGAAATATGACACTCCCCCATCTATTTCTGGATGTTTCCTGAAGACTCAGGAACACTAGCCTCTGCCCAGTCTGACCTGGGCCTGTGTTCTTCCCATGAAAAAGGAAAGCCCTGTTGTCTGCGGCGTGGAGGATCTCAGCTGGGACAGCTGCCTCCTCCCTGGGTTGAGTCCTCCCTCTGGCCAGCCCAGAAGAGGACAGAGGTGGCTGCCACACCTCTAGCCCAGGGCCATCTCCTTACATTTTGTTTCTTTCTTGTGAGCATCAAGACTCACCCAAGGTGCAAGGAGAGATTTGGACTAAAGAGCCTGGATTCTGTATCTCAGCTCCAGCCTGACTTGCCCCTGCCCCATGACTATATTTGACTCTATCTCTTGGGGCCTTGTGGAGGTTACAGGTCCTAGGATGGGAGAAGCAATTCCTAAAGCCAGAAGGTGTAGAGAGGACAAAGCAGCGGCCCCTGTAAGTCTGGCTCCAGGGCTGTCCCAGCAGGCCAGGCTGTCCCCACACAGCATCTCTTGTCCCAGCAACTGCAAACACACAGGTCCCTGCAGGGAGAAGGGTAGGCGGGATGTGTAGGCAAGGTGCTATTTTTCCCAAGGACAGTGAACCATAAAGTGACTCCTGATTTTCTCATTGAGGAGGGCCCTGGGGTGGCCATTCTCACTGGAAGGGGGTAAGAGCACTCTGTTTGGGGGGATGCTACTCTGTCCACCATCCTCCTCCACACTTGCTCTTGGAATATTTCCTCTTCCTCTTTGGTCTTCAGGAACGGTTTTGGGGGAAAACAAACAAACAAAAAAGCAGGACTCTGGGCGGTGAAGGAAACTCTTCATTTGGCTGACAATCAGAGCGGCTTGGGACAGGCATGGGACAAATTAATGAGCCAGACTGGGATGGAGTCCTTTGGATAGGTCTAACCTGCCATGCCCACCCCTGGCCCAGCAGGCAGCATCTCTCAGATCCTAACATTCAGGAGCCCTGCTCTGCGGAGGAAAGGATACCTACCCCTCCTTCAGGCTAAGGGTGATGCCACCTACAGATTCCTCAGCTGGCCCCTTCTCCAGTTACCTCTAATAGGGCATCCAAAACTCAGAGCCCGGTTATTTATAGACTGGCCCAGAGGAGTCCCCGGGGAGAGGGAGCTAGTGTTTACAAACACAGGGTCACCAGAATCTGAGATCAACTTGCCCCTGATTCAACTCTGCCCTGGGGAAGGGGCAGGGGATAAAGAGGAGGGAGGGGCGCGGGGGCTGCGCAGATGCTGGAGCACGTGACCCAACGAGTAGGCCATATGCAAATCGTATGCAAATCAGCGACTGCACCAGTGGCCCCTCTTGGCTAGTGCTGGCCCCGGAGCGACCCTCGCCCAGCTCCCTGGCCGAGTGGTCTGGGGGCAGGGCGGGCCTGGTTAGGCCCCCCTGAGGCAGAGTCTCACAAGTTCCTTCTCCAACCTGGCCTGGCACGGAGGGTGCTGGAGGGGAACCCACCGTCCTCCGCAGGGCAGTTTCGGCGCTCAGCCCCTCACTCCGCCACTCCCGCTCCCCACGCCCTGCGTCCGTTGTTGGGCGACAGGTGTCGGGTTACAGCCCAGGGGCTATAGTTAGCCGCGGGACTTTGTGTGGCAATCTGCGGAGAGCGCCGCGCCCGCCGACTCTAGCCCCCTGCTAGCCGCTAGCGCCAGCGCTGTCCTCCCTCAGCCCGCACAGCCTCCAGGTGGGTCCTTGGTCCCGGACCCGGCTTTCCAGGCGGAGCCCTACGACCGCCCCACCTGTACAGTGGGTCGGAGCATCCGGGCGCGGAGACGCTGGGTGGGGGGTGTCTGCGAGTCTGGGGAGCCAAGACTCGGGTTTGAGAGGGGACAATAAAATCCAAGGCCCCGCCCACCCGTAGGCCCCGCCCCCTAACACGCCCGCGCCCGCCTGGGCGTGGATCCAAGGATCTCTCAAGTGGCGGGAGGAAGGGGCCTGGGGCCCATCGAAGCCGGGACTCCAGCGCTGCAGGTCTCACTTTCACCTGGACTTCACCGTGCAGGACTCCTCCAGGGATGACGCTGGAGGCTCTGCTGATCGTCCTCAACTGCCTCGGCCTCCACACCCTCTGGCAGGTAACTCCCGGAACCATCCCTTGCCACCAAGGGGACTGTTGGGGCGCAGATCCTGAGGAGGTGGACTGGGGGGTGACGCCTCAAACGTCCCCTCCATTGCACCGAATCCTCCTCCTCTCAGGAGCTTCCAGCCCTGGGGAACCTCAAGTTCCCACTCCCTGTCCCAGAACCCATGGACATCCACAGCTCCTCCTGTGATCCTGCCTCCTTACGTGTCAGCCCTCTCTAGGGACTACCTCCAACTTTGTCCTCCCAAGCTGCTTTGGTTACCTGTGTGCTGCTCTCTGGGACACCACCCCGACCCCAGGCTTGGGATAAAGGCTTTTTTTTGTTTTGTTTTGTTTTGGTGGGGTTTTTTTGTGACAGGCTCTCGCTATATTGTTCAGGCTGGTCTTGAACTTGAACTCACTATGTAGCTCAGGCCTCAAACTCGTGGGGATCCTCCTGCCTCAGCCTCCTGAATGCTGGGATTATGGGCATGAGCCACCATACCTGGCAGGATAAAGGCTTTTGTCTGAAGCCGGGGAAAACGCAGGAATCTCAGAACTGGCAGTGATTTGGAGTACTGATTGAACACTCACAAAGGCTTCCCAAAGGATGAGAGGGAAAGAGTCTGAGGAGGATGGAAATAATGGCGTCAGGTAGTTGGACAGTGAACACTGGCCATTGGCTGTGCTTGTTTATCATCAGCAGACTGAATCTTAGAGCCAGAAAGTGCCTGGAGTCATGGAAGCTCACCTTCCCATTGAGTTCAGAAACATTTCTAACGATAAGATGACACCTTTTAGATTGTCCAGAAGTCACCTTCACACAATCCTCTCAATATCCCTGCAAGGTTGGAAGTATCCTCATTTACAGGTGGAAAACCTGAAGCTCGGAAAAGATGAGCCTTGCCAAGATCTTACAGCTATTAGGTGGTGTTTGGATCCATGTCGGTCCAACTCCAGAGCCTGTGTTGTTTATGCCTCTCCTTAGGCCCTTGCCAAGTTGCATACACCAGATGTTTGGGCAGAGAAATGAGATTCTGAACTGGGCACAGTTGTGCACGCTGTAATCCCAGCCATTTGAGACCCTGAGGCAGGAGGATCACAAGTTCAAGGCCAGCTTGGGCAATTTAGCCTGGGCATGTCTCAAAATAAAAACTAAGAAGGGGTAGGGATATAGCTTAGTGGTAGAGTGCTTTCTTAGCATTTGCAAGGAGGTTCTGGGTTCAATCCCCAGTGCTACCAAAAACAAAAAAAGAAAGGAAGGAGATTCTGTATTTCTGAACTGGCCTGCCACCAGGACCCCTATCTAGTGCTATGAACTTACATTCTTTCCCATTGTGGCTCCTCTCTTCCTTATACCCATAGGCCCAGGCTGTTCCTATCCTGCCCCTGGGCCTGGCTCCAGACACTTTTGATGATGCCTATGTGGGCTGCTCGGAGGTCATGGAAGAGAAGGCAGCCGCCCTGCTAAAAGAGGAGATGGCCCACCATGCCCTGCTGCGGGAGTCCTGGGAAGCAGCCCAGGAAGCCTGGGAGTACCAGCGTCGAGGGCTCACTCTGCCCCCTGGCTTCAAAGCCCAGCATGGGATAGCCATTATGGTCTATACCAACTCATCTAACACCTTGTACTGGGAGCTAAACCAGGCTGTGCGAACGGGCGGTGGCTCCCGGGAGCACTACATGAGGCACTTTCCCTTCAAGGCCCTGCATTTCTATCTGACTCGAGGCCTACAGCTGCTGCAGGGCAGTGGAGGCTGCAGCAGGGCACCTGGGGCGGTGGTGTTTCGAGGTGTGAGCAGCCTTCACTTTGAACCCAAGAGGCTTGGGGACTTGGTCCGCTTTGGCCAGTTTGCCTCCAGCTCCCTGGATGAGGCAGTGGCGCGCAGGTTTGGTAATGCCACCTTCTTCTCTCTAAGGACTTGCTTTGGGGCCTCTATCCAGGCCTTGTCTGTCTTCCCTGAGGAGCGTGAAGTGCTGATTCCCCCCCATGAAGTCTTCTTGGTCACTGGGTTCTCCCAGGATGGAGCCAGGAGCATAGTGACTCTCTGGAGCTATAATCAGACCTGCAGCCACTTTAACTGTGCATATCTGGGTGGTGAGCTGTGCGTGGGGAATGTGGGATTGGCAGGGTGGGTGAAATAAGCCAGAATGTCCCCACATAGTCCCCAGAGTCTTCAGGAGACCACTTGGTTAATGGTGAAAGTTGGAGGCAGGAAGTGAGCTGCAGTTGTCCTCTTAGAATCAGTCTGCCAGGTCCTATAAGCATTTTCCAGATCCATGAATATTCTCAGATGAGCCTATATGTTCTCAAAAAGTTCCACCTGCTGCACAGTCTCCTGGACCAAAGGAGCCTGGTTAAGGAAGTTGGCATACACAGCAAAGATTCAGGAGTACAGCTTTAGGTCTCAGGAAGCCCCGGGCTTGATGGGGGTGACAGGTCACAAATGTGCTATTCCCAAGGGTTAGGGGGCACTGAATGGAGGAGTGACTGGGTGTGGGTGGGAACAGGGATGGATAGGCAATCCGAAGGACTTCCGGGGGAAGGGAAAAGGAAGGGAAGTCAGAAGTTTGTTATTAGGTGAAGGGAAAGACAGACAGAGAGGGGGAATGGCCCTGCCAGGACCTGCTAAGAAGGACATTTGGCCTATGTCTCATTGAGCTCATTGAGCTGTCTGTTGCAGGGCAGAAGAGGCGGGGCTGTGTGTCGGTACCAGGTGGGTTACTTTCCTGCCTCCTCTGTCAGCTGCTTCGACTCCCCTTCAGCCTTCTGAGCCCTTCACTGATTTTTCTTCTTTCTCCAACAGTAGGGCAGCCAGAGTCACCCTATGAAGGGGCTTTCCCTCTGCTCTCGTGGAAGACCCCATTCTTGGCCCCTGGGAAGTTCCAGCTCTCAGAAGCTGGGCCCTGAAAGCCAACATTGCCACTTAGGATCCTGGGAACTGGTGAGCCTCATGTGAAGAAAACGGGCTTAAAACGGCCTTGAGAAGCAAGAGCATGGTTCCGGACCTAGCCTTAGCAGCCGTCTCCTCAGTCCGGGTCTGGGGAGACCTGAGGCCATGGCAGGGTTGAGGGAGTCCCACTATGTGGTGGGGACTTCCTGGGACAAGCAAGGGAAGTGCTGTGTTGGCCACTCAATTAAACAGTGTTGTAGTGTGGAGACATGGAATTTGATGACTGGTTTACTCTCTGACACCGGACCACCTGCCCTTGCCAGGCTCAGGGACTGAGGGACTAAAGAAGAGTAACTTCCCTATCACTTCTAGACATGGTCCCCTGTCACATGCTGTAGCTTGCAAGCCCAGAAGCTTTAACAACTAGAGGGTCCTCACAACAGCCCTGAAGGGGACAGATGGGTTCCTGTCTGTGTGATGAGGAATGCAGGGCCAAGGAAGGACATAGCTTGCTCATGGTTAGACAGTTAATGTAGAAACCAGGCATCTTCCTTCCTGAGCCTGCTGCCTCCTAGTTCAGAATTGTTTTCACTAAAGTTCTGAGGAAGCGCAAAGTAGAATTCTGAGCCCAAGACCCCTGAAACCCCAGAGGAAGCCATTTCCCTCTGCCCTGCTCACACAGGGTCCACTGAGGGGCAGGAGTGTAGGGAGGATTTGAAAACATCAAGTGACAAGAATTCTCACCCTCTCCAGAGCCCACCGCCATCCACATTGGGAACTTTTATTGAGGAAGGAAAGCACACAGGCTCCTAAGTGACACTAACCCCACTCAACTAGGCTGCTGAACCCCACAACAGAAGAAGGGACCTTTCCGCTGTGTTAGGACTCCCCCTTGGCCCCCAAATCCTTCCCTGCGGACAGGTCCCTGGTCCCCTCTGCTTCTTGCTCCCTGTGCACCAGCACATGAGTCGGGGAGGAGAGCCCATCCGCTCCAGAAGCCGGAGTCTCAGCCTCTCCTGCACCCTGCACCCCAGTTTCTGAAGAGTCTTGGGTCTGCACAATTCCTGGCATGATCAGCTCTGCGGTCTCGGAGATGGAGGGGCCCAGGTTCTGGAAGCTGTTGCGAACTCGGGTGATGTAGCGGCTGAGGATGCTGGCACCATCGGGAGGCCGGGCTGTCCCTCCTGCTTCCATGGTGCGCCGCACACTGGCCACCTCACTTTGCAGCCTGGATACAGTCTTGGTCAGCTCTGTCAGTCTGTTGCCCAGGTCTGAAGAGGCAGAGCATTGAGGGGAAGTCTTTCAGAAAATGAGGCTGCTCAGTACTTCCCTCAGCAGACCCCAGGGACACTGTCTGGGGGTTTCCAGGGAGGTGGTCAGGTGGGTAGCAGAATCTGGGGCAGATGAAGCTGAGTAGTGGTGGGAAGGCGGTGACATAAAGAAACTCTTCAGGACCAGAAAAGGGGTAGGGAGTCCTATGGAGAGTTTCTAATGAGCAGAGATCTGTACGTTCACCCCTGTCAGCCCTCTCCCCAGTCTGCACCGGGCCAGCTCCTACCCGTCCCTCCGGCCCACTTCACATTCTACTTGGCCTCCCTCCAACTTCTCCCTTCCCAGTCCTCTCAAAATGATAGCTCTTTCTGTCCTTTGGCTCACACTGCAGCCTGGGTCTCTCTTAGCTGAGCACTTCCTGCCCAACATGATGGATTGATCATTTCTCCCTATACTGCAAGCCATGCTTGTGTGTACACAGTGTTCCCTCCCTCCAAACACAGCCTGGAACAAGGGAGCGCACAGCAATGAATGCTACATGAATGAGTGTGCCTGAGTGAATGAGAATAAATGAATATAGGAGCCAGGGTAGGAAAATAAGTGGCTAAATGAAGTGAATGAATAAATGCCTGAATGGGTCAGAGGGTCACTGAGTGTGAGGGACCACACAGTGCAGGTTATGGCTTCCAAGCCCAAGCTTCCTGCCGGATCCAATGGGCAGGATCCCACAATGGGCCACCTATAAGTGCAGGGTGAATAAGGGGTGTGGTCTGGGTGTGGGGAATTTATCCCACTTGATCAAGCAAAAGGATTGATCAAGCAACAGGATTGGAGGTGGACAACTAACCTTTCCGACGGGTCTCCTCGAACTCCCGCCTGGCAGTCTCTATGTAGCGCTGCACCAGAGCCTTGATGACTCGAAGGCGGTAGGATCCACGCTCTGCCTCCCCAGGCCCAGCACCTGCCCCTGCCCCTGGGTTGGCCTAGAATGAGAAGACAGGAGGGTGAGGGAGATTCTCCACCCCCAGCCTTCCTCTAATCGCTGTCCAGCTCTGGGAATAAAAGACCAAGGAGAAGTCTGTGCAGACTTTTCTGTTGCTATCGGCCATACACCTAGACCCTGGTCTACCTCCATCTCAAAGTGGAGTCCTGGGAAGTAGAAGGACAGGGACTGGAAGTTAGGGAAGACCTGACTGGGAGAACCTGGGGTTGGAAGTGAAGGCTGTGAGGTGAGGAGAGGTGGGAAAACCCTGTATACACCTGGAAGTCATGTTGATCTGAATTAAGAAGGGGCTCTCATGCCCAGCCAGATGGGCTGGGGTGCAGACAATGAGAAGTAAATGAGCAGCTTAGACACACACCCTCCTCTCTTGAGCCTCTGTTGGACTTTTAATTCCCCAACTGGTGGGGCATTTAACCTTGACTTTTCAATGTTTTTGAAAAACATTCCATCACATCTTGGCACAGATCATCTGAAGCTTAGAGGGTATTTGTGGATTGGGAGTAGCGGGGCATGGACTTCTGTTTAGGCTGTATGATCCAGGGTTAGAAATTTAGCAAATGGCCAGAGCCAGGAAGAGGGAAAGAGAAGGTACATGAGAGTGGGAACTGGGGACAGGCTTTCCAGGGAACATACCTAGAAAGACAGACATGGCAGGGGTGTGCATGCATATGGGTAGTGTGAGTAATGCAGTTGAAGCCTGGTGTGAGGGGGACCAACAAGCAGGTGGGGTACTTACAAAGGTGGGGATTGGGGGGTAGTCTGGCTTCTTGGTTTTGCAGCAGGAGCAGCAACAGCAGATGAACCGGAAAATTCTCCTGAGAGATTTCGATAGTGGGAATGTTAGTCAGGAGATGGGGTTGAGGAAACGGGGGCAGGAGCTGGGTGCTTGGGGTTTGGAGGTGAAAGCCTTGAGGTCATTACCTGAGAAGGTAGAAGAAGGCCTTGGGGGTAGGCAGGATGTTGAAGGGCACAGGCAGTGTCAGGCCCTCTCGGAAGTAGGACAGGTAGAGCTTGGAGCGAGCAAACTTCCACTCCACGTCAGCATCGTCCTGGGGGCCAGGAGGGAGAGGGCTGTGCAAGGACTACTTTGACACCCGGGCCTCTTGCTCACTCAATCTGCCTCTTTCCCCCAGTCCTTTTATCTCTTATTCCCCAGCGTGCCAACCTCTCTCCTTTCCTCATCCTTATCTCCAACCTCATCTACTACCCACACACTGCCTGCTTGTCTCCTTTCCTCTTCCCCCCATTACCCTCCTTTCTCTAACTTCCTGTTCCTGCCAAGCCTATTCTCCAGCCTGCACACCCTAGCCCATCCACTTCCTTCCTCTCCTTTTCACGTTCCCATCTACTTTTCCACATTGCACTACTCCTCCTGACCAAAAAGTGGACAGAGCACTGCACTTGGTGCCTGGGGACACTGACAGCACTAAGACCCTCATTTTACAGAGGAGAATTTGAACAAAGCCACAAGACAACAGTGGAGGCAGAGCAGGAAACCAGGTGCCTCAGCTCTTTGTCCCCATTCCTCTCTGTTCCTTTCTCACTCTTCCGCCAGGCCCTAATATGGCCTCAGTTCACGCACCTCAATCTTCTGGAAGGAGTTGGTGATCATGGCAATGAGCATGTTGAGCAGCACAATGACCATGACGATGGTAAAGATGCCATAGAGGGCCCGGCCCACGAATTCAGGCACCAGAAACTGAGGCATGTCCACCACTTTGTGCTCCTCCATACCAAACATGGTCCAGAACAGAAACTGGAACGTCTCATTGAAACTGGCCAAGGAAAGGATAGGAAATGGGGGTGGGGGAGGAGCTTGGGCTCCACCCAGACCCACTCCTCACCCTCAAGGACCCAGCCAAAGGTGTCATGTGTCCATGGAGCCCTTGGAATCATCCTGGCCCACACAGACACTTGTCATTTCTGAGATCCAACTTTTACTCTTTTGGTCAGCCAATATTTACTGAGCATGTAGGGTCATAGTGCTAAGGGCACATGAGTGAATGAGACAAGTAGAGTCCCTGTCTTCAAGGACCTTATGTTCTGGGGTGGGGGTGAGATGGCCAGAAGAGATGGCTTGTGTGAGGTTAGTAGGGATCTTGAAGAGCAAAAACAAAGCTCCAGGATCTGTGGACAATAGGAAGCTATGATGAGTACTAAGCAGAGAGGTGATAACTGATTTACGTTTGAAAAGATCATTTTGGTGGTTGTGGGTAGACTGCAAAGAAAGAGGTGAGTGAGTGAAGGCCTGGTGAGAAACAAGGGCCATGGTCTAGGTGGGAGAGAGGATGGTGGTATGGAGCAGAGTGATAGCAACTTCCACGCCACCTCTGCCAGGAAGGCAGCCCTTCCTGAACCGCCTTCCCTCCCTCCAGCAGAATGTGTTTGTCATTTTCCTTCTTGTTGGATTTATTTGTGAATCGGTCTTGTTCCTCCATCTCAGCACTAGTTCAGGCATAGATTACTGGAGCCTCTGGATGAGCCTGTCTCTTGTTACTTTGCCCGCCACATTGCGCCAACAGTGTTCTTTCTTGATGCAATCTGTTGTACCTCTGCTTGTCAACCTTCAGATGCTCCTAGTTACCTTCAACCACAAGTCTACTTTCTGCAAAAAAACTTTTGGTATCACTCATGACTGAACAGCCCAGGAGGGCCCAGCCTTGCCCAGCTGCAGTGGAGCAATACCACTTGCACCCACAAAGCAGGCTGGAATGAGTAATTACTGTGCCTGGCACTACCATTCATGGTTTAAACTGTGAAAGCGCAGTTCCTTTACAGTAATAATGTGAAGTCAGGTCAACAACTCAAGTAGTCTTTGTAAGGGGACTGAATAAAGCTTCCATATACACCGAAACCACGAGAGAGTCTCAACCTTTATCTGCAGGCCCAAGTACACAACTGCACTCATGAAGAATTTATGACCGGGCCACTGCTGGAAAGTCATCAGAGTTCCCTGTACCTGCTCTGAAGTCCATAACCCTTCCAGGTGGATCTACATTCTCCTTCTCTGAAAAGCCCTCCCTGACCATCCAAGATGAACAAAGGGGCTTCCTCTGGACACCCTCAGCATATGGCCTGCTTTTTCCTAGCTCTTATTTTGTCAAACTGAGCTTATCTGCGCACATGACTCTCTCCATGAGAATGGGTCTGGCTAACTTCTCTGTGCTTCCAGCACCAGGGACGGGGCCTACCACAAAGAAGGTGTCAGTAAGGCTGTGAACTCAACAACTATGAAAGTCAATCAATTTAAACAGTGCGTGAATGAATGACCCATCAGTGAATAAATAAACAAATGTAAGAGTTTAATTATTGGCCTTGTTTAGGAAAAATTCAGTATCAAAAAGAATAATGACTTTAATGGATCATTAATTTTATTTTTTTAGACAGGGTCTCACTATGTTTAGGCTGGCCCTGAGCTTGTCATCCTCCTGCCTCAGTCTCGTCAGTGCTGAGATTACAGGTATGTGCCACTGTGCTCAGCTAGGAGAAAGTATTTCTTTTTATTTTCTTTCTTTCCTGGCTGCTTGCTTTCCCTCCCTCCCTTCTTCCCTTCTCTGTCTCTTTTCTTCCTTCTCTTCTTCCCCCCATCTTTCCTGCCATTGTGGAAACCAATATAGGTAAGAATCATCTATGGCTGCTAATGTCGCTGGGTGAAAGGCTGCCAGGGAGCAGTTTTGTGCCAGTGTCTCAACATGTCTCTTGGCTGCTAAAAGAGCTCCTGCAGCAGCCCTGCAGGGGAGAGGTTTGCTAGACCAATGGGCCCACCAGTGGGCCACCCTGACCTCAAATGCCTCCCGATGTGGTGCAGTGGAAAGTACACACCGCCGGCTAGGTTGTGCTCCTGCCCAACTCCTTGACTTGAATCTAATCAGGAGGAAATAAATCCCAGCTGTGGAATATAACTTGGCCCACACTCTTCAAAAAAGTTCCTTTTGGGCCAGGGATTTAGCTCAGTGGTTTCGCCGCCTGCTGCGCAAGTGCAAGGACCCGAGTTTGATCCCTGGTACCAAAAACAAAACAAAACAAAACAAAACAAAAAAGTTCCTTTGTCATGCAGCACACAGAAAATGTAGAAGGCATATTCTAGATTAAAGGAGACTAAAGAGATGTGACGACAAAATGCAAGCATGATCCTAGACTGGCTATGGGATTTTTTTTTTTTTTTTCTTTTTGGTACCGGGGATTGAACTCGGGTCCTTGCGCTTGCGCAGCAGGTGGCGAAACCACTGAGCTAAATCCCTGGCCCAATATGTTTGGTTTTTTTTTTCTTTTTTTTTGGTACCGGGGATCGAACTCAGGTCCTTGCGCTTGTGAGGCAGGTGGCGGAACCACTGAGCTAAATCCTTGGCCCGGCTATGGGATTTTTTAAAAATAGTAAGATTTTTTTTTTGGCAATTGGGGAAATATGAATAAGGACTGCACAGTAAGTAATGTTATGGTGTGAATATTAAATTTTTTTGTATGTGTGGTTTGGGGATTGAATTTAGGAGCTTATGTATGCTAAGCAAGTGCTCTACCATTGAGCTACATCCCCTAGCCCCTATATTTTTGAGTGTGATAGTGGTTTTGTGGTTATCCTCTTAGGAGACATCCTGAACTATTTAGGGGTGAAGTGTCATGAGATTTACAACTTTTTGTTTTTTGGTACCAGGGATTGAACTCGGGACCTTGCGCTTGTGAGGCAGGCGGCAGAACCACTAAGCTAAATCCCCAGCCCAATATTTACAACTTTTAAATGTTACGGGGGGAAAAAAGAATAAAGAGAACAATAGATAAGCAGATGTGGCAAAATAGTAGTAATTGAATCTAAGTAAAGGGTATGTGGGCAGAACTTTTCTTTCAATTTTTTTGTAGGAAAATATTTAAAGTTTAGGGAAGAAACGAGTGAATAAATGAATGCATAAATGAACAAATGAGGGACAGAATGAATCAATGAGAAAATAAGCAAGTAAGAGAACTGAGTGAATAAATGGAGGAAGGAGAAGGAGGAGCTCAGGCTGCAGACTCCCCACTTGGCCCTCTGCTCTGCCCCAGCTTACTTGCCCAGCTGCTCTGTCTCCTGGTAGGGCACGTAGATGTTGTTGAGGCCACAGAGGAAGGCAGTCAGGATGATCATGAGGATGAACATGAACCTGGTGGGGGGTGGGGGGGTCAGAGCAGGCCTCCACCCTGGGGGGAGTCAGGCTCCGGGAAGAGGGAAGGGGTGTGGAGCCCAAGGCGGCAAGATCACCCAGCTAACGGAGATCAGCCCAACCCACGTAAGGAACTGCACTGCACTAGAGCCAACCAAGGACGTCAGACCGAGAGTATCAGAAAGGAAGGTGCCCTGAGGAGGGCTGGTACGCACCGGATCATGTCATCAATCATCCTGCCGATGGAAATCTGCAGAGTGCCCAGCGACTCGTGGGCTGGCAGAATGTAGGCCAGGCGGGTGAAGCTGAGCATGCTGGTGACAGCAAAGAGTACCTCGGCCAAGAACTGGGGATCCTCGGTGCGCCACTCACTTCGCTCTGTGCAGGGCGGATTGAGGCAGTGGCTGAGAGCCGGAAGAGCAGGGACTAGGGGACTGAGGGTGGGGTCACAAGGACACTCACCAGCAGTGGTGAAATAGCGGCATGCTGCACTGTCAGAGGCATCCCTACAGGACACCAAGGCAAGCCCGGCGATGAGGAGGCGCAGGGCAAAGGCTGCCAGGTACAGGGACAGGATGACCACATCCAGGAAGTTCCACCAGTCCAGGAGATAGCTTCGAAGGCCCTCGATCCACACCTCCTTACACTCAAACCACAGGAAGCCTGGAGCAGGAGGCAGGGGTCAGAACAGAGAGGGGCAGAGCTTCCCTCTTCCTTCAGGTCAGAGGCACATTATGGGGAGGGGGACCCTCTTGCTGGGAGTGGGAGCTAAAACATCACTGGAGAGAAGCCAAGATGCAAACGTAATCTATCCAGGTGCAAGTGATCGTATGTGAAGGTAAGGCCTCTTTGTTGATGCAGTTTGTGTGACCTCAGGGATGGTGTGACCTGCACTAAGGATCACAGGCAGCTGACACTTGGAAATGAAGAACAGCTGGGCGAGGCTGTGTTGGAGGGAGACGATTTACATCTGCTCTCCTTGCCATCCACCAAGTAAATACTGGGTGAATATTTAAAGAATGTTGATGTGATTTGAAAGGGCTCCCAATTACCAGCCTGCTCAGTGCCCATGTCTCAGTGGGGCCCCAACTGGGGGTGGGGGCATCTTGGGAGCTGGTACCCATTAGCAAGGTGATCTGGCCACCCTGTGCTCTTTCCCATTCCTTTCACTCACTGTCCCTCCGCCTAGAATGCCCTTCCACATCCTCTGGAAGCGCAAATCACAATTGTGGCTCAGGCCAAATATCACTTCTCTGAGAAGAATCCTGAGCAGGTGGAGTGAGTCAGCCACGCCTGCTCTGTGTTCTCCCAGCTCTGTTCACATCTCTGTGATGCCATCACCGCAGGGCACTGCAGTCTCTCTCTGGGGGTCTGTCCTTCCCCCCAGACTTGGAGCCCCAAGGGCAGGGACTGTGTCTGATTCATATCCTTGTCCCCAATGCACAGAACAAATTAAATATTTATTAAGCTCCTACCATATGTCAGTGTTGGAAGAGACAGAATAGTTCTATCCTTGTGGGGCTGATAATCTAGTGAGGGAGACAAGGTAAGCTGAGGAGTAGGGTAAGGGAGGGGCTGTTTAAGAATGTATCTTCCAAAAAAAAAAAAAAAAAAATGTATCTTGCGGGCTGGGGATTTAGCTCAGTGGTTCTGCCACCTGCCTTGCAAGCACAAGGGCCTACGTTTGAAAAAGAATGTATCTTCCTCGGATTTGGGGCTCAGGGAGAGCTTCTCAATGAAAGTGACATTTAAGCTGAGGCTGAAGGAGGAGAAGGAACCAACCAGGTAAAGGGGCCACATGGGGAGGGATTCATGCTGTAGGAAAAATGAACAACAAAGACCTGGGGACAAGTGGGAGTACATGGTGTGGTCAGAAAATGTTTAAATTTAAAAAAAATTATTATAGCAAAAGACACACTGATCCTCTTTAAAATACTCCCCCTTGCTTCAAAAACACTTCCCCCATCATTCTTGCCACTTTCTGTAGCAGTTCTTGAAGTCCTCTTTCATGAGTGTCTTTAGCTGTGCATTGTGGCTGTCTCGATGTCCTGAACTGATTCAAAATATTTACCTTTCATAGTCATTTTGACTTTGGAGAAGAGCCAGACGTCCCCCAGTACCAGATCCGGTGAATAAGGTTGAAGACACACTAATATTTTTATAAGACTGCGTTTTCATTGCGTGACACTCAGCAGCAGCATTCACTGTATTTTTAAATTACACCTTGTAAAGATGCTCATGAAAGAGACATCCAGAGTCAGGTGTGGTGGCGCATGCCTATAATCCCAGCACTCAGGTAGCTGAAGCAGGACATTCACTTCGAGTTCAAGGCCAGTCTCAGCTACATAGTGAGTTCAAGGCCAGCATGAACTATGTAGTGAGATCCTGAGACTCTGTCTCAAAAAACCAAAACCAACCAAACAAAAAGAAAAACAAACCAGGAGGACTTCTTGAACTACTTCAGAAAGTGACAAGAATGATGGGATAAGTGTGCTCAAAGCCAGGGGAATTATTTTGAGGGGGACTAATGGCAGTATGTCTTCTACTGTAATAAATTTTTAAAATTCAGGGCAGGAGATTTAGCTCAGTGGCACTGCACCTGCCTTCCAAGTGCAAGGTCCTGAGTTTGAGTCCTGGTAACCTCCCCCCCAAAAAATTCAAACACTTATTGTATGTTTCAACATATCACATATGATACAGCCAGGAGCCATAATGAGTGTTCTGTGGCAGGAGAGTACCTTGTGCGTGGGGTAGTGCTCAGTAAATATGTGTTGACTGGATGGAACCATATTTAATTTATCCACGTATTCTCAGGGCTTCACTCACAGCAGGGCCTCAGCAAAAATTCATTAATAAATAAATGAGTTTTGCTCTGTAAGACTTTTCTTCCCCCACAGAACTGTGTTGGCTTCATCTCCATTCAGAGTAAGTCAATAAATCTTTAGTAAACAAAAGGATGAGAAGCTTTCCCTCTTGCGGTACTCTGATTTCTTTCCCCAAAGGTTCTTGGTCAGTTTTCCTTTTGGCCATCACTAACTAGCTTGGTACCGGGAGGAGTACTGGACTCTGCATACTGGTGACTTGGGAGTATGCTAAACTGGAGCTAAGTGGGGAGGACAGCTGAGGGAGGGACCCCAAGTCTAGCCTGCTGAGCTCACCAACCAGAGGCTGTGTGGAGCTCTGGGGTTCTCGTAAACTACATTTGCCGAATTGTTTGAGAAGACTTGGTTCTCACATAGAAAAGAAAATCAATGGAATGGACAAAACATGTCAGGCATAAATTAGTCACCTGGGTGACAGGTTAAGTGAGTCGAGTGTACGTGTGTGAACATACATAGACAGACACGAGATACCCATGACACACTGAACATACACAGGCATTGGAGGCCCTCGGTATTTGTGAGATCTTAAATCAGCACTGGTGACCCCCACACTGGCTCCACATGTTCTCTGCCCAAAGAATGCAGGTAAGAGTCATAGCTGCTCATCAGGATAATCGGCAAGCTACACCTGTGCCCAGCCACACTTGCAACTGTTGCTCCCGAAGATCAAGTGGTTGTCAAGGCACCACTGTGCAGTTTCCTCACAATGACACCATCATGACTAATAAATTATATGATTCGAGCATTTTACTTGGTCTGTGAGCCTTTCTGTTCTACACCTCTGGGATAGTTTGTCTGGTCATGTACTTGGGGGCTGCATTTATACTGAGATAAGTGCCACCTGACTCTGTGGACAGGAACCTCACTGTGAGAGGACAGGATTCTCCAGAGTGGGTAGTGACTGGTGCCAGGGAAGGGGTAGAATGGGGTCCTTGCTCAGAGAGTCTGCCACAGGGCTAGGTTCCCTGATTAAGGGTGAAGAGAAGGACATCTAAGGAAGCAAAGTCCCCCTGTATTGGGGAGCTCACCATGAAGGACAGTGAGGGCGCCCTGAGGGAAATGCCACAAATAAAGAGCCCCACACGTGTACCTGTGACCCAAATCATGTGTAGTGAAGTCTCCCAGACACTCTTGCTGCGGCCACTGAAGGTGCTCAGCTGCATCTCCATGGCCAGGGATTCTCCCAGCAGGAAGATGAGGAACCACAGATAGGAGGCAGAGTGAAGCAGGAACTTCAGCACTGGGATCTTCAGCAGGCGGCCCAGCTTTGGGGAAAGTGGGAGAACATGGCTCTCAGTGTCCTGTCGTCTCCCCTCCTGGCAGCTCTGCTGGACTGCTCAACCCAATGCAGCTCTGCTTTTCTCAGATTCACCCACTCATGTATTCAGACATTTGTTGAGAACATATAATGACCTATATATTTTTTTTGGTACTAGGGATTGAACTCAGACCCTTTCTACTCAGCTACAACCCCAGCCCCTCTTTTTAAATTTCTTTTGAGACAGGGTCTCACTAAGTCACTAAGTTGCCCAGGTTAGATGTGAACTTGCAATTTCCCTGACTCAACCTCCCAGAGTACTAGGATTACAGGTATGAGCCACTATGCCCAGCTAGGCCCCATGCTTCCCTATTTGTTGTCTCCTTCACAATCATATGAAGTATTAGTCCCATCTCTTCAGGAACTGACAGTCACAGAGGTAAAGTAATTTTTCCCTTGGAGTCCCACAGGGACCAAACTCAAGCAAGCTAAAAGGTCTGTTCTTCTCCTCTATCCTAAATTTGCTTCTTCTACCACATAAAATAACATGGTCAACTAGCCAGGGACTTTCTGTCACATGCACACTCCGACAGTGCCCTAAATCTGGGCCTCTCCCCTCAGCCCATCTTTCCCACCAGGAGCAGAGGGAGCTTTCCAAAGCACAGAGCCGGTGGGGACACTCATTACCTCAACCCCACAATGACTTCCATTCTAACATGACTTGCAAACTCTGGACCCCGCCCACAGCCCTACTCACTGTGCCTTAGTTTCTCTAGTGCTGTGCACTCTCCCTCCCCTGGGCCTTCTCCCAGGCCATTCCTCTTCCTCCATACTCTTCCTTGCTCCTCACCCAGTTCTCAGAAACAGGCTTCATTCTTTGTTATATCCCAGGGCCAGGCATAATGCCTTGCTCACAGTGGGGAGTCTCAAGGAAATACTTGGTTGGGGTAGGGCTCTCTGAAGGAGAATGGGCTGCTGTATGAGGGATTCGAGCTTTGGAGGCAGAGAGAACTTAGCTTAAATCCTTACTGCTACTTGCCATGTACTCTGGACAAAGAAAGCAGTTCCATTCCCTGTGCCTAAAGGTCCTCCTCCCTACAGCACTAGTGTAATGCCTACCTTCCAGACCTACCTCAAGTTACCGCATGGGAACATTGGCTAAGCCCCCAGATTCGGGTTGTGCTAGCCTGGCATAAACCAAGTGTTCACTAAAGGAGTTTTGCTTAATCTTTTCCTTAGTACCCGGGACTTGGGTGCCAGCCAGTAGCCAATGCAGAGGAAGGGCATGGTGAGGAAGATGAGGAAGGCAATGAAGAGCTTCCAGATGGTGGTGCTTCCACGCCAGCCAGCCAGGTTCCCACACCAGATGGAGGACAGGACTTGCTGGCAGATGGGGTGTGCTACGAACTAAGCAGAGATGGAGCATGAGAGGGGGCGTCCTCCAGGCAGAGAGGACCAGGGGTCAGTTGGGTCCAGAGCCCTTACTTCCTGCCACAGCTCAGAAGAGAACAGACACACTTGTTATGCAACCCTTGGTAGATCCTTCCCTCTCTAAGCTTGTCTGTGAAGGAGGAAGCTGAAATATGAAGATTTTTCTGCTTTCTGGATTTGCATTCCTGAACCTAAGTCAGGCCTTGGTAGGTAGAACCCCCAGTTCCCTGCCTTCTTAGAGATTTGGAACAACAGTCTAAATGGTCTCTTTGTTTTATTTATTTATTTATTTATTTATGGTACGGGGATCAAATTTAGGACCTTGTGCTTGCCAGGCAGGCAGCGGCACCACTGAGCTAAATCCCCGGCCTCTTTGTTTTTTTGAGACAGGGTCTTGCTATATAGCCCAGGCTGGCCGTGAACCTATGGAGATTCCTCTGTATCAGCCTCCCCAGTCCTAGGATCACAGGTGTGCGCCACCACACCTGGATGAGTAGTTTGAGAAAGGAAGCAGCAAGGAAAGAAGGTTTGCTGTTTTAAGGAGGGGCAGGACCGGAGGTGCCACTATCAAGGAAAGGTTTTGGTTACATTCCAGTTGGCTAGGCTACCTGAGGGCAGATGAGAGAAGGGAGTAAGGGGCAGGAGAAGCTGCAAATGGAGCATGTTTTAGCTTGAGGCAGAGAATAATCACTAGGTGTTCAATCCCTGAGAGATGTACTCTAATCTTGCTGTACAAAGTGAGGTGCTGAAGTCTAATGACAGAACAAGGCTGGACTGAAGTCACTCAGCAGGCCAGGTTCAAGGCCGGAAGGTGAACTGTCCCAGTGTGAAGGAAGGTAGACACCTGGTGCGTCATGCGTTCTCCAAGGGATAGGGTGAGTGGAGGGGCTTGGAGCGAAGTAAGGAGGGAGGGTCAGAGACCTTCTCTTCTTGCCTTCAAGGGCCGAGATGAGAGTGCTCACCATGGAGGTCCTGAGGGCAGGAAGAGGGGTCTCCTGGGGATGGAGTGGGGCATGTTTAGAGGAGGCAGGGGAAGGGGTCCAGGAGGGAGGGGAGGTGGGCAGGGCCCAGCTGACCCGCTTCTGGTTGTAGTTGACTGCCAGCCGCAGCCTTGCCAGGTTGGGGATTCCCTCCTCGAAGGCCTGGCCCAGGCCCTCAGCCGCAGGCTCCACCTCGCTGTCCTCGGCCAAGTCGTTGAGCACGGCAGTGACTTCGCTCTGGTTCCGGCACATGCCCAGCAGCTCAAAGCCATAGTCCTGGCACAGCGACTCCAGAGCAATGTACTCAGGCTGTGGGGAAGCAGGTCTGTCGGTCAGCCACACTGTGGATCCAGCGCCATTAGCTCACCCTGCTTCCTCTCTGAGTTTTCAGGCCATCATTTTCTACACATGGCGTCACTGGGTCAGGTCACCGATTTCTTTCTTTTCTGCTGTCTCAATCCTTCCTGCTATGATGAGGTCCCTCTTGGTGTTATCTTTTGCTTATCTGGTGGTGTCTCTACCTCACCACTAAGTCACTTCAATCTAATTCTGTCATCTTTGCCTTTTCCTTGTACTGTACTTCCCTTTTATAATTCTTTTTTTTTTGGTTCCGGGGATCGAACTCGGGACCTTGCGCTTGCAAGGCAGGCGCCAGAACCACTGACCTAAATCCCCGGCCCTCCCTTTTATAATTCTTATTTCCTGACCCCCTTTAAGTCCTAATCTTTATACCTTTCATGTGTTCACTTAATATTTCTTGGAATTTACATTATAGGAGAATTGTGCTAGCAGTTTTAGGACATGCAGAAATGAATAAGGTAGGTTACTCATACTACTCTCAGTTTTCTATGGGCCCTTTCCTCAGAGGGTCTAGGCCAGCTTTCAGGAGGCCAGGTTACTTCCTGGAACTGTCCCTCAGGTGTTGTCACACTGGCTCAGGTACTTCCACTTTCCAGGCATGTTTCCCTGTGTGCTGTGCACCCTCCACAGTTGCAGTGAGAATGGAGGGTGGGCCTTTGGAAAGGCCTGGCCTTTCCTGCTAGACTCGCAGGGGGAGCTTTTCATTCTCCCATCCTGCCCGAGTTGGGGCAGTGTGCTCCTTCCCCAGCCAGCACTTCACACACACATCTTGCCCTGGACCTTCGTTTTAATAGCCTTGTCTGTTTCCTCATTGCTGGCAATCTTGAGGACCGGAGATCATGCCTGGCTTGAAACACATGGAATGCCAGGAGCTAAGGATGGGCAAATGGGACTGGCGGAATTCCAGCCCTTGACCAGTCACAGCCTCCAGGCCCATGCCCTGCATTCTAAATCCTGCGCTGTCCTCTGCACTCACCACCACTTACACTTTTGCTCCCTTACAGCTGGAAGGGCTATAGCCCCACTTCAAATTCTCTGTCGCTTGTACCAAACCACCCACCCCACAGCTACGTTTAACACTGCCTCCTCCAGGGAGCCTTTCCTGAACACAACAGCTGCAGCTTTCCTGACTTTCCCAGTTTTGGAAGCCCTGTAAGGACCATCTACAGAGGTACTGAGTGAAGTCCTGACCACACTGAGTGAGGTCCTGACCATACCAAGTGAAGTCCTGAGGGTCTCATGACCACAAGCTTGAGAGCACCAGCACACAATGTTCCAGGTGAGATACACAGCAGGTACCCCAAAGAGATGTTCCACTGAATGTCACATCTAAGTTTGTCCAGCTGCTTTTCTTTCCATTGTCTATGTTCTTTCTTCCCCCTCAGATAGACCTAGGGCACTCCTAAGACGGGGCTGTTCCTGTTCCCTAAGTCTAGGTGTCCCTAGAGTGACTGATTTCTGCTATTAGAATGAAATCTCCCTCAGGGTGGGACTGTGACCTTATCAAAACAGACATTTCCAGAAAGCACAGAGTAGGCCTCATCCTTTTCCTATTGCTTCCCACTTCCCAGACCACCCACCACAGGCCCAGACTTGCTCCTGTGGATGAACAGATACAGGGCCCTGAGGCAGAGGAAATTTTGAGTACCAACCTTAAACTCAGGCTCCTTGCGGGCCAGGCGCCTGAGCTCACGGCTGAGCTGGAAGGCGGCCAGCATGGCATCCTCACTGGCCAGGGAGAGGTGGGCCCTGCTGGCGATGCCGCGGTAGGTATTGATACGGGACAGGGAGAACTTCAGCAGGTCATAGCGGCGGGCATTGCTGCACTCGAGGCAGGCACAGGAGATTGGGTGGGGCCAGGCAATGGTGTGGCCTTGGTCCATGAGCAACCGTGCGATCTCATACAGGTCCTTCTGGCAGGCCAAGGTGAGCGGAGTGACACCAGGCGCAAAGCGGGAGCCATCGATCGATGAGTCAAAGAAAGCTAGCGAGAAAGACCTAGTGTCGACTTTGCGACCCTTCTCCCGGTCCAGCCGGGCCAGCAGGCGACGCACCACTGCTGGCTGGTTTGTGTCCACTGCCACTAGCAGGGCTTCATGGACCTGCCGGAAGTCAAACTTCACATTGGCCAACAGCATGTCAGTGATGGCCTCATGGCCCAGGCGGATGGCCAGGTTGAGTGCTTCTCTCCAGGAGCGGTCCTCAGCCTCTTCCACGTTCCGCAGGGGCCCGCCTGGCCCACTGCTGGTGGCCTCTACTCCTGCCTCCAGCAGCTGCTGTACAAGACCCAGACGCCCCTCCTGGATGGCACTCAGGAGTGGAGTTGGGAACTTGAGCTTTTTGTTCACAATCTCGGTCCAGTTAGGCTGTGGCTGGGTGTAGGAGTGGAGCGGATAGGACCCTGAGTTCCATTAGTTTAACATTCTCATGCTCTTAACCCTCATGTTCAGCCACCATTACAGTCTTCCTTGTCCCAAACACACACTGGTAAAACATATTCACCTTTTTATTTTGTAGATTCTTGTGTCACAAAGTACCAAACTGGTCTGTCACAGTGAAGGGAAGGCTCTTCCTCAGGCTAACTTCTATACTCACAGGAACCTACACACACCATGGGGACCCACACACACCATGGGGGACACAAGCAAGGGCAGTTCAAGCAGGCCTAACCCTACACAGGCACACAGGGTCTGGCCAGGACCCAGCTCCCATCTTGGTTTTTTTTTTTTTGGTACTGGAGATTGAACTTGGGTCCTTGAGCTTGTGCAACAGGTGGCGAAAACACTGAGCTAAATCCCCGGCCTGCATCTTGTTGACTTTATCTTCTAGCTGCTCATCTCTCTGAAGGCCCCAGGGCATCTCTGAAGGGCAGGTCTAGACAAGTCCACCCACGAGGGTCTCTGGACTGGGACTTCCTCACCCCCCACCTCTGAACAGGACTGCTAGCAGGATTCTAACATGCCCTTCCTCCACCAAGCCATCTTTGCTTTGGCTTTGCCTGCTTTGCAGGGCATTTCTTCCCCTCAATACTGCTGCTCCTTTCTTCTAGGAGGCCCACTCCCATCCTTGCTGCTCTTTTTTTTATTTTTGTACCGGGAATCGAACTGGGGACCTTGCACTTGCGAAGCAGGCGGTGGAACCACTGAGCCAAATCCCCGGCACATCCTTGCTGCTCTTTTCTTCTGGGCCCAGGCTTAGGGCTCCAGGGGCTCTTCCAATGACACGGTGATGTCTAGCACCTCCCAGCAGCTAGGGTCTTCCTGCCACCCCCGGGACCAACTGATTATTTCGTTCATAGCCAGAAATGGGATTAGGATAGGGAAAGGCAGGGGAGCAGAGGGCCTCTTACCGTGAGGGGGTCCATGGCTGCACCCACCTATGTAGGTAGGGACTGAAGGCTGAACTGCTCCTCTGCCTCCGACCGAACTTAGCATCCTCTTTCCTATTCACTCAAAACCCCGCCCTGGGCTCTCCCTTTGCCGGGACCAGCTGCTCTCCCTCTGCCTGGTACCCTGGGGACCAGCAGAACTGTGTTAATGCCACACAACAAAATCTTCTGGGAAAGGGCAGAGTACATAGTTGCTCAAAGCAGGTAGAAGTAGAATTTGGAATATCATAGCTTGAGGGACCCTTAGACACTTTGGTCCAACTACTTCATTGTACAGCTGGGGACTGGGATTTGCTCACTGTCCTGCAGTCAAACCTAGCCTTCTGAGCATTCCTTAGTCAACCTATCTGGTTCCTATAACAGCTCTGTGAGGTGGATGAAGGATATTTTCTCTTTTTTGTTGTTTTGTTTTGTTTTTTGAGACAGTCTCATTCTGTAATTCAGCCTTGAATTTACTATGTAGGCCAGGCTGGCCTTGAATCTGTGGTGATCCTTCTGCCTCAACCTCCCAAGTGCTCGGATTACAGGTGTAGGCCACCACACCCAGCCTAGGATATTTTCTCTTAAATTACTTTGGTTGTTTGTTTGAGACAATGTCATGCTATGTAGTCCAGGGTAGCCTCAAACTCACAATCTTCCTGCCTCAGTCTCCCAAGAAGCTGGGACTATAGGAACATGCTACCATGCCCACTTTTCTGATACGGACCTTAACTCTGGATCCAGCATAAATTATTTCCTAAAGTCACATAGCAGAGCTGTTACCTGATTCTACCTAGTATAGGAACCCACAAAGAATACTGAAAGTTAAATTCATGGGATTCTGGGTGTCAGTCTCATGCTCAAAACTCACTCTCATCTTCCCAGATCACCACAGGATCTTATCTTTCAGGCAGTAGTTTTCATTTGACTGGGCCTCAGTTTACCTTTCAGGAAAACGGGCACATGGGTGTGGAACATTCACCAAGGAAAAGACATTCTAGCTAGTGTCCCAAGGCCCTAGAGAGATCGCCAGTTCGACCGAGAAGTTCCAAAGGTGAAAAAGACAGAGCTGCCCTTGGGAGAACTGGGTGCTATGGTGACAGAGCCTTGACAACTAGAAAAGGAGAGCAAGCTGGGCCCAGAGGTGCCTTCAGGGCAGAGTCTGGCGGGAACAAGTGGCAGGAGGCAGAGCTGGAGGCCTGGCAACATCGGCCCTTCTCGGCTGGTGAGATCCACTCTCCAGTCTGTCACAGGCCCCTCTGGCTCAGGTCCGAAGAACTTCCCCACACAGGCTGGCGTGTTCTTCTACTTCGTTTGCTGCAAAGTGCAACTGGCAGATGGGACACTGGACCCAGCAAACGGATGGCGAACTCTCGGGGGAGGATACCCACAGCACAGATGGGGATGAAGACGGTGAGGAGGAGGGAGGCGCTGGGGGAGGCGGGGCGGTCTCTCCACAGGTAGCAGCATGCAGAGGAAGAATCTCAGCGCTGAAGGAGCCTGGAAGGAAAGGTGGAGGTAAATAAATTGGGTCGGTTCCTAGGACAGATGCCACCCCAAGAAATCTAAAGGGAGTATCTGCTGCCACAATGCAGCTATTCTTACAGGAAATTCACCACGGCTGTATATTTTACAGCCCAGAGACACTTTCATGTATCTGTCAAATATTTATCAAGTGTCTGCTGTGCCTGACAGATGCTAGGAGCTGGGGGACTGGAGTCCTTATGGAACATGGAGTCTAGCAGTAAACACAGCTAGGAACACAAAGGACAGGGATTCAAAGCAGAAGGTGCAAAGTGGGAGAGATTATCCGGGAAGATCAGAAAAGCCTTGGTTTAAAAAAATACTCTTTAACAAAGTCTTAAAGAATAAGCAGGATTTGGAGACAGTTATGAAGGAAACTCTCTCTGATAGGCTTTCAAATCACCTGGTTTCATGTTCTCCTGAGGGCAGAGCCCAGGTCTCTTCCTCAGCTTCGCCATCACAATGTGAGCAGGTGTTCAATACAGATTGTCCTGAACTGTATGTGACTAACAATACAGTTACAGATAGGGGAACTGCAGAGATGCCAGAGGCCAGCAGGCCAAATATGAATGTGTCTTGACATCAACTTCCGGATCTCCTGTTCCTCCCTCAAGTAGTGTCGAGTGACCACACAACCACCTCCTAGCTCACCTGCACAAACGGGGCACTGTCCCCTCTCCTGGACGCCAGTGATTTGGGTCTGGGGTTGGTATTCTCTTTGCCTTGCTCTTGCCTTTCCTCTCCTTTTTGATTGAGAGTTTGAGTTGGCTAGGGACCTGTGAAAAACAACAGTTAACAACCAGCAGGCTGGGTGTAGTGGCACACGTCTGTAATCCCAGTTCTTGAGAGGCTGAGACAGGAGGATCGCTCCAGGTTTGAGGACAGCCTAGGGTGTACAGTGAGTTTCAGGCCGGTCCTGAACCATATAGTGAGACATTGTTTCAAAAAAAAATAACCTCTCCCAAAAGAAACCCCCAAACAAAAACAACAACCAGCTATTGCTGGGTGTGGTGGCACATGCTTGTAATCCCTGAGAGGCTGAGGCTGCAGGATCCCAAGTTTGAGCTCAGGCTGGACAACTTAGTGAAACCCCTATCTTAAACCAAAAATGATACACACACACAAACACACACACACACACACACACACACACACACACACACACACATGATGAAGAGCTGAGGATGTGTCTAGGTTCAATCTCTGGTACTGCTAAAGAAAAAAATCCAAAAACCAAAACTGTCTATCAGTGAGAGGCCATAGGGGCCAAAAAAAGGAGCCTAGAATCAGGGCCTAGAATCATACAGAATGTTAATATGAAAGCTGTAGCCTTAGGTGGGAGTCCTGGCTCTCTCTTAAAATACCAGACTTGAAGGAAGTCATTTAACCTTTGAACATCTCAGAACAGAGCTCCTTTTACTATTCTCAGATGTTTCTGGGGGGACAGTACTGGGGACTGAACCCAGGACCTCACGCTCAGCCACTGAGGTACATCTCCAGCCCCTTTTAAATTTTATTTTGAGATAAGTCTTGCTCAGTTGCCCAGGATGGCCTCAAACTTGTGATCCTCCTGCTTTAGTCTCCTGAGCAGCAAGAATTACAGGCATGCACCATTGTGCCCATCTGTTTTCAGGTTTTTAATTATTTTAAAAAGTGAGATATTATGTAAATACCATTAAATTCATCCTCTAAGGAGTGAATTCAGAGTATTTATCAGGTTGAGTGACCACAACTAATTCTAGAACATTTTTATCGCCCTCAAAAGAAACTCCAGAACTTTTTAGCAGTCACTGTCCATTCCTCTATCCCTATAGTTCCTGGAAACCATTACTATCTTTTCTGTCTCTACAGATTTGTCATCTAGTCTGGACATCCCATATAAATGGACTCATGACATGTGGTGGGGGGATGCATTTTGGTGGTAGGGGACTTGCCTAGAACGCCCAGGATTCTGGGTTCAATCCTCAGAACTGAAAACAAAACAACAAACCCAGTATGTGGTCTTTTGTGATTGATTTCTTTCATTTAGTATGTTTGTAAGGTTCATCCACATTAGAATAGGTATTGGTACTGCATTCATTTTTCATGGATGAATAATATTTCATTATATAGATGAACATGCCATTGCACAGGAATACTACATTTTGTTCATGCATTCATTATATGATAAACATTTGTTTTAGATTTCAGGCTGCTATGAATAATGGTGCTAAGGCCAGGCACAGTGTTGGTACCTGTAGTCTCAACTATTGGGAAGGCTGTAGCAGGAGGGTTATGTGAGACAAGAAATTTAAATCCAACCTAGGTATCATAGAGACCCTGTCTCAAAACAAAAACAAACCAAAACAAAAATTAAAAATATAAACATAAAAATGAATAATACTGCTGTGTTTGTCTATATGTTTTTTGGGGGTTTTTTTGGTACTGGGAATCGAACTTGGGTACTTGCGTTTTCAAGCAGGTGGCGAAACCACTGAGCTAAATCCCTGGCCCTATCTATACGTTTTTAAATGAAAACTTGTGGGTATATATTAGGTCTAGAATCGCTGGGTCATATGGTAATTCCGTTTAGGTATTTTTAAGAATTGACAAGGTTTTCCCACTGGCAATATATGAGTCCCAATTTCTCTACATCTTTGTGAATACTTGTTATTGCCCATCTTTTTTTTTTTGGTACCAGGGATCAAATTCAGGACCTTATGCTTGAGAGGCAGGTGGCGGTACCACTGAGCTAAATCCCTGGGCCTCCTTTCTTTTGTGTGTGTGTGTGTGTGTGTGTGCGTGCGTGTTCCGAGACCTTCACAGTGAGCTACATCCCTAGTTTAAAAAACTTTTTTTAATTTTTATCTTGAGCACAGCCTAAGTTAAGTTGCCCAGGCTGGGCCAGATTTGTGATCTTCCTGCCTCAGCCTCCCAGAGTGCTGGGATTAGAGCCATGTACCACCATGCATGGCTAAGATTTAAATTTTGATGAAGTCCATGAGGGACTCGTCCTCAGACTCTGGTTCTGTAGGTTGCCTCCCTCCTAGCTTGAAGCCCAATGATAAGTGGACAAGGACATTTTCTTCTCTCCCCTTAGTTCTCAACTAAGAGATTGAGGTCCAGACCCAAGGTAATCTTTCCCTAACTGAAACAAGAGCAGGGGAAGGAGGACTGCTGTAGAGAGGTCCTAAGGTTTGGGGAGGTGACTTGGGCCTTGCATGTTGACCTACTCACCTTTGGTCCTGGATTTTCCGCCTCTTCTTCCTGCCCCCGTCATTCTCTGAGCTTTGCTCCTCTGTTCTGGGTTCTGTGTTAGAAATGCTCATTAAATCTAGATCATTAGGCCCAGGGATTTAGCTCAGTGGCTCCAACTCCTACCTCGAAAGCACAAGGTCTCAAGTTCGATCCCCGGTACCAAAAAAAGAAAATCTAGATCATTAACAAAAGGCCTTTGCATGGATGTCCCTTCTTTTAAGAATATTTTTTCTACCTTCTTTGCCTGCTTAATTCTTTCTGACTTTCCCTGGATTCTCAAATTTATTTTTTTATTTTTATTTTCTAATTTTTTGGTACTGGAGATCGAACTCGGGACCTTGAGCTTGTGAGGCAGGTGACAGAACCACTGAGCTAAATCCCCGGTCCCTGGATTCTCAAATTTAAATCTAGTTATCCTATTATGCTTTTCCTTCAAATACTTATTACAGTCACAGTTTTAGATTGCTTTAGGTGACACGGGCATGTGTCTCTTCATTAGGGTAGGAACACTGGTATCTATTTACTGTGGCACACCTGGGAACACACCAAGCCTGGCACATAAGACACGTTCAGTAAATATCTGTCAAATGAATGATAACAAAACCAACAATCACTATTTGGCTAGTTATTCAGAATTTATGAAACACCTGGTAGAACATTTAATATACGTCAAAGTGCTTTTGTCCCAGCAATCCCCAGCCTGTAGTAGATACCCTGTCCAAAATAGGGCCTCACCTGTACTCTTTGGGTGACTGGGACCTGGCTCTGTGTGGTTGTTCTTTGGCTTTTCCACAATGGCTGAAGGTGCCATTCGGGCAGCAGAAAGCACCATGCGGGCTGAACGCCCCTGAGGCCCTGGTTGAAACTGCTTTAGGAGATCCTTGAGCCCTGACATTTCCTTTCTGTTCCTGCAAAGAAACACAGCACTTAGTTCCACTCAGAACACAGATCCCATTCTGTTTTCCAAGTCAATGGCATTTCACTGAGAAAGTCAGTTTCATGTATAGATAGGGCTATAGGCCCAGAGCAGTGATGGCGAGCCTTTTAGAGAACACATGCCAAACTGCAACCCAAAACCCATTTATTTATCACAAAGTGCCAACACTCCAATTAAACCTGAATATTGAGCTGGGGATTTAGCTCAGTGTTTCCGCCACCTGCTTTGCAAGCGCAAGGACCAGTGTTCGATCCCTGGTACTATAAAAAAAAAAACAACCTGAATACTGAGGTTTTGTTTTTATTTTTTTGGTTTTTTTTGAGACAGGGTCTTGCTGTGTAGTTCAGGCTGGCCTTGAACTCATTATGTAGCCCAGGCTGGCCACGAACTTGAGGCAATCCTCCTGTCTCAGCCTCCTGAGTGCTGGGATTACAGGTGTGTGCCACCATGCCTTGCTAATACTGAGGTTTTAGTTTAGAAAAAACAACTCTACATTAACATCTTTTGTCTTAAAAACACAGTAACATGGATGCCATAGGTTCACCACCCCTGGCCCAGAGTATGATTAACTGGGGAACCCAGGTGAGGCTTGTGTGCCTGTGAGCAACATGGTAGCTTTTCTCTTCTAGGAGAAAGATCCAAGATGTCCACTCTTGGCAGTTACGTACGTTGGGGGATCTGGGAAGAATGTCCTCCGGATAGAAGGATTAGCCAGCCAGGGGCTAGGACCAGACTCCTGGGTATCAGAAGAGCCCTGAGAAGAAAATGGAAAAATATGGAATAGCAAGATTCACCACAAGGGGACACTGCCACCTAGGAGCTCAGCTTACTTAACTCATGAGTATCTCTGCAGAAACTTGTGTGTGGCATATCAACTAGTGTGCACAGACTCTTGAGTTCTAAGAGCTCAGATTCTGTGATTTTGTACATTTCACTCCCCAATGTTAAGGGTTTTGCCATGATCCAGCAATCCTCCAGGGAGAAAAGAATACACACTATTTGGAAAAACAGGGCCAGGGATTTAGCTTAGTGGTTTCACCGCCTGCTGTGCAAGCACAAGGATCCGAGTTCCATCCCCAGTACAAACAAAACAAAACAAAACAAAAACTATTTGGAAAAACAGGGCTATGGAGACTGATGTCATGTGCAAACTTTTGAAAAATCTCTCTGTATGTGTTATATATTAAATCTGCACATGTATAAAGTTGATGCACAAAGGTACAAAACTCAAATTATTTATCTTTGTTTATATACCTTTGTGAGAAACAAATTAGTCGTATGTATTTTTTTACACATACAAATTGTTCTACTTTGAACTATTTTGGGGCATTTTATCACTATTTTCTTCTAAATATTATTTAATAATATTGTTTAATTTCCAGTGTTTATTTTTATTTATTTTTTTGGTACTGGGGATCAAACTCAGGACCTTGTGCTTGCAAGGCAGGTGCCAGAACCACTGAGCTAATTCCCCGGCCCTACAGTGTGTTTATTTTGTGAACAACTGTGTTTGTGTGCAACTAAAAACCTATCAATTTTGGTCATTGTTTCTAGCCTTCTACAAAGACGTGTAGGAGTTTATGAATGTATGCATATACAGACACCACACTATCATCTCTACATAGATTTTATTTATGTGTACGCTATGATTTTTAAATTTTTCTGTCAAAATTCAGTTTGCCTGTCAATATTTCCTTTTTATTTTTCCAAATTTCCTTTTTTCTCTTAAATTAATACTTTTTTTATCCTTTAATTTTTAGCTCTGATTCTCTTCCATTATAGATTTTCTTTTTTAGCCCCCTGTGATATTGGGGATTGAACCCAAAGCCTTCACACTGAGCTGTATCCCCAGCCCTTTTTCATTTTTTATTTAGAGAGAGGGTCTCACTAATACACTAAGTTGCCGAAGTCTGGCTTGAACTTATGATCCTCCTGTCTCAGTCTCCCAATATGCTAGGAGTAAAAGTGTGTCCACCACACCTGGCCATTATAGATTCTTTTAAAGGTAAATATCTTTTTTGTAAAGTATGACTTTGGCCTCATTCTGAAAGCTTGAAAAGTATTTTTGCTCTTATTCACTGTTGAATATTTTAAAATTGTCATTATAACATCTTATTGGACCTAGCGTTACTCTAACACTGAGGTATAACCAGCCCAGAAGCATGAATTTTAGATTGAATACTACTAGAAAGTGTGACTAGATGGTTGCGTATAGTTATTTAACTATTTAACTCTAAATGAGATTAATCATTAGAAACTGAGCTTCTGAACACAGGCTGGAGCCAAGTGGCCTAGGTTCAATTGTACTTTCAAGATTTATTTAGCCATGAGATCTGGGACACCTTATTAAATTTCTCTGTGCTTGTTTCCTTACTAGAAAATTGGTGATCATAATATAGTAACTTTGTTTCACAAGGTTAAAAGCCATTATGTTTTGCTGTCACTGTACTACACCAATGAGAATGACACATTAGAGAATAAAAAAGCCTGTAACATTTTATTTATTTATTATTTATTTTTTGGTACCGGGGATCGAACTCAGGACCTTGCACTTGCGCAGCACGCGCTGGAACCACTGAGCTAAATCCCTGGCCCTGTAACATTTTAGACGATCTGAATTTATGAATGGAGTGTCATCATCAATGGTTTCTGTGCGCCAGCTGACTCTTGCAGGAATGTTTCAGGATCTCCTGAACCTACGGTCTCATGAAGCACCTGAGTGTAGGTTTGACTGCTGCTGCTATTCAATGTCTTGCTGACATTATGGCTCTGGAGTTGCTGACTCTTTCTCCTCAAGACCACCATGTCCCAGAAGGGTAGAGTAATTTAAATGGCCAAAATGGGAAAGACTGGGAAGCGCTTATTTATCCAAGTCCTGGTTTCCTGGAACAGTCCTGTGATACTTCTGTTGTCTTGGTGTAACTATTAATAGCATTCTCGGGCTGGGGAGTTAGCTCAGTGGTTCTGGCGCCTGCCTGGCAAGCACAAGATCACGAGTTCGATCCTCGGTACCAAAAAAAAAAAAAAATAGCATTCTCTCTTGCCCTCAAGGTGCCCCCATTTGGATGGTAAAATTTTACACAACTCTATCTACAACTTCCCCTGAAAGGTCATTTATGTAATGAACATTTGTACTAAAAACTGACTTTGTTGTAGGCAATGTTTTAGGTGCCAAGAATGCACTATGGAACAAGACAGTTCTCCAATCTCATAGTTTCCTTTTTGTTGAAAAGTCAGGATTGCAGAGATCTGGCTCCATTCAAGTTAGCTCCTACCACTGCGATATCAGAACCTGGTAGAGCACACTCCCCTGCCTCCATGGGTCCCTATACAGTTTTTAGCTTTCTTTTGGTACTGGGGATCGAACTTGGTTCCTTGCGCTTGCGCAGGAGGCGGCGAAACCACTGAGCTATATCCCCGGCCCCTAGCTTTCTTGATAATGGAAGAGCAAATCACACCCAAGCTTTACTTCTCTCCTAAGGCTGCACCACAAAAGCATCTACCCACATTTTCCCTGACCTAGTTCTATTTTCTCTCCTCAATGCCATTTCTTCTTTTCTCAGTAACCTCAATAAGAGGTTCTGTAAATTATGATTCTTTTTTTTTTGGTACCGGGGATTGAACTCGGGTCCTTGTGCTTGTGCAGCAGGCAGAGAAACCACTGAGCTAAATCCCCAGTCCCAAATTAAATTCAAGTAACAGTTTTTTTTTTTTGGTACCGGGGATCGAACTTAGGTCCTTGAGCTTGCGCAGCAGGCAGCGAAACCACTGAGCTAAATCCCTGGCCCTCTATGATTCTTTTGATTGTCAAATGTTTGACATTTATTGTGTGTGTAGGAAGCAGCATGGTGTAATGATGACAGGAGACCTAATTTCTAGTCCCTACTTGGCTCTGATTCACTGAGTAACTCTGAATACATAAAAATTTCCCTGAGATGTAAAATGAAGTGGTTAGGATTTCTAAGCATTTTTTTAACCTCTATGATTCTATGATTCGAACTTTGTGTCATTGATTACACATTCATATTTGTTTGTGAGAGAATTATGGTGGAAGGAATTGACTTGGAAAGATAAACAGAGATACCAGTGAAAAGAAAGCAGCAGAAGCAGAGTTAAAAAAAAAAAAATCTTTCAAAAGCTTTAGGGGAAAAAAAACTTCCAAAAGCCTACCAAAAAAAAAAAAAAAAGAAAGAAAGAAAAGAAAAGGAGAAGAAAATATGAGAACTGGCTGAGAAAAGGCTAAGGAAACGGATAACCATGAGGTCATGAGGCCAGAAACCCACCAATCTTCTCTGAGGAGTACACACAGAGAGAACAAATGAGAGTTCCCGGCACGTATTCTAAAGATACAAATGGCTTTGAAAGGCAGGCGGGGAAGAGGACCATGACAGAGGGATTATAAGGGAGATTTGGGGCTTTCAGGTGCTGAAAGGAAAGTCTCAAGAAAGCTACAGCCTCCCAAGAACTTAGAAATAACGTATGAGTATTAGGTTGAGATGGGGTCTAAAAAGAATTTCATTATGGTTAAAGAACAAGTGGTTCCATAGCTTTGTGTACACTATCTTCCAGGCTCACTCACTTGCATCTTCCCTGTGTGAGAAAGGAAAGAGGAGTACCTTACTTCTACCTATAAGAAGGGGCACTAAGCTCACTAGTGGCTATATTTGTTTTATTTTGTTTTGGGTACCAGGGGTCGAACTTGGGACCTTGCACTTGCAAGGCAGGCGCCAGAACCACTGAGCTAAATCCCTGGCCCTTAGTGGTTTTATCTGTGTGTGTACGGGTGCATGTGTGCCCCTCCACAAGCACCTAGCTTCCTAACCAGAAACCTGCAAAGCAAAGGAAAACACTAAATGCTTGTCCCCCATAGTACACACCTGGCTCAGCTGGGAGCTCACAGGGGTCACATCACCTGTCACAGGCTTGTCCAAGGCATCCAGAGAGGAACGCACCTGCAGGAAGGCCAGGCCAAAGGGCTGATGCCGTGTGAAGGGCTGGGAGCAGGTCAGGCGAAGTCGATCCCATGACTCTCCTGAGGCTGGAGCCAGGAAATCATCTCAACGGAAAAAGAAAGAAAGTGAAGGAAAAGGGGAAGGATTAATGGAGGGTGAAAGGAAGAGAAGGTCAGTACTGAGGAAAGGAATGACAGAGGTGATAAGAGCAAACTCCAACAGGAGGAAGAATGGGGTTATCAGTAAATGTTTCCCTCAGGTTCAGGGATTGGTAATGCCAAGCAGGCCAGTCAGGGCCCTACAGACCCAGTTCCTTGCTTAGTGACCATCACTCTTCTGTCATGGTTCCATGCTGTTCCAAGCTTGGGAACATCCACATGCTACCTCTCCAAGGACCTCAGCAATATCATTTTAACAGGTGGTATCTGCATTGCTGAGGTCTGGGGAGACCACTCGCCCAGTAGATTATCTGAGATACTGTCCCTGCCTGGACCATAAGACCTCCACCTTCCTCACACTGCCACATGCCCTACAGCCGTGGTGGCATGAACTCATGGCCTGAGGAACCCTGTTACTGTGTTTTTCTTTTAAGGTAAAAGATGTTAATGTAGAGTTGTTTTTCTTAAACTAAAACCTCAGTATGCAGGTTTAATTGCAGTTTTGGCACTTTGCTCTGTACTCACAGTAGCAAATACCAACATCACAATCTCTTCACACCATCAGTTTTTCACATTCTTGTCAGCACCTCCTCCCCTTTACCTCACATTACAAACACCTCCCACTAAGACACAGGCAAATCCTTACTAGACTGTAAGTCTCTAGAGGCCAGGAGCTGGTCTCTGTTTCTTTTGTAGTGCCCAGTGAACAGAGATTAGTATAAACAGAATTCAAGAAACACTATGCTATCAAGGATAACCATCATATAGGCTTTATCATTTGTATAAACACTTATCCTACATCTGTACTCACACACATTTACATAAACAAAAATATAGTCACCAATAAGTATGTGCTCTGTACTATGCTCCATCAAATCATAAATATAATTAGTAGTTTACAAAAATGCCAAACTGTCACACATTCTTATGCAGAACTCACAGACTACTAACCAGCTTATTCCCCCAAAAGAGACAACTAAGCTGTTGTATTATAGGCACCTAAGTTAGGTTGAAATATTATTGGCATTAGACAGGGCTAGGCCCTAGAGAGAGCCAGTGGAGGAGATGAGACCATGTCACAACTCTGGCTGGAAGTGCATCTACTGAAGGCCAGGCCTCAAAATAAAGATGGAATGACCAGGCCTACATGCCTCCCTGAGGGATAAGCAATAACTTGAGATTATACTATAATTGGTATCACCTGGTCCAGCAAAGTCCAGGTAGACACTAGTCGCCCAAGTGAGTGACAGGGCATCTGGACTCATCCCTTTCCAAAAATGCTTTTGTTCTTTCCGTGTACCCTTGCTATGTGACCCACTTCCCTATTAGATCAATATTAGCTAAGGCTACACTTAAAATCTTATTGGTTGATTGTAGTTTGATCCATGTTGTACTCACCTTGTGATTTTTTTTTTTTTTGGTACCGGGGATCGAACTTGGGACCTTGTGCTTGTGAGGCAGGCGGTGGAACCACTGAGCTAAATCCCCGGCCCTCACCTTGTGATTTTGTACCCACCTCGTGATTTTGCTCTGAAAAACATTCTTTTTTTTTTTTTTTGGTACCAGGGATCTAATTCAGGTCTTTGCACTTGCGCAGCAAGCGGCGAAACCACTGAACTAAGTCCCGGCCCTAGAAAACATTCTTAGAGAAGATACCTCAGTGGCAACCCACTTTTGGGACCTCCCTGTCTCTCAGGAGCTATCTCTCAATGAATTTTTCCTACTCTTAACCTCTGTTGTTCCTGGAATTCATTCTTTGATTTCAAGGGACACGAATTGGGCGTGCCAGACACCTAGCAGGTTGGGAGTTTTATTTCTCTTATATCACTTGCCTAACTGTCTTCCCACAATCCACACCCAATGGCACTTATAGCCCTCTCTAGTACTGCATCTTTTTTTCTCAGGAACGTCCCCAACTTCTGCCTTGGCCCTCTTTACCATCTTTAAACATGCGGACCCCTGAGCGGTTCTTCCCCTGCTTTGAATCAGTGAGGGACATTAGCATGGTTGCAGGCAGCAGGGTGATGAAAGGTCTGTCGAGAGACCAGGAAGAACGGCCCACATCAATCTGCAGGAAAGCACAGCCACAGTTACCTGGGGACAAAAGGTTGAGAGGATAGGGTGATGGGGTGGTTGAATACAAGGGAAGGAAGAGGTCATCTCTCTAGACTTAGATGGAAGCCAGAAAGGTCTGGCAATATGTGGGGTTGCCCAGGGAACTAGTAACTGAGATGGGAGGAGATCTCAGCCCACTATGAAAATGAAAAGATTCTCTATGATCCTCCTACCCTGAAATCTTCCCTAATTGAAGAGACTTGCTGTCCTTTCTGTGCTCAGGCAGTGCTAAATTCTCTTATGTCCTTGCTAAGGAGCTCAACATCTTTCTGTCCTAAGAAAGCCGAGACCAGTGGTCTTTAAAAGCTCTCTGGGTTCCACAGAATTTTTTTTTTTTTTAATCCTAACCCTATCTATTCCAAAGAATCATAAAGTCAACCTTCTCAATCCTTAAACTACATACACTTCACCATTGCAGCAACCTGACACTAATATTCAGAAGTGTATGTAGATTCTATTTGTTGGCATTTATAATTATGCCAGTGTTCGAAAGCTTTACTCAGACTACACAGATCACAGCAAAGCAGGTACACTGTATAATGCAAGGAGCAACATTCATCGTGGAGTTCTCCAAACCCAAACTGCCCCAAGGGCAAAGGCCACATTTCTCCCTTACGATCAGGCAGGGCTCAGCCAGAATGGATTGAGACATCTGAGTGAAGTGGGTAGAAGGGAACATCAATCCCGTGTCTTCCCTCAGAGGATCCCAGGCCCCAGAGAACTCACTCACCTACATCGATATAACTAATGGGCACTGCCCTCTCCAGCTGCAGCTCCACTTTCAGTTGCCCACTCTTGTCCTGAGGGCAGCCAAGCCAAGGCCCCCTCTGACTGTCTGTGTTCAGCAAGTTCTCCACAGGATACTTGGGATCCTAAGGGAGAGACAGGAAGAGAAAATCAGGAACCTTACTGAGCCCAAGGGGAAAAAAGGATGTTCGTGAATAACAGATCCCTCAATTCCAAATCTTCTGTGGCATCCTAACATGATGGAAAGATACAGATGGGAATCCACAAGAACACAGGAATCAGGTGCCAAGTGGTTATTATAGAAGGGATTTTACCCTGATCTCACTTACCAGACTACCTCACTTAATTCTTTCTTTCGTTTTCTTTTTCTTTTTTTTTGAGACAGGGTCTCGCTGTGTAGTTCAGGATGGCCCTGAACTCAGTATGTGGCCCAGACTGGCCTCATATTTGCAGCAATCCTCCTGCCTTGGCCTCCCAAGTGCTGAGATTACAGGCATGTGCCACCATGCCTGGGTTACCTCACTTAACTCTCATGATGACTCTGAGGTGGTTACTATGATTATTTCTTAGTTAATAGATCAGTAAACTAAAGCTTAGGAAAGTTCTGAAACTTACCCAAGGCTAAACCAAATAACCAACCAAAGCACAATTCTTAGGTCTCTGAAACAAGAGATTTTAACCCATACTATACTGATGTCTTCTCATTTATAATACGTTTGCAAATTAATAGTAATATTACTATTACTATTAATAGCAATAGTAATAGCAATATTAATATAGGAGTAATATTAATACAGGAGAAAACCTGTTAGATGCCAAGTGTGCTGAGTTCTTGGTCTCACAATATGGAGGAATGAAGTGGTGAACCAAAGGAGGAAGATATGAAAGTTTCATTGGAACTAAGGGGAAGAAGAATAGCTTCTGGATTTCCAAGAAGGGATCCCAAAGAGATGACCATCACGGTCCTTTGTCAGGGGTAATTTACACAGCAAAGTCATAACATGGGTACAATGTGGGTCAAACTACAACCAACCTACAGGATTACAAGTATAGCTGCTTAGCTAATATTGACCCAATAGGGAAATGAGTCACCTGGCAAGCATACATAAAAAGAACAAAGGAATTCTTAGAAAAGGAGAGGTGTATGGGTGCAGGTGTTCTAGTCACCCACCTATGTGTCTGATGCCTCCCTGGGCACACTGGATCAGCTGGTACTAACTACACTATAATCTCAGATTGCTGTTCTCGCAGGCCTGGCCATTGCATCTCCATCCTGAGGCCTTGTTCTCTTCAGATTTGCCTCTAACCACAATTCTGATGTCTATTTTTTTGTGCTGACTTGAGGGCCTAATCCCTCTCTGACAGTATACTAATTTCTATCTAACTTAGCTGTCTTTAATAATATTCAGACACGGTTTTCAACCATGTTTGCTTCAGCAATAAAAACCTTCTTTTTTTTCTTTTGGTACTGGGGATTGAACTCAGGACCTTGCGCTTGCGAGGCAGGCAGCAAAACCCTTCTTTTTAACTGAAATTTTTTTTTCAACAAATGAAAGCACAGCTTTGGTTAAAGAATAGGGTGAGGAGGTAGCTAGAGAAATACTTGTCCCCACCTCCTTTCAAATTTTAGAGTTGGTCCCAACACAGAGTACAGTTTGAAAACTGTGATGTTAGAAGATAGCTAATATTCTCTAGTGTTTTACAAGGCTAAGACTCTATGAAGAAACTGTTCAATCTAGGCCTGGTGGTGCACTCCTATAATCCCAGCACTCTGGGAGACTGAAGCAGGAGGATGGCAAGTTTGAGCCCAGCCTGGACAACTTAGTGAGACTCTATTTATTTTGTTTGTTTGTTTGTTTTGAGACTCTATTTAAAAAAAAAAAAAGGCTTGTGATGTAGCTCAGTGCAAAGGCCCTGGACTCAATCCCCAGTAGGATAAGAATAATTTTTACTTTATTTCATTTAGAATAGAGGGCAATATAGTAGTTCCTAAAATCCTCTAATGGTCTCTCTGTGGTAATGGGTTTGACTTTCATAATGACTAGGAAGCGATATCGTCATTGGGACTCAGGGGCCAGGGATGCTCTACATCCCACCATGCAAATGATACTGCTGCAATGGACTTATGCCCCTAAAGTCCAATGGCACCCCTTGAGAAAGATCAAGGTAGGAGAAGAGGAAGAGGGAAGAGGAAGGGTAAATGGATGCAACAATGAAAGCAGAGAAAAGGGTGGGAGGTCTCTAAGAATCCCCACACTGGATAAACCCTGGGCCTAGGGCCTAGGACTAGTCAAAGAGGAATTACCAAAACTTTTAGGAAGGAGGCTGAGATCACTCTTGAGGTGGTTGTGATATCCTCACAGGTCAGAGATGACCTTGCAGGTTCTTAGCTCTCAATGACAGTGACCAAACCGTCCTTCTGGGACCCTTGTATAGATTCTGGGCCTCAGGACTTGCTATCTCCCTTTACACTCTGGGTAGAATTCTGAGGGTGCTTCTTTCTTTACCTTCAACTCCTGCGAATACTTTTTTTGTGCTTCCTGCATTACCCTGGGATCAACCTGAAGGCAAAGGATGTTTTTCCCTTTAGATTTTGGATCCTCAGAGAAGATACAATGTTCCTTCTATGAGGCTGAGAGTTTCCTGGATTCAATCCCTAGTAGGGCAAGTATACTTTTGGGCTTGGAGCCAGGTCTCATACTTTTTTTTCACTCCTTTTAGTCATCAAGAAAAAAACTCAGGCGTGTGGGTGAATATACCTGAGAGGAAAACGATACCACGTGGCTGATCTTCACAGGAGCCATGACAGGTCTACCAGCTATCCTAAGTGCAAGGCAAAATGCTTTCTCCCAAATTTCTTCTGTCACCACTTTGGCATAGACTATGTTTTGGTCTCATTAGTTTACAGAAGAATGAGGGTCCTTACATTATTCCTGAAAAAGAAAACAAGGAAAAATAAACCACTCATAGGGGGGCCGTAGCAGCTCATGCCTATAATACCAGCTCTTGGGAGGCCGAGGCAGTAAGACTGCCTTGAGTTTGACACCAGCCTGGATTACACAGGGAGTTCAACTACATAGTGAGACTCTCTCTCAAAACAAAACAAAGCAATAAACTACTTTTGACTATTCCTCTGATAATAGGAGTTGTTTGCCTCTCTCTTCCTCCTTTCCCCTTTCTCTCTTTCCTCCCTCCCCTTCCCTTTTCCTTTGCCTTATTTTTTGTTCCTTCCTTCTTTCCTATGGTAATGGGGATCAAACCCATGGCCTCAAGGATGAAGCACAACAAGCCATGAGCTACATCCCTAGCCTCCAGACCATTACTGATAACCACAATGGGCCTGATGGGTATGATGGGCAGGGAACAGACATGAAACACTTAATAAGACTCCAACAAATGTGAAACAACTGGAATCCAACCTCAAAGCAACAGAGCAGCAAGTATAAAATAATATATTAATAGGTTAATGTTGGATTTGTATGTAGGTGAGCTCCCAAGAGCATGAATTGTACCTTAAATCATTCATCTTTAGATCCCTAGAGCCTAGCACATAGTATGGATGGGCAACAAATATTTAATTAAGTATATGATACAACTCTTTTTGTTCTGTTTAGTGAATAATTTTAAATTAACTTTTAATTAGGTTATTTCTCTATTACAAATCTTCCATGGCTTACGGATGTATCCAAATCCCCTCCTAACTGGAAGTACTTAAATATTAATTGAGCTTGGCCCCTCGAAACAGGTAAGACAGAGAGATGTAATTTGGCTCAGAGTGTTGGAGGATTCAGTCTGTGGTAGCTGGCTCCAAGGCAGAAACACCATTAACGGAGGAGCGAGGTGGAGCAAAGATGCTTATGCTTAGTTCATGGCTTTGAGGATGCAGAGCAAGTGAATAATGCCAAAGAGGAAGCAGCAAGGGGTGAGACAAAGACCTCAAGGCCACACTTCGATGACTCACTCAGACACCCTCAGAAGTATGCTCCACCAATCCCTGGGGCGGATTCCAAGCCAGTCAAGTTGATACCCTACGCTAACTACATGCTAACTACGACGTATATGCAAATATTTCAAAATCTGAAAAAAACTGAATTGGAAACACTTCTGGCTCCAAATATTTCAGATAAGGGATATTTCACCTGTGAATGTTTGTCATTTGATGTGAAAAATTCTACCATCTCTCATCACCAACAAATGGATGTCTGATTTACCAGTCCCCAAACCATATTCTTGGCTTTAGGACTCTAAGTGTTAATTGTAGCTATTTAATCTAGTTAATATTTTGGGGAACTGTCTAGTAGGTACCAGTATTGCATTAGGTGCTGGGTATACAGTGGTGAATGCACAAACGTTTGTATAAAGTTCATCATCTATCAAACTGCTAATAGTTCACAAAGGATTAAATTCTTTCAGACATCCTTGCCCTTATAAAAGTGGTTGTCTGTTATCTGGTAATTGCTTGTTTGGCCTGTGTTCCCCCTTGTTATATACAGAGGTTTCTGAGACTATGGATCCTTGTCATGCTCATCTTTTCTTACACCTCAGAGATGGTCTGAAACACAGTAGGCATCAGTAAACATCCATTGAAACAGTGGTCTATCATCCCAATCAGAATTTCAGCAGACCTGGGTACCATGACAAATTCATCAACCAGTAATGGTTTAGGGGCTGGGGTCCTGAGTTCGATCCTTGGTACAAAAAAAAAAAAAAAAAAAAGAAGGAAAGAAACTGCTAAGACAATTCTAAAAAGAAAGCTCAAAGAGTCAGAGTATCAAATCCTTTGAAAAAAATTATAGCGTTACATAATTAAAACACTGTCTATAAAAACCAGCAAATAGATCCTAGAAACAAACTCATAGATAGGAACTACAAGCTGTTAATTATAATTATAGAGCAGGATCATGTTTCTGTCAAAAAAGATGAGTAGATGGTATTCAGAAAAGTAGTTGACAATGTGAAGAAAAATGAAAGTATACCCTCCCTTCTAATATATTTAAAAAAGGATACCTGAATAGATTAAAACATGAATAACAGTACTTGAAGATAACATAAACCATGAAAAAGGATACTTATTCAGAATACATATTTTTAAAAACTACAAGTCAATAAGAATAGGGGAAGGGCCGTGAATTTAGCTTAGTGGTTTTGCTGCTGGCCGCGCAAGCGCAAGGACCCAAGTTTGATCCCCGGTAGCAAAAAGAAAAAAAAGAAAGAAACTGAGTTCGAAAGAAAAAAAAAGAAAAGAAAGAAATCGAGTTCGATCCCCAGTAAGAAAGAAAGAAAGAAAGAAAGAAAGAAAGAAAAAGGCAAGCAAACCATAAAAAACAGGGGAGAAGACATAAACATACAATTCACCTATGATGAAATATGAATGACCAAAAACTCATATAAAAAACCCTCAGCGTCTCTGGTAAAAAGGAAATTGCAGGGCCGGGGATTTAGCTCAGTGGTTCTGTCGCCCGCCTTGCAAGCGCAAGGTCCCGAGTTCGACGCCCGGTACCAAAAAAAAAAAAAAAGGAAAGAAAGAAAAAGAGGCAAATAGATCATGTCGATAGTCAATCTGGGATGACAGGATTACAGTGTTTATAACCCTCTGTTAAGAAGTTTCATACGATAATTCTTTGTTGTTTTAAGTAAATGAGGTATCTGTAGATGGTATAAATATTACTCTGTAACTTCCTGTTGGCCCCCAAATAAAGTTGACTGGCGCTTTAGGCTTTTGTGAGCCCACAGGTCGTCCTAGTCCTATTCTTTAGGTAGATCCAGCCCAGGGGGCGTGTGTGTGAGCTGGGGCTACAAGCTTGTCTGGTACCGAAGTCTGAAGCACAAAGAATGAAGGTATATGAGGGAGTGGGGTGAAAGGAATAAGGCATACAGGAAGGTGAGTAAGAGTATGAGCTGGCGACGCAGAATGTGGGTAGGGAAAGAGTACCGCGTGGTGCTAAAGGGTCTGGCAGCCTAAGTAAAAAGCAGTCCGGAGGCTGTGCGGGTGCCGCGAGGTTCCTCCGCTCTCAGCTGCTCTGTCCGCTCTTTGATGGCCACCCTTTCTTTCTTCCTTTCGGTCACTCCTCTTCCAACCAACAAATCCCTACGTTTCTGGTCCAGGACCTCGACTCTCAAGAAATCACAGGCGTCCCAAATCTGGAGCACAAACCCATTCTCCCGCCAATTCCGCCCTCTGACCTCAGTCTTCTGACTGCCGAGTACCACTCTCCGCCTCCCGAAGCTCAGGAATTCGTTCTGGGGCCCAAAGAAGCTGCTATTTCTGGAAAAAAACCCACAAAAAACCAAGATTCCCATAGAGGCAAGAAAGCAGGTGCTACAGGTAGAGAAGTACATGTGGTGTGTTTTAATGAATATTCTCATTCATTACAATTCTCCCGTCGAGAGAGCACAATTTAAACTTCCGGGTCATATTCCGTGCAGCGTGGGAAATGTAGTCCTCAGTTACCACGCCGCACTCCTTAGAGCTCAAGTGAGGGAGCTTCGCAAAAGTTCTCACTTAGGGACTTTCCCCTTTGGCTTTCCAAATGGGACAATTTGTGAAATATTTGCACTAAAAATAATACAAGCCAAATTTTTAATTATCCAAGTACCTGTCCCGCCGAAGCTTTGAAGTACACAGGAATCCTCCTTCTTTAACACTGAAGCGAGTAGTTGATAGACGGTCTCTTGGTCCCTGACAGGTCCTCGCCAATCTTGATGCTCCGCCCCCTCTGCTGGAGTCCGCCTCACCAATTGGCTAGAAGCCTTTGAGCGGCGGAAGCAGCTGGCTAGCGCGGGGACAAGGGGAGGGGGCGAGCCGTGAAGATGGCGGCAGTGGTGGAGGTGGAGGTTGGAGGAGTTGCTGTTGCGGAACGGGAGCTAGATGAGGTAAGGGAGAAGAGGAGAGGGCACACCTAGCCTGAAAATGAAGGGAGGGAAAATGAGGTATTGGGGAAGGGAGTCCTAGGAGAGACGGGAAGCATCCTGAGAGGGAAGAAGGAGGTGACCGGGGTGCGAGTGTGCGAGGGACCCCTGATTCGGGGACCCCGTGGCAGTCACTGGGGAAGAAGACTTGAAATGTCCTCAGGGGTAGAGATGGAGGACAGAGAGAGAGGCCGGAGGAGTCAGGGTGTTAAAATTTTGAGATGTCAGCTGGGGTCCTAGGGTAGGACTGCAGGGCAAACAGGTAGCTTAAGAGTTGGAGGGGCGTGGACTTCTGCAAGGAAAGACCAGGTTTTCACTGTGGGAGAGGACTGTAAGCTTGCCGTGCGGGTCGAGGACGCAGACTTGGAAAGTGCTAATCCACTAGTATTACAGCTTTGACTTATTTCTACGTAGGGGCTATTTTATTGTTTATCCTCATATTTTAGGACTTTGTACAATAATCTATGTTCAGTAAAGTTTTTTGGTTTTTTTTTGGGGGGGGGTACCGGGGATCGAACTCGGGTCCTTGAGCAGCAGGCGGCGAAACCACTGAGCTAAATCCTCGGCCCCTATGTTCAGTAAAGTTTTGATCAACTAATTAAAGAACGAATGAGTTATTGTATACCGGAAGTCATCCACTCATTTAACAAACAAAATCACCTTTGCACTGGGTTCTAGGCTAGGTGCTAGGGACAAGAGACCCTCCCTTTGTAGAGACCACAGTGTAGTGGTGGGAGACAAAGAAGACTAGTCATGGCACTGGAGTAGAATGGTGCCACTAAGAGGGAATCACTTCAATTTGGGATAGAAATGTCTTCCCAGACTTGTTGAATCTAAAAGGTTAAACGATAGTTTCTCTTTTTTATTTATGCATTTACTTCTTATTTTGAGACAGGGTATCACTAAGTTGCCCAGGCAGGACTTAAATTTGTTGGTCCATCTGCCTCCACTGTGCCCAGGTTCATAATCAGCCTCTCTCATTTCTGAGTTCCCTGAAGGAGGACTTTGAGAGTGTATCTAATAGCATTTACCTATCTAATAGGCATCTCACGACTGACATAATGAATTAACAGTGGTCTCTGAAGGACCACTGGGAGGAAGGAGGCATTGAGTTTGAAAATACAGGGCTGAGAGGCAGCAAAAGAAGGTGAGAAAGAAAAGGGGAAAAAAATCTGAGGGCTAAGGGACTGTGATAATTCAAGTTGTTTGTGGCCTTTAAGTGGACATCATGTGAGTAGAGATTGTATGGAGGGATAGGAGGAAGATGATTGTCAGGGGTGGAAGTAGTGGGATCTGAGGGATCAGAATCTTAGAGGCCCCTGACTGGTTTATGCACGTCTCCTCACTGAACTGTAAACTGGTAAAGATCTTGTCTTACTCATCTTTGAATTCAAAATACACAACACACAGTAGATCCCCATAATTCCATATTGAATGATTGATTTTACCTTCTCTTTCACTAGTGAAGACTGAACAGATAGAGGTAGGAGGCCATTAGGGGAAACTTGCACACACAACTTAAGCTCTGCCTCATCAGACCTCTCTTCTTTCAGATTCAAGGGATTGCTGTTCTGGCTTCTCAGGGAGAGTGTGGAGAACTGATGAAGCTCAGAAAGGAAGTGGAGTTAGGAAGCAAAGACTATTATTTGGTGGTGGGTTAACTTGATTGGTTTAAATTTTTGGGATCATCAGAGTGGGGGAAAGAGACTGAGAAATTGACAGGTGGTCAAAGCACAGGGGAATTTAGTATTGTAGTTCCCTAACTCTCAATCACTAGAGAGTAGAGGTGTGATATCAGTTGGTGAGATGGAGTGGTTGTGGAAATGACCTCCAAGGCCCCTTCTGACTTTAAGTTTCTGTTAGTACATTTGGATGTGATTCGATAAGATATATTTGAAGGCAGCTTGAAAAGAATAACTCTGAGGCTGGGGATTTAGCTCAGTGGCACCGTGCCTGCCTTGCAAGTGCAAGGTCCTGAGTTCAATCCCTGGAACAACAACAAAAAAAGAATAATTCTGTGTTGAAGTTATTATTCTGGTTCCTTAGTCATGGGCTCCCTTTTAGATGATTACATATGTTTCTTTTCTTTTTTTTGTACTGGGGATTGAACTCAGGACCTTGCACTTTTGAGGCCAGTGGCAGAACCACTGAGCTAAATCCCTGGCCCGCTTTTTTTTTTTCTGGTACCGGGGATCGAACTCAGGACCTTGCACTTTCCAGGCAGGCAGCAAAACCACTGAGCTAAATCCCCGGCCCTAACATATGTTTCAAAGAGAGATTTAGTTACATATATCAGGGTTCACTTAGATAAAGAGCAAAAGTTTTAGAAGAGGAGAAAAACAAAAGTTTTCATCTAAGACATTTTTGATTTTTGCTTATTTTTTTAATATTGTTTTAAGGACTTAGGAGCTACTATTAATATAGTTTCCTGAATGTCCTGCCTAGAGGTCAATTTTATATGAAATAACTAGCATTCATCTAGAAATCTTGCTTTATTCTTTGAGAAAGAATATAATCTATTGCCTGGAAATTCTGTAGGAACTGGTTCTGTCCTTCTGTTTGTTTAAGAAAGTAACCCTGAGAAGCCAGAACAGCCATCCCTTGAATCTGAAAGAACAGAGGACTGTTAAGCCAGACCTTAAGTTGTGTGTGGAAGTTTCCCCTAATGGTCTTCTACCTCTTTCTGTTCAGTCTTCACTAGTGAAAGAGAAGGTAAAATCAATCATTTAATATGGAATTATGGGAATCTACTGTGTGTTGTGTATTTTGAATTCAAAGATGAGTAAGACAGGATCTTTACCAGTTTACAATTCAGTGAGGAGACGTGCAAATAGCCTATTACAGTACTACTAGATGGTTGTTATATGAAAGTGTGTATCAAGTGCAGTGACACACAAGAGACATGCATTGCAGTCCGCTAGGGGAATTTAGTGATGTCTCTATGATAAAGATGGATAGCTTGGGCCGGGGATTTAGCTCAGTGGTTTCGCTGCCTGCTGTGCAAGTGCAACCCGAGTTTGATCCCCGGCACCAAAAAAAATAAATAAATAAAAACAAAAAATAAAGAGGGGTAGCTGGTGGTGGTGGCACATGCCTGTAATCCCAGCACTTGGGAGGCTGAGGTGGGAGGATTGCTGCAAGTTCGAGGCCAGCCTGGGGTACATAGTGAGTTCAAGGCCAGCCTGAACTACGCAGCAAAACTCTGTCTTAAAAAAAAAAAAAAAGGCTTGAGCTGAAAAATTAAAGATTGAGTTTACCAAAAAAGCAGTGATTTGCATGTGACATCTGAGTTGCCTCCCTGTTGTAGTTTTCTTTCTTTTTTTGGTACTGGGGATCCAATTCAGGACCTTGCACTTGGGAGCCAGGCAGCAGCACCACTGAGGAAAATCCCCGGCATCCCTGCTGCACTTTTTGCTTGGTTGATGCACCCTACTGTGGAGCCTAGATTATAAAAGAGTAGTGAGTAGCCTGGCTAAGATGGGGTTGGTGCACTTTTTATCTCCTTTGGAAAGAATACACAGTGCTAAAATGTATTCTGCATATTATACCTATGTTTTCCAAAATCAGATGTTAATATGATACATAGTCTGGGGTGCAGTTCATTCATACTCCTTTCCTTTTGGGGGGCCAGTTTCATTGTTACTTTTTTTCAGAAGCTGAGAGATAATTTAGGTATTGCTAATAGCTTCTCCTACTTTTGAGAGGTGACTAGAAAAGAGGGCTTAGAAATGAGCTGCTGTACAAAAGGCTGACTGGCTTGGTGGTGCATACCTGTAATCCTAGCACTCTTGGAGGCTGAGGCACAAGGGTGGCAAGTTTGAGCCCAGCCTGGGCAATGTAGTGACTTAATGAGATCCTGTGTCCCAGAAAAAGGGCCCTGGGTTTCATACCCAGTGAGAAAGAGAGGGAGGGAGAGAGAGACTGAAATTGAGATTTTTGAGTCCTTGCTGTAAACAAGTCCATACAGCAGCTCTGTGAGGGTGAGGAAGCTGAGGCTAGTGACGGAACTTTCCCAGGATTTTACAGTTTTGTTGTTTTTTTGTTTTTTTTTTTCTGGTATCGGGGATCGAACTCATGTCCTTACACTTGCAAGGCAGGGGGCAAAACCACTGAGCTAAATCCCCATCCCAACCCAGGATTCTACAGTTTATGAGTAAGGAAGTACACACTCGGACCCAGTTGTGCCTGTGCTGTACTGAACCCCATTTCCATTTCTAACTCTACTATTTATGCTGTACAGTTAAGTAATTTGAAATTGTATGGCCTTAATTATCTCATAGGTAAACATTGGTACAGTATATTTGATAAGTGGCTGGGATTAAGAAGAGGATTTTTGAACCTTGCATTCTTGAGATTTTATTACTATTCCCTATTTATAATTGAAGAACTGAGATTCCAGGGATTTGAGATATGCTGAGGGTCTACAACTACTAAAAGGTGTCACTTAGATTTAGGTCCACATTTCCAGATTCCGAAGCATTGGTCACTCCTCAATTTAAAAGATCCAAACTGCAGCCAGGTGTGGTGGTGCACGCCTGTAGTCCCAGTACTCGAGAGGCTAAGGCAGGAGGATTGCCATGAGTTTGAGGCCAGCCTGGGCTCCATAGTGAATTCAAGGACAGCCTGCCTGTACTGCATAGCGAGACCTTATCTCAAAAAAAAAAAATCCAAACTGCAGGCTCATCTTACCAATGTAAACTGCCCCTTTATGTATAAGTGTCCCCGTTCCAAAACATGAAGTGGCATTTATTTCCTGAAGGATCAAAATGGGGGGGGGTGTTTAACCAAAAGAATATTGTTTTTCTTTTTCTATACAAATCTTTTAACTTACTGACAGCTTGATTCTGCTGAACCCTTGGTCATAAAGAATGATTAGTGGTAGTTAGGGAGGTAAGAGAGCCAACCTACCCCTGGAGCCAGTGATTTCTCCTCAAAGAGGCAGCTAGTTGGGCTGGATATTTAGC